TTAAATTAATAATAATTATAGCATAGATGATCTATCAATATAGTAGATTTTCTATTAACAACGATTGTGAAAATGTAGAGTTTTATAGCCATATAATATCACAAGTGGATCAATGGACAGACAAGACGGACAGACACACAATCAGATAGTTCGCACGTAATTAGTTGAATAACTTGTGTAATGCTTGCCGTTGCCTCTGCCTTCGCCCTTGCCTTTGCCTTATATCAACATCAACTGACGACGCAGTGTCTGACAATCTTGATTGAATAAGTTAAGATCAACGGTACAACAATAACAATAACAATATATTAACGTTAACAATAACAATAACAACAAATATTACAATGATAATTATGATATCGTTAATGACAGCACTAAGCAAATATGCGATTTGTTTTGTTTGCCTTTAGATAATTTGTAGAGTAGCGCGTGCGTTGAAAAAAGTCATATGAATAATTTCAGTAATGCCTGCCCTGCCGCTCATTGTTCTGTTCTGTGCTGTTCCGTTCTGCCCGTTGGTGCTCGCTTACCAACGGGCAGAATTCGTTATCAGTAATGAGGAGTCAACCAACTAATAGTCGAGCCGAACCAAATTGATTCAAGTTCAAAGCAATTGCAAGCAATTCGCTAATGTGGCCGATCGATTGCTAGGTGTGTACGTGCTGCAGATGATATGCTCGCTTTATTCTGGCAAATTTCCAGTTCCATGATGTCTAAATTTCACAATCATATATATATATAGAGTATGTGCATATGTCATACGCATATGTATGTATTGTATATGGCAAATAAAAATAAATAAACAAAATACCCAAAATAGAAAGGTAAAGGCAAAGGCTTTGTGTGGCCAAATGTTGGTACTGAAGAGGCATGAGTACTGAAGAGCATGCATATATTGTCACTCTACCGAATAATTAGATGTGCGCGAAAAATAAATGTTTACTTTTGTGAGTGCTTATTGTTGTGCTAAGTTGTGTGTTTGTGGGGGCTTCTCAGATCGGTGACAGAGGATTGGTTAACTAACCCATTGTTTGGATTTTTATGTTTGGCTGTTTGTTTACTGTCTGCTTATACCATATCGCGTTGTCTGACTGTTTGATTTCGTTTGCTTACGTATTTCGCATGTGACCATACCGCATAAGTTGAAAACATTTGACTGACTTGACTGGACGATCAGCAGATAAGCGAAAAATGGCATTTTTTCATTCTTTTCACTCTTTAAAAGCGCATCAATCAAATGTTACCGTTATTGATAATACAGGGTGGTTAAATGCTTAAAACGTATTACATACATATGTGTACAAAATTCTTATATGTAAAATTTGATATAGATATAGACATTTATTAGGTCACCACTTTTCGCTTCTCTGTGATCAAAAAGTGCTGGATTTAAGTGGTCTTACTCATAAGCCGTGAAAAGCACGAACTTTGGAATAACCGCAATGAATCATATTTCTTGTGAAATTGACAAAAAAAAAAGTTTATTAATTTTTTTATCTTAGCGGGATCTTGTGATATCAAATTGTGTATGTATGGCCTATTAATCAATTCTATAAAAAGATAAAGCATACTACATTCTAATTATTATCTAAGTTAGTTCTGAATAAGTTGTTATGAAGTAAAAATGTTATATATTTTTATTGCAATGAATATAAAAAGTAATATTATTATGAATAGGGTTATTCGTATCGTATATAATACAAATAAGGTCTTATTCGATAACAAATGTTTTATATTTTAATTACATACGTATATATTAAGTAGCACGGCAATGAGTAAGGTTATTCAAATATGTTATACATATACCATAGTATGAATAATATTCATATATATATATGCATACATATATATGCATATAGTATAAATAAGGTTAGGTTAGTTTAGTTTAGAGTGGCAGCATTGTTTCCAATGCTCATTTGAGCTCAAATAATGGTCCATTGCGATAACATGGATTAACGTTGTTCATACGTAGACAAGAAGTCAGCGTACGAACAACGCCGATACGCATAACTCCGCCATTCAAATGAAAATAAACCAACCTGACAAATTAACAAAACTTAGCCAAGACTTAATCTCCACTTAGTCAATTATGGACGCTAACTCATAATATACAATACAGTTTCTTGTCCATTTTAGACTAGATCGATTTTGGTATCTGATAGAGGGTTTATCTGCGTAATTTTATTTAGCTTAGCTTAGATATTTTTGTTTGATTGCCGGTGTGCCCGACGCAAGTCAGATACTAATAACTTAGAAATGAATGTCATCAAGCAGAATGGCTTCTTTGGCAAGCTCGTCTGCATTTTAGTTGCCCAAGATGTCTCTGTGTCCAGGGACCCTTGTGAGCTGGATGTGACCTATCTCTTTAAAAAAAGCCCGATATTCTCGAATATTAAAGGATGTGATTGTAGCGTTTACCAGAGATTTGATGATAAATAATATGAGTAAAGCTATTCGTATATGTATACAGTATGTATAAGCACTTACAAATGTTATATATTTTTATTACATACTTCCTGTATATGTATGGTTCTATAACGAAGTTTCGAAGCGTGGAAAATTCGAATAACAACAATCGTCTATAAACCCCATCTGTACAATAAAAACTAGTTATAGTATTAATAAATACATATATATACAAGAAGGAACTCTGATGTGCAACAGGGTAAATGATACTTACAACGTATGTTCCTTCTAAACTAAAGCAATTACAATCATTTGACAGAAATGATAACAAGATAGATGTATCTTGTTAAGATGATAACACAAACCCAAGTGACATTCCAAGTAACTCTAAATATCCTGAGCTAAGTCAAAAGTTTAGCTCAGTACCTGAAATATTATTTTGAAGATAGCCTGAAATTTTGTAAACAAAAATATTAAATATTAATTTAGGTTAAAAAATTTTCTTACTGTGTTATATTAAAACAAAATTATAAACTAGCTATAGAATAACTGAATTAATTAATTATAGTTTTTTTTATTGTTAAATTTTAGTACCATTCAGTAACAGCCAGTTTTTATATTAAAAAAAAGTGTTCAACCTTTTAAAATTGATAATTATTTACCCAGTTTCTCACATATTAGTATGGATTAGCTAATTTTTGGAACAATGCAACAACAACTCTCGAATATCTTCGAATATTTAAAGAACTTGACACAAATATTGAATCTTGTGTATCCTTAAAAAGTTTGAGTCTAGTAGTGCTCGAACATTAGTTAACTTAAAGTAGTTTTTAATATTAATTGTTTCACTTAACTAAGTACAAAATTATTAAATGTAAGAAACGAATTAATGTAAGGAACAATGGAACCACTATCTACATAATATAGCATTACTAAGATAATGATTTATAATTTTAGTTTAGGTCTAGTCTCAAGGAGATTATTGAATTTGTAAAGCCATACAATATATATATTGTTAAATTTCAAAGAGGTCAAAGAGAAAAATTATTTAATTTAAAGTTAACAAAATGGGTATAATTGCATACGTCAAGCGTACAATTATCAGATATCGCCGATACTCCATGCTATTTCTCATTAGAATATTTATGACTTATTATTTAATAACGCATAGTTGGTGCTTAATCAGCGGTAATACAAAGATTATTGGCATGATTTGTTAATTTATAATTGGCATAATTATTTGCTTTCATTTTAGCTTTTAGATATTTATTTTTAACTTTTTATTTATAATAATTGACCATCCTCCCAGTGGCGTATATACGTATCTAAAAATGCCTGCTCACTATCGTATAGCCATTAAATAAATTACAAATGATCGATCGTACGACAGCGGGCAGCGAATGTGAATAAATTGTTATTTTGCATCTGTTTGCGAGTTTGCAAGTTTGCGAGTTTGTTGGTGCGAGTATGTCAAAGTACAATACATTAACTGTCATGTACATATTTGCTATTTGCTATTTGCTATTTTAGATATTCATAAGTACTTGTGTAGTACAATAACACAATTTCCGTTGATCATGTGAGTCGCTGCTCGGTGTTGTCGTCGCTGTCGTACCGCTGGAATCATTATTGATGCCAATTTCTTTTGAATGGTAACAACGCGAAAGTTCATATCTCGACAATAGCAGCGCTACGACGGCGGCAGTCAGTTCGATGTGAAACTGAAATTTTTTGTGATTTAGTGCGATTTTGTTCGCGCCTTGAACCTCATAATATCGAAAAGATATCGGTTTAAATAGAGCTCAAGAGACTCAGCATTTCATTAGTATTTTGGTCTATAAAATGTAAAATGTTGCATATTTGGTTTTTTCATAAATTTTATTTTTACGATATTTTTTATTGATCGTTTTATTGATATTGATATTGAGCACTAAAATCGTTGTTATCAATTATGGTCAATTTTTGTACTAATAACTTGGCATTTAAATTGTAAAAGCTGCCCAAAGCTGGGGGAATAACCATTAAGTGCTACCTGGATAAAAAAATCGGATTCTTCAGAGTTTCACTTTCATGAGTGGCATTATTAAATACTTTCGGATCAAACGGGTATTAAAATCTTTTTAACGAATGAAAACTACAAAAATTCTTTTGAAGACGTAAGATACCGCTTTGTAATTAATTATATATCAGTAATCAGTAATCAGTAATAACTAATAAATTTTTAATTTCGAAATATATTTTACACAATCAATATTTTATTTTCCCCTATAAATAAATATCTCAACCACCAGAGATCGTCCTTACTTGTTCTTTTTTGTGTGAGTAATGCTCACGTGCCTGCTAAATTTAGCGTGTGAATTTTCTCAGATCTACACACTCGAAAAAATCTTAATTTTATAAAAATAAACAAATATATAAGAATTTTGTATTTTCCACATAGAATTTTGGTATATATACCTACATTTATATATATATATTATATGCATATATAGTAAGAACTGAAATAGAATAATTGCAATTAATTTAGATTTATAAAAATAAAAATAAATAAATTTTATTTTAATGCTTATCTTCTCTTTATATTTGACATGCAGTCAGTTTCCCTTCGATGGACGTCAAATACGAGTGCTCCTCTATAGAGAATGTGACAGCAGAGGTCGTCGACTGTTGTTTGATTCGAATGCTCTTGAGAAAGTGTTTTTAAAGGAACCGAATGGCAATTCGACGAAAAATGAGAAAAACACACGCGCTGAAGATAGACTATTTACTCATAATGGCAACAAAGAAACCTCTAAGCACAAACCAGATAAAGGACATTCCAATAATTTCATCGAAGTGTGCGAAGAATATGGCTATGTGGTAAGATATTTCTAGTAACATCCGAGGAATTTTTATTTAAGTTAGTAAAGAATTCTCAAAGTACTGTCCTATAACCAAATCGAACTCATATAAATTAATAGGAATAAAGGGAAGGATTCTTTAGTCACGCAGTCAGTTAGTATGCAGTCAGCGTAAAACTTAACTCAAGTATATAGATTTAAATAAGTTATTTACTTATGTATTGCAAAGCACTGCCCTATAAACAAAACGAACTCATATATATTACGAAATAATGAGGAGGGTCCTTTAGTTACGTATGCAGTCAGCGTAAAACCTAACTCAAATCCATAGATTTAAAAAAACATAAGAGTTAAAGTTTCAGCTAACAGCACCAAAACAAAAAAAAAAGAAATGAGAATAAAAAGAATGAAATAAAAAAAATAACGTTTTTGTGGAAAACTCATTTATAAATATTTTTAATGTTAAAAAACAAGAATCAAGAAATAATGCAAATAGGCGACATTAAGAAAACTATCCATGTACTATCCATAATGATTTTAATGCTTTCTATAAAAAAATTAAATTTAGCTAAAATAAAGTGAAGGAAATATATTGTATATGGAATGTTTTATTTTCTAGACATATTACAGTAAATATGTACATGGATAGGTATTCTCGAAAGACAATAATACACATAAAAAATGTATAATTTATTGCATTTTCTAGAAAATTATTTGCAATATTTCTAATAAATTAATTTTGAACAGAAATAATTCCTAGAAGAAATTCTCGATAGTATTTTTATTAGGTAAAGAACACATGCACCTTGACTCAGTTTGTCTATTGTGTTAACAGAATATGTCTACTCGAGAGAAGTCTACTCGCAAGTTGGATGATTATACTGTGGCTCAGTGGCTCAGTTTTAGATGTTCAGAAAGAGAGAGCAATTTCAGATGTTTCTACAAAAATAAGTAATAGTTTTTCCATTAACTTCATCAAAATTGGCATAACAAATCCTATATGTCGCATCGTTTCATTTCTAAAATGTGATATAATTTAGTAGATTAGGTAATTGAAAAAATTGCAACAGAGACGTCCACTACTATTATTTAGTCTGTGATATCGTTCGTAAAATACACCATTAAATCCTTTTTAGTCAGGATTAAGGATGTTATAAAATAAACATTTGTAAAATTCATAATTTAAAGTAAACAGAAAGCACATTCCGTTTAATTGGTTAGAAAATTAATCGAAATGCACTTAAGAAAGTATTATTATACATATTATTTTAACTTTTACTCTGAATATTATTTTAGTTGTTTTTAGATAACTTATAAATGAATACACATAAATGAATACTTATCAATTAAAACTTTACTCTACAGCATAATCGGCCGAATTCCGAAGATATTGCAATTGTTGGTGGAATGGTATTTGGTGAGTTGGCGTTGTCGTTTCGCGGAACAGCGTTTAAAGTACATTGGTTGCAGGCACCGTCACGTATTCTTTGCTCCCAAGTGTTTTTGGCTCCAATAGGTGGAAATGCAGTTAGTCATTCTCCATATTCAACATTGTCCATGAATAGTTTACTGATAACACCACGTACATCTATTTGCAGTGAACATGGATCAATGGATGGCCTTTCAATAAATTCCACTTCAATGCCATTCTCTGTTAACGTTGGCCGTCACATGAGTCTAACTACTAGCGATCGTAGTAGTGGAATAACATGTCCACTTGATGTGCCTGATCATCAATCAGTGTCCACTTCAACGGATAGTGGTCCTCGGTATTCATCGACCTATAGTACAGTTACTGATTCAGGTTATTCTGGCATGAGTAGAAGTCAATTATCAAGTGATCAGTGGTCAGCTTCATATCAGTATTCAACGCGAAGTAGCCTGGGCTCAGTAGTGTCAGAGCAGTCTGATGCCTTACGAAAGCTCAGTTTAGATTCATCGTATTTTCCCACAGTTCCACTTTTTGCTGATTTCGCTAGTGATGGTAGTTTACAGCGACGTATATGCCGGAATCTGCGCACATCATTTGAATATGAGAATTCAATGAATGATATAATTGGATACATAAGTGATAGTCATCCTACTGGAAACGCAACAAGCGGCGGAAGTGAAGGCGGTAATATGAGTGTGCTAAATTATAGACGTGCTAGTTATTGTGCAAATGAGTCGCGTAGTAATCCTGAAATAGGTAAACGTCGCGACGCTACTATAAGTAGAACAAAAGGACGTCGTGCCAAACTTGGTATTGCTGTTTGCATTACAATGAGTGAGTCTTTCGAAGAGGAAATGGAACTTTTTTGCAGTGAGCATGTCGCATTATTAGAATCTATGTTAAGTCGATTGCGTGCACAAGCAGAACGAAGCTATATAAATCATGGTGATTTATTACAGGTAATTAAAATATTTAAAATAATAAAGGATTTTATATAAATTTCAATCAGCAACTTTTTTTAACTGTACTTTTAGATTATGTATCAAGCTTGGCAAGAAACACAGCAGTGGTTTAATGACTTATTTACTGCGCCCAGAATAAAGTGTCCAGTATGGTTAAGTATTACTACTAGTGGTAGTAAATATTCCAAAAATGTCGCAGAACGATTTATGAAAGAACTTTGTTGGTTGCTCTCTTTAGCAGATACAAAACACACAAATTTGTGAGTTTAAGATATTTAAAAAATAAGTAATATAATAAGTAATAATATTAATATATTTCAGTTTTATTAGCACCATGTTGACTGCTATACTAACATATCATTTGGGTTGGGTATCAACGGTATCCGCGTTCAACTCATCATCATCACGTACTGAAACATCAACAGCCGCTATTGAGCAGCGTGCAAAACTGCAACATATAACGCAAAAGTTTCCATACTGTGCTTTATGGGCACAACTAGTTGATATATTGGGTGGCCTTGGACAACCTCCGAAATTGGCTCGCACTATTATTTATGGTACTGACAGTGTATCTGTTGAACGTTTACTAAACGTACTAACGTATTTTATACGTTGTGGTGAGGTGCGTCGTTCTGCTAAGCGTGAAGATTTCAACAAAGATCTTATCAATTCCCTTGTCTGTCAGAATAACAATGAAGTTTTGAAGAAGTCAAGTATGCCTTCAAGGAAAAAAACTGCTGAAGGTGGAATGACCCGTACACAAACTTGCAAGCAAAATCTTAATACGATCTCAGACAGCTTTGAGTCAGAAGGCAGCAGTAGTGAAGAGCAATTTGAAGCTTATGTGCGCACACTTAAAAAAAATGAAATTCCTACTGTTTTAGCTTTTCGGGATTCTCGATTTGTTCAACAGGAATTACGTATTGGTAATTATCTTATGGATACGGGCATAGAAAAGAGTTCATTGTTAAAAAATCAAGAGAGAAAGGCACTAATCAGCAAGGATAGCCAGATTCGTTTAACATTAACTACACCTGATAACGTTGAAATGTGTGTGGAAGATGAGAGTACCTGCTGTGGTGATAGCATTGATGATGGAGCAGTAGAAGCTATAGAAATTGATGCTGGTGAGAACGAAATAAATCAAGAAAACATTAAACGAATAAGTACAAGTAGTAGTAAGAAAAATTTCTTTTGGAAAATGGTACCTCCTTCCGTAAAGGAAGGTGTTAGTTTAGATGGGATCGAAAACGTAATGAACCGTAGATCTTCTAGTGTAAGTAATTTTAGCGAAAGTGGTGGCTATGAGTATTCAGAGAAAAGAATATCAGGTCTTTCGCTGTCGGATCTCATAACGCAAAATAGTATGGGTAAAAGTGATCGCATGACATGGGGAATCGAACCAATCAAAGAAAACGTTAGTCTAGAAGAACAGATACATTTTGATTTCTGTCAGAAACTAATAGAACGAGAACATGGCATATGTAGAAATAATGAAAATGAACAAGGGGTGTTTTTTGTTTTGGGTGATAATGAGCCACTTGTCAATATTAAGAAAAGTACTGAAGATCTATCAGCGGATGGATGTGAAATGAAGCCCATTATTAAAGAAAATGTTCAACAAACATTATGTCCATTACATTCACGTACACATGAACTTACGCATTCCAAAAAATATTCTGGAGTTAAATTTAATTTTGAACAATATCCAAACATTGCAACAAACTATATGAAAAGTAAAAATCTGATGGTATCAAATTATGATTTACTAATGGATAAGTGCACAAAACTGGAAGATAATATAGAAAGTATTTATGAGCCCAATAAGACTACAGAATGTAATGTAATCAGCAAAGTCCCTACAGCTGCAACTATTTCTTGCGAAGTTTGTAACAGTATATTAAACTCCTATGAGACTCCGTCCAATGCAACCGAGCTCGAATTCGAAACAGATGATGTGCACAGCTTCTCGAATATGACTACACCACATTCAAGTACTAGAGCCTTAAACTCTGTCAGTTCAGGAACATCGATTGATACGCTAAAATCTTCACCACAAAATATTGAAACAGTTTCCAATGAAGATGGAAAAAAAGTTGAGACGGAGTCAATTCCAAATACACCAGTTTTAAAACGAACTCCCATATTTAGTGGAAAACCAAAGAAAGTGTTATCACATCGTAGTTCCATTTCATCTGTTGCCCAAAAATGTGCAGCCGTTAATGATGCAGTACATCTATTAAAGCTGCCAGTGCCGGGTATAAAAGAGCTCCCGCAAGATGATGAACCTGTAGGTGATATGAAACTTCGAGCTGGTTTTATACCGTCACTATTCTTAAATGTAAACGATCACTATGTTTCAGATATGGTATTACAGGTAATTAAATATATATTATTAAATTTAAATAAATATGATTTGATAAATTCTTGAATATCATTTGATATTTACAGGGTACTTTTGCATCACCTAACAAATGGGAAATGAGATTACGTGAAGATCTTGCGCTGGCCGCACATTCTGCTTCACTTATATCATTACCAGCTGAAAATATAGCAATTTTAGCGGATATGGAAAAATGGGAAGTACGTCTAATGTCGTCACAGTCACAGTGTTTTCCATATGCGGGTGGACAAAGTGCACCAGTTGGAATGTCACTATTAGTTTCATCAATGTTAGAAACTGTACAAGCTATGAATAATGCAGGCATATCTGCTTATGAGGTAAGTCGAATTCAAAATAAATTTAAATGTCACTTTCTACTGTTATGGTTAGGTTAATACATGGTTAAATGGATATATCTCTATTTATAATTCGCAGTGTCTCTCGTTCTTAGAAGCTAAACTGCAGGAAATTTATTTGCAATCAGAAACTTTAGCTGCTTTTTTATTGGAAACAGATTTTTGTCCGCTTAGCGTGGTGACTGCTGCACTGAATCTCTCTGAAAACGATGTACCGCTGTTATTATCAATAGCATCAATGCATACTCCTCAAATAAGCAAGAAATGTGGAATCAGTTTTAGATGACGACAATATGCGTTGTAAAATCAGCTATTAAAATCAAGCTGGATGAAACAGAGTGTACAAACAAGCAACAATATATGTTGTGTTGTATCAAAATTTTTATTACACCACACGTTATAGATAGATCCTCTTTAATACTCTTACGAATTTTCGTCTCATAGTTACTAAAAAAAGATTTTGTGATATTGTAAGTCATAAGTTAGAGTGAGCATCCAGCAGAAGTGATGCACTTTCATGTTGAATGTCAGGTCAGATTGCCGGAAAGTCTAAATATATTGAAATTAATGAATGCATCATAAAAATAATTTTATATAACTTATTTGTATTTAAAACTACATATAATAGAAATTTTTTTAAACAATGAAATTAACTTTCACAACGATGAACTGATTGTACGTAATGCACAAGCTTATATACATATGTGATGATAAGCAAATTTGTAAATAATAAGTATAATAATTAACGTAAAGCAATTTTTAATGCAGTAATTTTGCAAATTTTTTAGTATGACAATAGCGTCAAATAACGAAAGTATTGTATACTAGAATTAAGTTGTAAGTTAAGTAAGTATTTAGAGGTTTTCTCATTTTTACCTTTAGTGCGTTAGTTATAATAATGAATTTGAATTAATTTATAATGGAACCGTAACTATATTTTTGCTAAATAAATTATTTATTGAAAAAGCTTACGTTTTTGTTTTTTTTTTCATATTCCGAAACGATAGAAAATATAAAGAAAATATATTATAGATTCTTTTATCTTTTAGCTAGGGCTGTCGGATCCTTAGTGCCCATTTTGCCCAAGGTACAAGCCTACCTTTTTAGTTGCATTATGCATTAAAAACGGTACTAATATTAAATATTTGTCAGAATGAATTAATTTGTCAGATATTGATGTTGGTAAAAAATTTTGACATATATGGGATAATAACCAGGTGAAGTTGCTGCATTTAAGATAAAGAATCTTGTTATCTCTTTAGCTTAAACTCTGGGTGTACTAGTTACAAAATTAAGATGATACAGCATTTTAACAGCATTCTGAACAATAACACTACAATAAAGTATTCTCACCAAACCAAAATGTATTGAAATGATTTGTTTCAAAATTTATTTATATTCTAATTCAAAGTAAATGTTGCACTTTATTAATGAAACTTCAGTTTTATATATTGTGCGTACATAAAAAAATAGATTTGCATATTCATGTTTTAGTTACTTATGAGCTAAAACGTTTATGTACGAGATTTTGGTTACGAGTAATGGAATGAGTTTCTTAATATTTGGTCTACTTACTTAGTATATATAAAGTATAGTATAGTTTAGAATAGTATATATATAAAGAAGGAGTATAGTTATTTAAATATGGATACTTTAACAAACACATTTGGGTTTAAATAGTTCAATAACATTTTCAACAAATGAAATTCAATTCGATTTTAAACAAAAACATAAACATATTGTATTTAAATAATTTTAATAGTGAAAAATTTATATATAATACAACTACTTTCAGCTTTTCAAATTTATACAGAATATATGTTTTAAAAGATTTCTGATTGAAAATAATATATATTATTTTATTTGTTCGGTTTTTACTCCTTACTTTTAAAAAGTATATTTAAAATTGAGTTGTAACAATAATCAGTCAGGATACAAGTAAAGTAATATCATAAATTTACTATAATTAAATCAATAGATAATTTTGCTAAACATTTTATTTAAAATACAATTATTATAAATGGAATTTTGTATTGCGATTTGAGTTTGAATCGAAAATGATGATTTAGAAAATAAATAAAATGCCAATACGAAATAAAATGACGAGTAATAACTGCTCAACAGTTAATTACAGTTAATTATAAGGAATTAATTTAGCCAAATTGTAGGACAGGTTTCATATAAAATAAGATTTTGAATATAACGTCATCACATGTTCCTCAGATTTGGATTTAATGATATAACAAAAATACTGTTGTGGAAGAATAAATTTTAAAATTTAGGCTACGATTTGGGTTGTGCAATTTGCACGCTTTGACAATGATTTGTTATTGACTGGTTTATTTGATATTTTGTTGCAATTAAATATAACTTATAATATTAGATCATTTCTAATAAAATAAAATATTTATGCATCAGATGCGCCTGAATGGTTGTCATTGTCATTATTATCTGATATTAATATGGTAGACTTTTGCTGTACTATATTTTCTGGTAGAGATGTCTTACGTTCTTCATTTATTGGCATTCCAGCTTTTTTCTCATCTTTGGTTACTGCATTAGTAGCAGTAATGGTAGACATTTGTTGCATTAACTTTTCAATTGGAGGCACTTGAATTTGTTTTGAATTCGAGGTATTTTCTAAATTATTTTCTACAATGTCCATAGTTGGAACATTGTCTATTTGTGCTAGTTTGTCTTTCGCAAACATTTTACGCTTACTTTTAAGTTCATTGCCATCCGGTTGAAGATCTTCTACTGCAAATTCATCTAGTTTTTTTTCTATTCTTTCGTCATTCTTTAAACGTGTTTGAAAATGATTATAATTGTCTAGAATAAATTTTGTGTCCGATTGTTTGAAATCAGTATCACTTGTTAAAGATGTTTTACTTTGTACATTTTTAACTATGCTATTATAACATTCTGTTTTCTCTTCTTCATAATCGCTCAAAGTTGAAGGAAAATCTGCAAAGAATTTTAAATGTTTTAAATGTTTTAAATTTTCTTAAAAATTGTTTTTATAATACAAACCTAAAGTATCTCTTTCGTCATTAACGTCAATTTTATCAATCAACTGTGTAATTTCCGTATTTTCTTCCTGAATGTTCAAGTTTTTTTTGATGATCTGTTCACTAGTTGATGGTTTACTATTTCTTCTGAAAATTGAGATCGTTGAAGATGTTATTTCACGTATATGCATTATTTCATGCCAAAGATTAGTTACAGCATATTTAATCATACTTATAACGGTGCTAAAGAAATGAAATATATTATGTTTTAGTTCATCAATTGTATCATATTCATTTGGTATTATTCCATCGACAGAACTTTCAAAATAACTAAACATAGGAAACCACACTCGTGTCCTTGTTGAATCATGCGACATCAACGCCTGAAATGAGAATAATTCCACATAATAATGTGCACATAAAAACTTCCAGTTAAAACATTCCCACCTGATTATTAGCTAATGTGTGGTAATAAAGGAATAAGCGCGATGTTATATAAAAGGCCACGAATACGTCTATGGAATAGTGCTCATGAGCAGCGAGTATAAAGAAAATGCCAAACATATTAAGCAGCCAGGAAAGCGTATGTAGAAAATATAAATTTCGAGGAGTATCTGTGTGTATGATACGAAAAAAAAACAAACGATATTGGTTAGAAATGGATTATATTAAAATGCTGTAACATTCTTCAGTAAAATTTCTTATTAATGATTACAGAATATTGAATATTGAATATTGACTTGTATAAACACAATTTTAACTTACATTCAGTAATGAAAAAATTCATTAGTGTCAGTGCCACTGTATGTCCACTAAACATATAGTCCCCACACGTGCGAACTCCTTGAATTGACATGCCTAGACCGGCCCAAATGGTATAAGCACGAAATATGCGTTTTTCCAAAGCTTCACCAAATGTTATACTAAAATTAGTAGTTAATTAAAAATTTTTTTTTTTTAATTTATAAAAAATTTATTTTACATAGTATCATCAAATGCGTAATCGCTTTGGTTGCATTGCAGATGAGCTCCAGGTACACTAAGTGAAGTTATTAACATTGTAACGCAACGTAGTAGAAAAACTGTACCGGCTAATGCAAAGAAACGTCTCAATAATACGGAACGATATTTATGAAATATTATAACAAAAGCCCACACGGAAAAAAGCAGAGTACCAGTTAATTCGCACATATGAAATGCCCATGGAATGTGCGGCACATTATCTAGAAATATATCTGGAAGCGGTGGATAACGTTTCATATCTGGCACACGTTCATGCACAATCACCATTACAAATGAGGTTATCCATGTCACAGCAAATGAATAAGCTGAAATATATGGCAAAATATTTTTCATAAATATATAAATATTGTATAATGTTATTAGTTAATGTTATTCAGTCAACTAAACCTCAATTAGCTGGAATATTATAAATAGAATTTTTTTCTTAAGATTTATTGAAATGAATATAAATATAATTATAAATTAAAGCAAGAATTAATTTGGTACATATTTACTACAACTAGATCCCTGGCTCGGATATCCAAATTTTTTAGAATTGTATTTTCACTATAATAAAAGCGGTAAAAATAGTATGTGAAACCTTAAATCTGATAAATAATAGATGAAAATTTAAATGAAATCTATGATATATCCACAAATAAATGCTGTTGTTGAAATCTTTATATAAACAATAACGTTATGCAAGTTGGGGCCTCTTAAAACAAAAAAGTCAACCGGTACCATTAAATATCAATGACACTTAACACCCCAATGTACCAAATTTTTCGTCTTCATTTAGATACCTTAGCATGAAATTGTTGAAACGTCACTTTTAATTAGAAAACTATGCTATCAGATTGATATTGTTGAATGAGTCTGTTGCAGTTAGAAGAAAGATAAAGAAGCTGCTTCAAATCTGTTTTAAATTTTACTTTTATAATAGCAAAAAAATACTCGCAACTTACGGAAGAAAACATGTTAAGCAACAACAATGCTCTTAAAATCTTCAGAGTTAGGTTTTACTCGCAAAAAATTTTAAGTCTTAAGTTTAAGTGCAGCCAACTTCAGAACTCAGTCTATTGTAAATGTTCACTAGGAAATATGTAGCAAAATTCCAGTCATACGTCCAAATCATATGAATATTTCATTTACTAATAAATTTAAATACATATAGTAAAAAACTAAATTAATTTAAATAAATAAGATAAAAATGCGTACCATTGCCCTTCTAATATTCATGTTGTTTTCTTTTATTTAAACTAATTAATTTCTAGTGTTTACAATTTTTGTAATTCATATTGTAAACAACACAACAAAAAACATATGTCCAAAGACAATCATTTAACATATTTTAAAAGTGATGCCAATTTGATTCAATCAGAGTCAATGTTGTTTTTTTACAACTCTATAAGAAAAAATTACGGCTATTAACTAGGACATGTTGTAAACTTTCTAGAATATGTTATTTGGCTCTAAGGCCTACTCATGGAGAGCTCCCTGTGTTTTATTAAAGGTTGGAAATCGTTATTAAACCTTCGAGCTTTATATGGCAACATAATAGGTGTCCACAAGTCTAAGTAGATCCTTAAGGTCTCTGTTACAATTCTCCGAAATGTTAATATTTCTAAGAAAATTTCTACTCTATATATTGACTGAAATGTAAGCAGAACTTATAAAAATATTAGAAACTCCTATAACAATTTTTATATATATTGTTTAATTATTGTTCTTTGTATTTCAAATAACCTTTGTAAGAGCGTTATGACATTGCCGAATATTCAATTCTATTTTAATCACATCAAAATAAATAATATTCTAATCAATAAATTATTTTCAGAAGAATTTATTGCATACGATAATTTTAATACACTTTCAATTTTATTTTAAGAAATTCCAAAAATACATAAAACTACATAACATAATTTAAAAGTTTTTCATCAAGAAAAGTTTTTTGAACCTCCCATTGAAATTTGTTTGTACGACAAGTTAAACGGTTTATAAAAATAACAAATTAAGCTTAAAAATATAATTTTTACTAGGTGCATCATACCCCTCCGAAACGTATGTGTGTCAAAGCAAGGTATGTGCTTTCGTAATTGAGTGTGACCAAAATATCAATCAAAGTCACGTCAACAAAGTAAATAATTGGAATGGTTACATCAATCGGTCAATCATTGATGTGACGAATGATTTATAAGGTACGAAGGCCTGTTTATTAGATAGGAAATTTTTGATACTCACAAGTAAAATTTTGATTTAATTTTTTTTTAAATTATTATTGAGCAAAATGAACTGATAAGCAAAGTTTACAAACCGTGGGGTATATAAGGTGTTAAAAGATTAAAATTTATTGCTAAATTGTTCTGTCGTAACTACCATAATTATTGATATTGATTTATACATGGAATTATGTATTTAAGTATCGTCTGAAATTAATATTTTAAGTATCTGAAAACACTTTTTTCTATATATAGTTTTCTAATAAAAATTTCATCTATTTATTTTAAAAATAATAAAAGTCTGAAATAGAGCCATAGATGGCCCAGAAAGTTTTAAGACAAAGCATAAAACATCTTTCCTTGCAAAAACTCGATCAGGCACCCAGGTGGGATTATTGAACATAACTTGAGTGTAGGTGAAAGAATATTGCCACCCCGATCTGATGCGAACATAAATCAACGATATTTAACTTAGTGTGTGCATTTTGGTAAAAGAAATGAAGGACGATATCTGAAGGATGAAACTGCAGGTAAACTGCGTGACAAGTAGTTACTTTAGCAAGTTGGCTATGTGGTAACGTCATTTCGGCGATGATAGTTCTTGTAGAAAGTGTAAAACATTTTTCATGCCCGATGATAAAAAATATGGAAATTGTTTTGACAAAAGCATATTATACTTCTGTACAATGAGCATTTTAACATAGATTCTGCATGAAAATAGTTTACATTTTAAAATTTTTAAAAAAAAAAAAAATCTTTCTGGTTGCATGGTTCTAATATATATAATTTATATCTAATTTGTGAGCGTCCTCTATATTAAAATTTAAAATTAAAAATTTTTTAGTGGTTTACATACATCATTTAGCTTTAACTAGTATATGCAGTTTACATAGATATATATAAAATGATATATATCAAAAATGAACTATTTTGACATGTGCCGTAGTGAAAAAAGTTGCTAAAAATGCAGGTTTTTTTATTTTTTATTATTTATAAAACAAGATAAAACTTTATTTGAAAATAATGCAATATTCTACAATAGATAGATTTCGTTGGTCACGATGGTTCAGTGCTTGTTTTTTATATTAGGTACCTTTTAAGAATATGTTTTATGTCTTGTATTTACTATTTCAAACACATTTGCTGAAAAGTTTAGTAATTTTATTACCTGCGTTTTTAATTTTCCATTAAGCTGATCATTTATGATTTACATTTACAAAAATTTGTTCTAAATTGTTTGTTTATATACGAATTTCTTTTAAATAAACAAAATCAAATGAGTTCAAATTTAAGAACATTAATGTGTAAGTGGATTGTCCATAAATATATGAATACATATTACGATTCCATATTATCGTTAAATAAATGATAAAATAGGCAATGTATCTTTACGCCCAAATGAGTATTATCAACTCGCTCATGATAATGATGTTTTTAACTATTATATGTACATATATTATCTATTATTTCAGAACGAAACAAATATAGATTAGAAACATTTAACAATATTTAGACAAACGAACTTTTTATGATTTTCAAAATGCTTATATTATTCAACATATAGCAACAAACATAAGAAATATTGACGTCGAGGATTTTATATAACGAATGAACTCAATTATTATATATATGCTATTTTCTGGAGGAATATGTATAAATAAACATAATTAAAAAAAACTCAAAAATAATATATGATATGCATATATGTGCCTATATGTCCGTATATTAAATATTATATAAGCTTTCAAATTTTATATAGAGAATAATACAATTCTACTATATAGACCTGCAAATATTATTTTAAGTCTATTCATTTTAAATACAATACTTTTGAGAACTGACTTTTGAATCAACAAAATTTATAAAATAATTACCAATATTTTAGCAAAGCAGACTGAGAGTAGAAAGGATAATTATAGTTGATAAATCCATACTTATTCTAACTTATTCTTATTCTAATTGATTATGATTTTTGATTAAGCAGTTTTATGTGTCTTCGCTTTTTTGATTGCCAATAGTGAGTTGTTAAACGCTTCCACATCCTAATATAATATGAAATTAATATCCTATAAATATTTATTTTTAAAGTTATAGAAAGGATATTTCTTTTTGTCTGTGTTAACAGCTGACTACCTCATAATTAGATTCTATTAATTAACAAATTTGACGCATTTCACCATATCCCATTAAATAGTTAAGGAAAAAAAATTGCCTTTTACAGTAAAATTTTCATAGTGAGTTAGAAATTGCCTGATTTCTAAAATCAGGTGCCACTGCGTTTTTAAAAGTTATTATAAACTTTTCGTGCAGTAATTAAATAAATTTCTCATAAAATGAAGTCTTGAAAATAATGGAAATTCATACTAAAATGGTAATTGTGTTAAGTGAATTTACTCATTTAAAAACATTGGATGAATAAACAAAACATTTGAAATCGTGCCACAAATACTTAGGTCTACCACCATGATCCTAGTTTTAAACAACGGACAAAATAGACACGAGAACCCGGCTTTTCGACTTCAAAGCGAATTCGAGTGTTAAGTAGGTTTCAAAACAAATTTTTTGCCATACAATACGAATTATGTTGATATATTAAGCCCAAACTGGTTAAACAATTGAGTTAAAATATTATTAAACTTTTTGGACCAAGAATTGTGCAACAACCAATCTATTTGCCAGATTAAGCTCAACTTTGGCTTTTCTTACATTTTAAAAAATTCCTTCGTTAAAAACGATTTTTGCAAAGGGGAAGTTTGTCGTATGGGTAAGTGTCGTATGTTTGCAGAACTTTCGGAAAAGGATTACAAAGATTTTTGTAGGGCTATACTGCAGTCACAAAATATTCATTTTAATATACAATACAATTTAACTTGGTTTCATATATATATGGTATGTATATAATTTAATATGAAAAGAAATATTAAAAAAATCCAATGGAATTAATATTAAAAACTAAAATGGTTTTTGATCAACGATACAAATTCAAGGAAATATTTTATTTTTATTATTTTTAACAATAATATCGGAATTATTTTCCAATATTATAATTGACAAATGGCCCCGCTACCAATAAAGAAATTACTTTGTAAACAAATCAGTTTTGATACATGTATGTATGTATGTGTGTGTGTATTGACAACAAAGTAAAGAAAGCGCAGTAATAAGGCAAATGACTGATAGCGATTGGATTTAATGAATAAAAACGTAAAATAAATATTATATAGTGAATGGCAAAACAACCAGCAAAAAATGAAATTGTTTTCGTTTTATCATTTACTAAAAGTACTGCTGAAGTACACTTTCACGTATGGCCTTGGCACTTGAGCCATATTTGTTATCTTAGCGACATACATATTTTGTTTACGGAAAATAGTTAGTTTACAGATATTCTCTATTGAAATCAAAAGATAACTTACCTAAACTAATAGCGGTTTTAAAGAGTTCTTGAGGTATATGAGTAGCTCGTCCATCAATGGAAAGCGGTGGTGATATATCACAATCTGTTCTGCTATGAATAAAACTGCAAGTGCAAATAGATCCTTCACTAGCAGCATTATTTCGTAAATGCCTATGCACTGGAGATGATTCCATCGATTCTTGCGACAGAAGCGTTGTGGCAGATGTTGAGTTAATGGAAATTCCATGTGTGCTAGTGAAAGCTTGCGATTTCTGTACTTGCGGTGAGTTTTGTGTTTGCAGTGCATGAACCATAAGCCATAGTTTTTTTAGTTCACCGAATGAAAGTTTATAGTTCATACGAAAACGAAAATCGCGTATATCATTTTCTGTAAGAGTTAGCAGCACTTGCCCATCGACTCCTTCTCTTTCTATGCAATAAATTACGTTGTCAGAAAGGTGCTTTACTTTTGCCCATGTTTTAACATCCGTCATGTTCCATTTAAATACTTCCTCAGCACTTTTTTCTGTCATATTAGCAGATGACTCAGATTCTTTTTTATAATATTAAACATTAAAGAGAAATCTTCAGCTAAAATTATTTAAAATTATTTACTAAGCAACACAGAAAACTACACAAATCCTCTTAATTTTTTAATAATGTCTTTTCTTATTGGCGGCTATTTTAAATATTTGTAATTTATTTTCTTACACACGCGATTAAACTTAAAACTTTAAACCACACTTCTCTACTGCCAAAAAGTTAAAATTACATTTATGCACTGATTACATTTTATGTTGTTTTTATTGACATTTGCAAATTTTCTCATTTGACTTCTCTCCACATTACAAACAGCAGTGGTATAAAAGAATAACTGGGTGCGACACTCAATATCTCAGGCATGGAAAGTTAAATTCAAATAAGAAAATTTTAAATTTCCATAAAATATATACATACATGAATTAGAATTTTTGTTTGAAAAATCTTTTCATCTTCAATACACAACTTTTAATAATACTTAATATATGTATTTTTTTTCTGGGATCTAGCACTTAATTCAATAAAATAATTCTTTATTGTCAAAATTATATCTCTATGCTATATTATTATGAAAATTATAAAATTTTTATTAGTAAATTTGACAAACCCGCTTATAATGTTTATTTGAACTTGAAGATATCTTAGATGCTTTCATTTATCAATTTCTTTAATAATATGAATGTGCAACTTATTTATTATACCATAACTAAATGAAGTTGTATTTTTTGTTTTAGTTTTTAATTCTCTAACTATACGATTATTATAAAAAAATGCTTAATTTAATTAAGTAATAAACAATAATCCAATCAAAGTGTAAAAAGGTGTTATGAAGAAACCTCGCAATAATAGAGAGTAAATGTGCTTAAGTGCACTGACTCAACTAGCCTCAACATAATAAACTAACTTCACATTGTTAACTTCTTGCCATTGAAAATATTGACTACTATTTTAAGCAGGATGCATTTTTTTTAATTGAAATTTAAATAATATAGCATTCAATTTTTTTATATATTATAAGAATACTTAATCAGTCTAATATATTTCATTTTAAACTACCATCTGTAAAATCAGACAAAAGTTAAAGCAAATTCGTTGCCCTTTCAGTTTTACACACCACTACAAATATAATATTTAACGTCTACATTCTAAAAACTGAACTTAGTAAAGTAAATCAAAAAAATTTTTTTTTGAATTATTTATTATAGCGACAGTTTATTTAATATTATAATTATAAAAAGCAAAAAATCTTAAGCTAAACAATTTTAAAAACTGTTGGTTTTCTCATAAAAGAAATTCATTCAACTCCAAAATTAATTTAAACGAAGTTAATACATCAAAATTTTAAGAGTATTGAAAGTTAATCTTCTTTTATAAATTCTTGATATATAATATATATATTTACGCATAAAATATATTAGTAAATTTTATATAGAAATTGAATTTATAGTTTCTGTGCAATATTTGTAAGTGCTATGCAAAATGAATTATTTCTTTTAATTATTTATATAGATATTTGTAATATGCTATGCAAAATGAATTATTTCTTTTAATTAAAAATATAGATGCTGTTGCTATTATCGCTTTCGCATCTAATTTTGTTCAAAGATTATGATCTCAGATTTCGTTATTTTCTTTCTTTTTTATATATTTTATTGTATCATAATATTTTTCATGAAATAAGATTATTATAATATACATTTATATAAGCAAAATTTTATTACGATAAACATTAATTTAAATTTAATATAAGCATTTTTCATACGAAATAGGCTTTTTGAATGTGGCTGCATTTCTTATTATTTATAGTACCAGCACTTCATTTGGTATAGAAGAAACTGTTTAACTGTTTAAAAATATATATTTCATATTTATCTATATATTTGTTATATTAGTTCAGCTTTCAACTTTCAACTTGAATTCGAACATAAATTAGAAATCAATTCCTTTTATAGAAATATATAAAATAAAAATATTTAACTCATGTTGACGGCATTTGATATTATGTATATTCATAGCTAGCAGTCCTTTTTTACTCTTTATAAACTGATGTGTCCATTGGACTGGCTGGCTGTGCAAATGATGTGGAGGAGCTTGTATTAGTTGGCGTAAAAGCTGAAAGCGAAGAATTACTTGTATTCATTATACTTGAAGAGCTACTGGACGAGCTGTTTAAATTTATGTTAATTGGATTGGAAGCAGTCTGATTTAAGACATTGCTTGCATTTACATTAAAAGTGGTAGTGTTTGATGAATTACCACCACTGAGTAATGATGCTGAATTGAAAGCTCCACTGGCTCCATAATTTAAACGATCGCTATTGATACCCGATAGAAAACCACTAGACGCAGTTGTTGCTGAAAACAGAGAGTTTGAGTTTAAGTTAGCACTAGGACCACCTGTACTCGACCCTAGCACATTTGGAGCAGACGTATTCAATCCTAACATTGGTGTAGGTAAAGCAGGTTTGATAAAGCGTTCACTTGCTCTCCGATTCTGTAAAAAAAAAAAATAATGTAATAATACAAATATTTCCAGATTAAATTGTTAATTAAAACATACCACAATTTGACCACAAGCATAACAACGATTCTGTTGTGCTGTACCTGGACTTAATGGACGACTGTTTGAGGGACTATTAGAAACTGGACTACTTATAGTACGTTGGCGATGGCGTTGAGCGGCAGCTGTATTTCCGACAAGTGGATTTCCTCCAGCCATTAAGCTTTCATTATAGAAACGTTCCTCATCCATTTCTAGCGAAGACTCAGATTCAGATAAATGTCGACAAAGAGCTTCCCTACGTTCAACTTCCAGTTTAAGTTTACGCTACACAAAAATAATATTTATATTAAATATTATTAAAAATATTAAATATGTTTTAAAGACAGAAAATATATTCAAAGCATTTATTAAGAAATGATTAAAATATAGAAATTTTTAATCAAATATATATCAATAATAATTACAAATATAGTATTACTTACATTTTCCTCGCGTATATTTTTTTCTTCCTGTGCAAATTGTTGCATTTTAATAGTTGTTTCTTTTTGTGCAGCCGCTAAATTGGCACGTAATCTTATCACCTCCGAGCGTAAAGTTTGAACATGTGAAGTAAGATGAGAAGCAGTGTCCCCATTGGCATTAGTAATATCACGTGGTGTGGTGGGATCTGAAACTGGTTGATCAAGTTTTATTTGCAATGAACGTTTCTCTGTTTCTAATTTATCCATGCGCTTCCACAATTTATTCACTAACGCTTCTTGCTCCTGTTCCAACGTGTTTTCTAATTCAACCATCTCTCTCCGCAATTGTTCCAAGTTAGTTTGCTTGTTGTCAGTTTCGGCTTGCAGTTTTTCAATTTTGCGCATTAATTTGTTGACAAGACATTCTTGTTCTTGTTCTAATGTTTGTTCTAGTTTACATTTTTCTTGACGTAACTATGCATGAAAAAATTGTAATTTGTGTTTCATTCTTAGTTATGCTAGTAAATGTTAAGACTTACTTGATCTAATTTACGTGATAAATCATTTGTTAAACATTCCTCCTCACGTTCATAATGATGCGCCAAAGTCTCTTTTTCCTTTTTCAATGCTTGAATTTTTTTTAGTAATGTATTCGATATATATTCTTCTTCTTGTTCCGCTTTTGCTTGCTATATAAACATAATTTTTTTTATTTATTTAAATAAATATTACAATTTCGAATATTTATATTTACAATTATAACTGAAGCTTGTTTTAGTGTTCTATTCTCTTCCTGCACCACTTTACATTTGATTTTAAATGTGTCTAATTCAGCTTTTAGAACTCTGAAAATAGGAAAGATTTTAATATTAATAATGACGTATTATATAAATGAATATATATTGGAATTTACTTATTCTGCTGCGTGAGTGATTCTATTCTCTTTTGCAATTGTTCTCTAGATACTGGACTTGGTGGCAGCATGCTTCCCCCATCTAAAGAACTTTCCGATTCACATGGGCTTTCCATTACTAGCCAAAAAAAAACCAATATAAAACAAATTTAATAGGATTATTTTATAAAAATATGTGTAAAAAATATTCAATTACTAGTGGAGTATCGATCTGTTTCTTTTTATTTCAATGCATACAAAAATATTTCAGCAATGTTTGAGTAATCGAAACATTTTTATTACAATTATATTATTTGAATATCAAATAGAAATACGTTTTTATAAAATGTTTTTCAAAAATCGTTGAGAAGAAAAACCTTAACCGATTATGCATTTCTCAATATATTGAACAAAGGAATAACTACAGAATTGATTACATTTATATTTATTCATACATGTCAGAATGTCTCTTGAATGATGCATCAATTCTGCTTATCTCAAAAAAAAAAAAAAAAAAAAAAATTATATAAAAATAAAAAAATAGCTCCTTATAAGCTTTTGATTATGGTAGGGTTATGCATGTTGACCTTAAAAAATTTACTTTGCCCTTGATTAAACACTGATATGTATGTATGTACATTAAATGCAATTTGCATCATACATTACTTATATAAAAAATACTACTAGATTATTTTTTATATTAAGTTTTATGTGGTTATTAAGCTTAAATTACTATTTTTTCATAAATTGAACGAAATATGCATTACAATAGGTTATTCCACAATATAGTCTGTTGATATTTTACATAAATGTATTATCACAACTTTTTCTTAAATCGACCATAATTACATTTCTTATTAGAATTAGAACGATTTCTATTAGATAAAATGCAATAAACGTTTACAATTTCAAACGAAAATATAAATTGAGTACGCAAGTACTTGTACTTTTGATTTTCTTTTTTTCATTTTGTCGATAACTTTTTTTTCTCTTACTTGTCTGTCCTGTACAATTAAAATGACTTCATTCAAATTTAAAAGTTTTTAATATAATTGTTATATTAGGAAACATATATTTAGCATTTTAGGTATTCAAATTTTTGTTGAAAATTAAAACGAAGAGAAACAATTCCGTTTTACATTTTACATTACCTGAATTCTAAGTTCCTTTTTGATTCACTTGCTTAGCTGCTGCTTCTTAATTTGAACCGTTCACAACTTCAAATATAATATCTTAAAAATGTTCTTTATATATATCAGATACTGTAATTTTATCTTTTATTTTGTTTTATTAAAAATTTATTAAATCCTTTTGTAAAACAGTTTATGCAAATAAAATATGTATTTTCAGGCAAATCACTAAAATACTTCCCTACATTTGTGTCATATATTTGATGAAGTTGGTGCTGCCGGATGAGTTGTAATTAAAATAATACGTGTTTAAACCATGTAGGTGAGAAGTTTAACATAATACGTATTAAAAACTGAAATACATTTTATGAAGTCTTTAATTTTTTTCTGATAAAATTTTATAAGTTTATAATACGTAGACGTAATTTGTTAATTTATATTTTTCTTAATTATTTTAGACTTTATCAATAACTAAAAAGATATCTCATATCTTTTAGTACTATGTTCAGACAAACTTTAATTTCACAAAAATCTTAATTTCGTCTTCGTTTCAGCGAAGTTAACTTGCTTTTTCCATAAAAAATTCAGGTTTAAGGTTAGAACGACTTTAACGAAAATGGCATTTTGAGGCTGAAACGAGGCTGAAATTAATTGAAATTTCAAATACAACTATGCGCAAGATAAATTTTAAGCAAAAGATAAGTTCAGATAAAGAAAAAGTGTTGTTTTTTCAAATAAATGTCAATGACAGTTGATTTCAATTAAACCGAGAAAATATTTTGGAACTAGTGCAAATATTTAATTTTAAATATAGAGAAAAAACTGTAACTGTATTAAGCGCCTAAGAAAATAAAAATTTAAATTAATTGTTCCTTATTATTCCTTATTAATATACAAAAATAATAGAAAAATGAGATAAAAAAATGTCCATTGGTTTGCAGTGCAAAATACCAAAATTCAGTTTTGTCTATAAACGATAGAAAGTTTTCTATTGTCTATTAACAATAGACAAACCACAATAGGCACTACTGTTTAACATAGACCTTTAATTGTTATTAAAATGCTTTTAATTTCAATAATCATATACGTTTCGTTAATTGAATTATTTAAAGTAGCTAGCCTGGAATGAAAGTAATACTTCCGTTAATTGCGCTGTCAATATCAACTTGAACGGGCTTTAGTATTGTGTTTACATTATACCACTATTAGTAAGTTAGTGCTTTTTCTTAGTATGTCACAGTAATTGCACAATTATGCAGTATTTAGTAATTAAGTATATTATAATATCATATGAGTTCAATGTATATATATTATATAACACTATAGCAATGTAATTAAGAAAAAATGTTATATATTTAAAAATCTTTGAAAGTAATATATATATATATTCAATTCTATTGCATTCACATATATATATACTAAAATTACTTACAAACTCATTGCTAATTCACAAGACCTGTGGCCAAACATATGATTTTAAAAATACTTTCAAAACATATGGTAACTCTTCTTTAACTATCAAAAATTATGTTAGTAACGTCAAAACAATTTTCGCACGTGTGGAAACTGTTTTTTTTTTTTGGAGTAATTAAGAGCTAAGGATATATAACTTGAAAAACTAAGGTTTTAGAAGCAAATAATGCTAGATCAAGATGGTATGGACAAAAAGAAATCTCACCGTCAACGGCAATCCGGTATTAAAGCCGAAAAAAAGAAAGTCAAAGCCAAGAAAGATTTAAATCAAAAGGAGGAGAATCTTACCGCTCGACAAAGAAATCCTAAAGCTTTTGCTATCAACTCAGCACAGCGTGCGGAACGTAATTTTCGTCGTAAAGAAGATTTAACAGCAAAAAAGCAGCACATACCTGTAGTGGATCAGACTCCTGATGAACCTCCACCAGTTTTAATTGCTGTAGTAGGACCCCCTAAGGTGGGCAAGACAACTTTAATAAACAACTTAATTAAAAATTTTACACGCACTAATGTTACAGAAATACGTGGACCAATAACCATTGTAACCTCCAAAAAGCGACGTATAACTTTATTGGAGTGCAACAATGATATAAATTCAATGATTGATGTATCGAAATGTGCTGATTTAGTGTTGTTGTTGTGCGATGCAAGTTATGGATTTGAAATGGAAATATTTGAATTTTTAAATATTTGCCAGGTGCATGGCATGCCTAAAATAATGGGTGTGCTAACGCATTTGGATATGATACGTAATCCAAAACAGTTACGAAAACGGAAGAAAGAGCTAAAACATCGTTTCTGGACTGAAGTTTATGATGGCGCAAAACTGTTTTACCTATCAGGTATATTGCATGGCGAGTATTTGCGTAATGAGGTTAAAAATCTTGGTCGTTTCATTTCGGTTATGAAATTTCGTCCGTTACAATGGCGAGGAGCACATAGCTATTTGTTGGTAGATCGTGTTGAAGACGTCACAAATACTGATACTATAAGAAGGGATGCCAAATGTGATCGCGAAGTTGTACTGTATGGATACGTACGTGGTGTGCCTTTAAAACAAGAACATATGGTACACATCGCTGGCCTAGGTGACATGCGGATAGAGGAATTAAGTCAAATACCGGATCCCTGTCCTTTACCCGGTACTGAAAAGAAAAGAAGTCTTTTGGAGAAGGAAAGACTGTTGTATGCGCCAATGTCAGGCGTTGGAGGAATTGTTTATGATAAAGATGCTGTATATATTGAATTACAAGGTTCACATAGCCATAAAGAGAGAAATGAAATCTCTGCAGAACAAGATAAATTAGTTGGAAAGTTGATTGAGAAGAAGCAGACTGTTGATGAACAAATTCAAGAGCAAGAATTTAAATTGTTCTCTGATGGTGTGGCCATTAAGTCTAAAGATTTTAAAGATGATAATATAAATGAAGATATAACAGAAAGTGAAGATTCCGGTTTAGATGAAGACGAGGATGAAGAAATTGACAATGATAATGAAAACAGTTATAATATGGGATGGAATGCTGAAGAAAGCAATGAGGAAAATGAAGCTATAAGTGGTGATGAAAGTGAGTCATCTGATGAGGATTATCAAAACACAGAAAATTTCGCATTATCCAGTGGAAATGACGATAGTGATGCAGACTCAGAAAATAATAAAAAGGAAGTAATGGAAAATAGTATGAGTTGGAAAGAAAATTTGGCTCAAAAAGCGCGAGACGCATTTTTGCAAAGACATTCTGAATCACGAAATCTAATGCGTTTAGTCTATGGTTGTTATACACAAAACAAAAGTGTGAGTAATTAAAGTAATTAAGCATTCCAAAATTTAATGTGTATATATAAATTTTAGACAAAAAAAGAAGAAAATAATGATTCCGATACTGAGGATGAATTAGGTGGACTTTTTAAAGTTGTAACAAAAAAACAGAAAGATATTCACAAAGAGAAAGACATGCGAGATAAGGAAGAACAGTGCTTCTTTGAAGATTTATCAGGTAAGGCTAATTTTGTTTGTTACAAATATTTTTTTTCAATGTTTATAGGGCTTTCAAATCAAATACTACAGTATACTTAGCAATAGAAGAGACAGATTGAAAAATAATAAATTTACAAATAAGTTTCCAATTTAGGAAAATACATATTAAATATATGAAGATAAAAAAATTGGTGAATAAATAATTAATTCAAAACGGTTTTAGGTACTACGCGAAATTGGCTAAATGATGACCAAAAAGAATTAATAAAGAATTGTTTTGTTACTGGCAAGTGGAAAGCTTCTGAGGATGCTGAAAATCTTTTACGTCTTGATGATATGAGTGATGCGGAAAGCGAGGTTTATGGAGATTTTGAGGACTTAGAGACTGGTGAAAAACATACTGGAAAGCCAGTTGAAGAGCACATGGAACACATGGATGATCAAAATGAAACGAAGGAAATATCTGAAGAGACTGGTAAACGAAAAATAACAAGGGTGGAGGAAGAAAATCTTACAAAAGCGGAAATAATGGCAAAAAAATTAAAGCTAAAAGCTAAATTTGACGCAGAATACGACAATAAAGGGCAAAAAGAAGATGATGGACGTATTACCGGTGATCATGATTATTATGAAAGTCTTAAAGCAGAAGCACAGAAACAGTCGCAGCTAAATAAAAGTGAATTTGAAAATTTAGATGCAGATTTACGTGTTCAAATCGAAGGTTATCGTGCTGGAATGTATGTTCGTTTAGGTAGGTTGAAATGAATTTTTTTTCAAAATATATTCTAAATAGTTTTAATATTTCAGGTTTTAGAAATGTGCCTTCTGAATTTATAGAACATTTTGATGCTACCTATCCGGTGCTGGTAGGTGGCTTAAATTTGTCTGAAGAAAATGTTGGATTTGTAAACTGCAAAGTAAAGAAGCATCGTTGGTATAAAAAAATATTGAAAACAGGAGATCCAATTATTATTTCTATGGGTTGGCGAAGATTTCAGACAGTAGCCGTGTTTGCTAAGATAGAAGACAATTTTCGACATCGTTACCTTAAATATACACCAAATCATGTAACTTGCAGTATGACTTTTTGGGGTCCCATTACACCTCAAAATACTGGATTTTTAGCGTTGCAAAGTGTACAGCACGATTTAGAGGCTATGAAACGTCTGGGATTTCGCATAGCTGCGACAGGTTGTGTTACGGAGCTGGATAAATCTACTCAAATAATGAAGAAATTGAAATTGGTTGGACATCCATTTAAAATATACAAAAAATCAGCATTTATAAAAGGTATGTTTAATACTACGTTGGAAGTAGCTAAATTTGAAGGTGCCAAAATAAAAACCGTGTCTGGTATTAGAGGACAAATAAAGAAGTCTCATCACACACCTGAGGGAAGCTTTCGTGCAACATTTGAAGACAAAATTTTATTAAGTGATATTGTTTTTTGTCGTACATGGTTCCGTGTTGATGTGCCTCGTTTTTATGCACCAGTAACTTCGTTATTACTGTGTGGAGAAGAGAAATTGCAATGGCAGGGTATGAAGACTTTGGGTCAACTAAAGCGAGAACGTGAGATTCGCAACGAAGTTCAAACCGACAGTCTGTATACGGAAATCAAACGGCAGCCTAAAGTGTTTAAACCATTGGTAATTCCAAAAGCTCTACAACGCGCATTACCTTACAAAGACAAGCCTAAAATGGGGCCGTTACATCCAGGAAAAACAATTGAACAAAAACGAATTGCAGTTATTAATTCACCACATGAACAGAAGGTAGCAAAAATGATTAAAATGATGGAAACTAACTACCAAGAGAAACGCCTTAAAGATAGAAAAGATACTCGACTTCGATTAAAGAAATTTCGAGCCGAAAAACGTGTTGATGAATTTCGAAAAAACAAACGACAGAAAGAGTTACGCAAAAAAGTCTCACGTGCCCTTAGTAAAATGCGCAGCAGGCAACAAACATAATGCTAAATTATATTGTTCAAATTTTTGTATATTCAAAATGAAAATCAGCAAAATGGAAATATATTTTATAAAGATTGTTACAAATTTTATCTAAAATAGACAATTTATACGCTAATTCATTTTTTTAAATACAATATATATAAATATACATTAGGCATTAGGTTTAAGCATTAAATATAAAACATAAAAAAATATTTTTCCCTTTTTTACGTCCGTTAAGTATCTAATCTTTCTTATCGTCAATGGCTTTTAGCGCTGCTAATAATTTGTTTTTGCGGTTTTCACCGAGGTTGGATTTAGTTTTGACGCTTTCCATTTGATTTGATGAATTTTCACAAAAGGCATCCAGAAAACTTTCCCTCTTCATATCCGGCATATATATCATTTTACGTAGATCTGATATGTTATCTTTAAGTTTAGTAGCTTTCTTTGCGGTATCTATGGACTGTAAAATAAATTGTAGAAAATGATTACTATATGTATATTTCTATAAAAAAATAAGATAATTTGTATAATTATATATTACATCCTTTTATAACTATAAGGATTTAATGGTTGGCTATATTTTCCAATAATTTATATTCTCCATGATTAATAAGACATAGTTTTATAAGAGATTTCTATTACAAATAAGCTTACGTTCTCATTTTCATCAGTTTCATCGTGTTCATACATATTGAATGATTCATCACTATACTTTGGAAAGATCATATCGTTGTCGCTTGCATAGCCATTGAGGGGATCATTGTCACTTAAAGTGGCATCATCGTTTGGATTAATTTGTTCTAGTGAATCGGTATTTATTTCAGCTTGATCGTCTATTTTGTTTTCTTCAGATAACTTCTGATTATCGATTTTACTCTTTCCCTGTTCTTTAATCTGCTGATATATATGTTTACCCAGAGTATTCTTAGTTTCAGATTTAGCTTCTTTACCACCAACACCACCACCACCACCTTGTCGCATTTGTATTTTAGGATTCTTTTTATCTTCAATTGCTTTGGGCTTACTAGATTTGGTAGCTAGCAGTTTCAATGGTAATGTCTTTGCAATATGTTTAGGAATTTTTGACGGGTGATAAGGATTACTGTTCAAAAATGTATTAAAATCTAGGCTTGAATTTACAGAAATATCAGATTTGTTGTCATCTTCCAATTCTTTTGATTTTAACTGTGGTCTCTTTAAATCAGTCTCATCCTTGAGAAAAAGTGTTATTACTCATGTATTGGGATCAATTAAAAATAACTTACGGGAAGAACGTCGAATTTACGCAAACCTGATAACTCCAAACGGGTACGGTCTAGCATTACCATTGTTTCTCGTTGCTGTTTTTGGTCATTTTGTATTTGCTGTTTCAAGTTCTTAATTTCAAGCTGCGTCTTACGGGTGTAAAGATTCATTTCATTGTTCTTTTCCTGCAATTGGGTCTGCAAATCCTTAACCTTTTCAGTGAGCTTTTGTCGGCTTTCCAAATTCCTATGAAATTTGTTTATTTATTAAGTAAATTATAAAAAGTTTGGTATTTTCATGAATTAAATAATTTCGTTATTTGAAGTCGTTATTTGGTAAATTTAACTATTATTTACTTGTCTTTATTTAGCTGATTAAAGTATTTGTTTTGATCAGTTACTGAGAGAATAATTGCTTCTTTTTGTTTAATTTTCTTTTCCAGATCCTTGCAGGTTTGTTGTAAGGTTCGATACTTTGACTGCCACATTCGGATCTCCTCAGCATGTGAGTATAATAATTGCGGAAGTTCTGCATTAGTACTCTCATATTTTGCTAGGGCAGAATCTTGACGTTTGTGCAGTGTACGCAACATACGATTTTCATGTGCTAAATCCTTAATATAAATCAAAGCATCTTTTATTGATTGGTTAATGAACTACTATGTGGGAATCTACAAACCGATATTGTTTGCTGAGCATCTGCTAATTGATTCTGGAATGTTTTCACACGAAGACGCCTAGCGGATAGAACGCGCTTTCGCACTTCTGTTGAGGCAGGTATGAGGGAAGCAGTTCGTCCAGGACCTGCACGACCGGCACGACTTGGATGTGGTTTGACGCTTGTACCGTATATTAGTTGAGCCGATGCCTTTGAGCTAGATGCATTAGAAAAAAAGCTTGCACAGCTCTTAGAGTCGTGACTGCAATTTAATTTCTCTTAATTAAAAGACCCGAGATAGAACATAGTATATAGTACTTACGGCGAATTTGAATTGACCTCTTCCGAAATTAATTTAAGTGATGGTGTCTTTTGTGGAGAAATCATTGTGAGAATGATTGTTATATTAAAATTCGTGAAACTAAATAGAATAATTGAATGAGTATATTTTTAATATCAGAAAAATGTTCAAATATTATATATATCAATTTTTCCTTTTTTTTGACTAAATGAGTTTTATTTATTTATATACTGTTTTACAAATGTTTGAATAGTTTCCTAGGTTACTAATTTAACTACATAGTTTGACAGTTAGTATTTTGAATAGGAAAAATTAATAAATAATTTCTTCATAAATTTTTGAACACGACACGTTTATTTGTTTAAAATTGTTACATATTAGAAAAGGTTTTTGGAAGATATATACTTATTATCATAATTACCTTGGCAACCAATCGACAGGACGGAGATCGTAAAATCTCCAATGATTAATGTAATCACACTTTAAACAAATGTTCGTCGTTAATATTTGAAACAACAAATTCTTTTAAAATACACAAAAATATTTTTTTGAATATTAAATAAAATAAAAATTGAGATGATTTACTTAGTTTCAAATTGTAATTAATTTAGCATAAAAGGTGCATCATAAAAGATGTATTAAAAAAAAAGATATATGACACGCATCTCAAAATTTCAAATTTTTCATCACTATTAAAACCTATTCATAGTTTTCAAATGAATAATTATATATTTAATGCAGTTAACAAAAATATCACATCTGGATTTTTGAAAGCATTGGGAGGTCATCAAAAACATGAGCGACAATTTGCTTAGGTTGACCATATGACACTTTGAATCGCTTTATAGGCTCAATTTTATCCTTACTATATTAGTTTCTACACATTCATGTGTGGAGTGCAGTTAGTTTAAAAAGCACCATGCTTTCGTAAGCACGGGATCTTTTGGGATGGACTAGCAAACATGTCACTATTCGACATTCGTTTATGTGGAATATGAATTTGAGTCGATTTTGACGGTTTTAAATGTGGTTGGTATAGCTAAGTCAATATTCAGGAAGGTGCTTGTATTGGAGACGACTTTATTGTATTCACGAAGAAAGGCTTATTTTCTTCTTAGTACCAGGGGAAACATATGTCTTGTAGACATTTTAAGAGAGTCCCTGAGACTATTCTCATAGTCGTGTTAAGCTATTTACCGGTTTGCCGTATGTGTCAACTTTTGGGCGACACATGCGCACCGTATATGGCCGCCGTGTAATCAAAAGACTGCGCAAAAAAACGTAGGCAATATGTTGCAGTAGTCTACTAAGGACTGTATTTGAGCACATCAACATTTCAAGTTGTTTGAGGAGACCTTTTTTTTATTGTGATTGAAGTGAAACAGCCAACTTTAGCTTTGGAATGGATTAAAAAATCATACTTCAACTTCCACCCTTGTGCTTTGCTTTTCAGTGTTTTTTCTACTCAACAGTTAACATTACATAACATTTGAATAACGTTTATTCTACTGTAATTACCAACAAACTGATTACCAAATAACTATTTCTCACGATCATATAGCATAATTGTATAGGTTAGGTTGGAGTGGCGGCCCTAAGTCCAAAATTCATTTGAGTTCAAATAATTGCCCTTTATGATACCACGGACTAGCGTTACTTATACGCTGAATAGAGGTCAGCGTACGAACAACAGGGAAAGATCCCCCATTTAAGTGAAAGTGAAGTGAACCTATTTGTATGTATCAGTTTTATTTGTTTTTTAAATTACTCCCAACTTTTAACAAAATCTATACGCATTGTTATACATAGCGTCTTCTACATACTGCCTAGAGTTTGACAGAGAGGTTTCGAAAATAATACGTACTTTCATTTAAACATAAATTTTTATTCAATTGTTTATATACAGTTTTAAATTAAGTGTATTCTAATAACTGCACAACAGATATGCTGTATAATACTTGTATTGTACAATAAAATAACCTATCAAAAACTATGTTCACAACTTCAATAATCGAACCTTATTACCATGATTTTGTATGGATTTTATATTACAAGCGTATTATAAGCAAAATCAGCGTCTACACTATCTATTAATTACAATTTATTGGCACGATTTTTATGTTTGGATACAGATACGAATTCTTTTGAATTTCGTATGTGAAAAAAATTGTATGTGTTAGTAAATAAATGAGACAAAATCTTGTGCAAAAATCTTGCCAAAAACTGGCTAGTGTAGCCGCATTGCTATTACCAAGAAACTGTTGACAGTGTAAATTTGACAGTGTAATTTAATATTTTTTACGTCATTTCATTGTGAATAGCTAACTGTAATCTGAAAGTCAGTTGTGAATGATAGAAAACTAAAATTGACATATTGCTATTATTTCTCTGAGTTTTATTTTGTTTTTTTGATTCTTGTAATTTTCAGTCAGTTCAGTTTTAGCTGTTGTATTCGGTTGGTTGGGTTTTTGTATGCGTGTGAGCGGTTAATATAGTTAGTTAATTTTATGAAAAATATAATGCTTCCGTAAATACGAGTTCGTTTCATTTCGTCAACAAAACATATGTCGAATTAAATATATATTTGCATTTACTTGATCACATCTATATGCTTACATATGTTGTGACAGTGAATATGATATACAAAAATAAAAGAACAAGCTTTGATTTCTATTTAATTATACAATTCAAATTGTTCTCGTAAAATTTCATTTGTATTTCTGTATCAAAAAATCAAGCAAAATTTGTTTCGAACAAATTAACAGTAAAAAGGTGTGGAGCACAAAAAAGAAGAAGGAAAATAGTGGAAAAATCGATCTGTTAGTATAAATTTTTTTTTCCATATGCATATTCTAAATAGTTGTGTTTGCAGTAGTAAAATTCCGCGTGAACCTGGTCTTAACTATTAGTCATACCCGGTCTTTGAAAAGCAAAAACAAGTATCTCAGATATATACGGGTACGTAAAGCGATCTAAAACAAAAATTGATTAATATGTGTACTTTGTGTGTGCGTCTATCTCTACGTATCGGTGTTGTAGCGCGTAGAGTACTGGCCATTTGTTTGAGCTCCACCAACTCCGCCAACACACAGTGTGCATTATATTATGCATTACAAAACGAGAAATTAATGAGAAATGGAAAGCAATAATTAACTTTTGTATACATAAGATTATTTGCAATTCCGCTGTACCAACAATGGCACCTAGTACGGTTTTATCCAAAACAAACAAATACGTGCAATAAACTAATCTATTACACAGCCAAGTGCGTGTATAACTCCGCCAACTTGAAAACTAGTTCCCGTATTCGCTTTATCCAAATACAGGCTTGACAAGTTATTGCGCTTCAATTTTTATTGTTTTATTTAATTGTTAAATTGTGTTTATTTGTTAAAAAAAAGTGATTTTTTCACGTAGATTTGCTTTTATTTTTAAATGAATTTATTTCTATATGAAATGCCTTAACTCAAACCTTGGATGTTTTCAGTACTGGCACCTGTTGGTTGGCTGTTAATACGATTAACTGTATGTGTTTTGTTGGGATTATTTTGTGATTGGAGGAGAATATATACATATAAGCATAATGACCCGCCTAACAGAAGAAATGGTCATTGCTAGGTCAAAGCAGTCTGATTTGGCCTCAATTAAGAAACTTAACTGTTGGTAAGTTCGTAATTGCCTTATAGTATTAAACTAACTGAATAGATCTTTCTTTATTCAGAATTTTTTATATTAACAAACATACACAAATGAATAATATAATGAAATTGTTATTAAATTTTTTCATTTTTTTATAAACTATTCTATTCAAATATTTACATGTTCTTTTAATAATGCTTCTCAGGATGTATGTAGCACACACATTCATACAGATTTAGGAGATTCTCATTGATTTTTTTCATGTATTTTATACATATTTTTTTGTTTCTTTTGATAAAATTCTCTAATAAATTTAATCCATCCAGAGTAACTATGCTAAAGAATTTGTGAAAACAAATGATTTTTAAATAATATATATTGTTAGTTTATCAATTACGAGTATAACTAATGTATTGCCGAAAGAGATGTTAACCGATCCTTGTTCAAGATTTACATGCACTTTATATTCTTTGAGGCTAACAGGTCATAAGAACGGATTTATTATTCTCTTTTGATGTTGATCATCTACTCCATAGTCTGAATACTTCAAACACATTAAAATTTGTGTTCTATAAATGTGTACAAAAATTTCGGTTTGGAGTTCATCTAACTTCGTTTTTCATCTATTTTTGTAGTTTTATAACTATTTGCAAGCATCTTACCTTTTAAACTATATTTTCTGGATATAGAAAACATAAAAAAAAGTATCGTTGCAAAATGTAATAAAGTACGTCCAATATTGATGCCTGGTCACTGTGGTGTCATAGGTAATAATGATGATGGATGGATAATTTGGTTAACGAATAGGCTCAACTTGTACAAAAGAAGGTAGTGTTAACGTGCAAAATAACAGAATCTTTGTAAAATAATCCGATAAATTGGAAAAATTTTTCATGTAATTGAAGAGAAAGGATCTCAAAGTAGAGCTCGAAGGGATCACACGCTGCAACATAGATGATCGCACATGGCCACTATGTGTATCATCAAATATCCAGCATGTCAATCATGTCTCGATGATGTGGACAACAGAGATCACTTTATCTGTTATTGTTATTGTATTTGTAAGAACTAGATTGAGATAGTTGGGTTTAGATGTTTTAAGCAAGAATGGTGCTCACGTTTTCTCTCTCTCTCTTTCTCTCTACACAATCTTCCCGAATTCATTAAGAAAACTATGAAATATAAGTTACAAGAATTTAATTTATTTTAGTTATTTAATTTTTTTTTTTGATACGAGCACAATGATGAACATATGAGTACTTTGTGTTTATCCTGCCCTACTTTAGGACTAAAAAAAGTGTAACGAAATGATATTAGTTCCGTATTAGTTGTTTAGATGTATTTGGACAAACTTCAGTTACGAAGCATTATTTTTTAAGCTTTAGTAACTCTATTTAAGCTTAGGATTTTAGTGACTAATATATATATGACATATAAAAAAGTAGCTTTTTTTGTTATTATTGTAATTTGTTGTTTTCTTCAAGCTTTGTAACATTCAATTATAGAAGAAAACAAGAAAAGGCCGTAATTTATATAGACTTCTCCACTACTAGACTATTCTTATATGTACTTGTTATTATGCTAAAAATTAGACCTGACACCCATTTGAATGGATATAGCAATTTACTAAAAATTGATTTAAATATTTGCGGCACACTCTTAATAATTTACGTCATTATTCTCAAAATAGGTTGAATTTTTTTGTTTCTGTGCTTTGAACCGTTTTCTACTAAATTAACCCGTTGCTACTTTAACTCTACACCATTAAAATGTCTTTAAAGATTGTTTATCTTACCTGTACTAATTTATTATTATTTTAAAATCTTTTATATTTTGTACTTTCTCTTCTACCTACATAAACAACCATTTGTATATTTTTCTTTGGTTGCTTTTACCATTTAAATACATATTTAGTTTGAGCCGGTTTAGTTTTCCGCATTTTATCTACATGCCTGTCTTGAATTCTGTTCAAATTGGTGCACTTTTTCAACTTAACCTCACGCTTTTCCAAGCGTGACATATCTGAAATGGGAGTACCTTCCACCGAACTGGTTTGTCAACCTTTCCAAGCGAAACGAGCGGCGGCAAGGCTTGTTACTCTGTACGATGCATTCGCCGTCATTGTCAACATGTACCCGTTGGAGCCTATTATAGTTTTATTTTTCTTTTTGTTCACACTCTTAAAATTGCATCACAATTATTTTGGAGCCAGTGTTATGTATCTGACAGCAAAATGATATATAAGTCTATCTTTAAATAGCTTTAAATAATAATTTTAAGCTTGCTTACATATGGTACATGAAATTTATTTATTAGGAACTGGTACGAAGCAGATTGTCTCACACAAATGACTTTATAGTAATATGTAGAAAAGCCAATGGTGGTACCTAATACTTTTATATTAATATATATTTATTATGTATATAATATCTTAAATGTGAACTTATCATATATAAAGTATTATAATTGTCTTAAAAAAATCAGTACCTAGTAGTATCTACATATTTTGAATAGGAATTAAATAATTTTACTTTCTACGGTATAATATCACTGTGAGATAGTAGATTTAGATAAGAATTTTTAATTTATATAGATACTGTGTTAAATTATATGATTTGTTTTGATAAAATTAATCTCTCTATTAAGAATAAATTTACTACTCTCTCTATATGGATCTTACAATGGTTGTAACGTAATAAAAGAGTTAACAGAGTCCCAATATGTTTACAATGTACAGTAATATATAATAATTATTACTCAAAATTGCCGTGCTTCCCTCAACGACCTAGCTATGTGCGCTAACGTTCAACTTATCTGGGTTCCTGGTCATAGGGATATTGCGGGTAATTGTAGGGCGGATGAGCTTGCCAAGACTGGGGCTCTTCTCCCTGATATTCATTTATTAGAAATTGGCCTTCCACTTGCAACAGCTAAACTGACAATTAAACAAAAATATCTAACCATTGCTCAGCAACAATGGGCAAGTGAGCCCAGTTGTCACATTTCTAGGTCGATTTGGTCTAACTTGGATAAAAAGCGTACGAGTCAGCTGCTCCAACTAAAGAGAAATCTGCTCAGTACTACGGTATCGGTGCTGACGGGTCATTGCTTAATAGGGAGGCATGCTATGAGACTAGGTCTTCCTTATAATGACCTTTGTCGCGGTTGTGGCTCTGAGGACGAGGAGGAAACTGTGTTCCATCTCATGGGTCAGTGCCCATCCTTAGGCAGAAGAAGATCAAAAATCTTGGGGGCCCCTTTTCTGACCGATCTGATTGAGCTGTCATCCTATAATGTGAGGGACCTAGCTAGATTCATAGAACTGTCGGGTTGGTTGCCCTTCACCTAATGGGGGAGTCGTTGCCTCTCTGTTGGGCGTTGGTCGTATACTGATCACCGTGTCTATATACGAACATCTTTTTTCCTTGTGGTACCACAACGGGTCATTATTTGTGCTTAAGTGGGCTTTCTTGGTAAACAAGGCCGCCACTCTAACCAACCAACCAACCAACAGTAATATATTTTTATGAATATACTCGTTTTTTATGTGTTTTTGCTTAAATGAAGAGTTTTAAATATTATTCGAGTTATTTAAAGATGCGAGATTTTTTATGTTCGAGTAGATTAGTGGTATAGACAGTGTTCATAAAGATGTCCATAGAGTAGGCAGACCAAGCTTAATGATAACAGTGAAAAACCGTGATCGCTGGAGACAAAAATCTGAAGCGGTTTTGTTCCGGCCTGGGCTTTAAATACTACAGATGATGATAATTCGTTGCAGCAGTTAAACACAGTTATGATTATATGTACGTTACAGTTGAACACATCATGAATTTATAGTAGTTGTCCAACATATGTACATATATAACAAACTAATATTGGCAACTATTCTCAAGTTGCATTGATGGTAAATTTTTAATATATTAATTTGTAATTATTTTTGTTTTATTATTATTTCGAACCACTGATTGGTGTGTTAATGTGTAATCATGAGTAGAAGTAGTTTAAGCTCATGAATGAAATTAATTTTAATTATAATAGATAAAAATTGAATCAGAATTTAATTATAAACAACAATTTCAGTTTTTAAGTTAATTATTAGTCTATAATTATGAGCTTTTTTGTTTTGTGAATAAATTTATAAACGGGTGTTCTCGTTATTAATCTCAAGCAAGACCTTTGTTATCGTTCTCTCCGCTTAAGACAAAGTAATAATATGTCTTTCAACCTATACACAGTTAAAGTCTATTTTAAACTAAACGTAAAATTGAATTTTTATTAAATTTTTTTTCTTTTTCTTTATAATAATAGTATGAAATGAAACACTATATGCAAATTATATTTTATACAAAATTTGTTAATAATTTTAAAGATCTGCTTTATACTTGTATAAATAAATATTTTTGGTTTTCTTTTCTAGGGGAAGCGATTTAAGCGATGTATCCATAATCAAAAAAATGCGTGGTGTTGAGGTTTTAGCTTTAAGGTAAGAAAATTATAACCAAATATGCAAAAGAAATTATTATCATATATTAGTAATAAAATACCATAAACTGAAGCCATTCATGTAATGAAAACAAATTAAAAATTGTCATATAAAGTTGTATAAAGAGGTGTCGTCTTTCGATTCTTTGTGGTTGATTTATTGTTGTTGTCATTTCCGCATTACTACAAATTAAAATTGTGTGAAATCAAATTCACATTTTTTGTTTGCTTTATCAATTATTTACTTTGTTTTGAATGAATCTCTCAAAAAACGTCAGAACGAGTATAAACGAAAAGTATCTACACACATTCTCACTGCGATATCTAGATACTGACATATTTCGTGTTAAATACTGAAAACAGCTGTCAGCAAACTTTTTAAAGAGCGTACGCAAGTGGATATGATCTCATATTCACTTGTGCAAAGCAAATATTTTCGTTTGGGTTGCTTTACAGAACTTGACCAGAGAACTTGTGGGTGAGAATATGCCGAATAAGGAGATGATATCTAACTATCTAACTATCTATAAGCTATGACCTTGCTTGCCTTGAAAACTGCTAGCAATGTCATGTATATACCGCCTTAGAAGAACATAATAAATAAACAATTGGAACTGCGCATGTGTGTTGTGTGTTATGTATGTGGGAATCAGCGCAAGCTAAACGAATTGCGAGTATCTTGAATATACTTTTTGCAAGCTCTAAGCTGTAAGCGGATTTTTGTATCTCTTATATCTAAAAATGGTGTTAATTGTGTGTGTTCATTTAGATATTTTGATTAAATTCAATTATCTGCTTGAGTAGCTGCAGCTTTAAGTTTGGTTATTAATTGAATAATTTATAGAAATTATTTAGAACAACTAATGAAGTCATTTATTATTTAATGTACATATTTTTATGTATAATTAATAATTTTTTCTAATTGTTTACTACTTTGATTAATAGTAATACTGATATGACCGACATATTTTATGAAAGTAAGAGTTATGTTATTTTAGTGAAAAACCAAGCAAAAAATACTTATGAGTTTAATACATTGTTTAAAATAATCAGTAAAGCTGTTTTGAGATAAAAACTAACTCGTGCCTATAATATCATATCTATTCTTATCATAAAAATAAAATATATCTTATATTCTAAAAATAATTAAAGATATTATTATTGAGAGATTAAGAGCGAGAAAAGATAATTAGTGCCCTACAGGGAAGCAATTTTCGTATAGGCGAACAATATTAAATTTGAAAATAAGTTCAAAACTATGAAAATTTATTCATGTTAGTATATTCTTTAACAAAAGACATTACGATAGAAGCAGATTATGTTACTTTGAGATTAGTTTTGTAAATATGTAATATTAGCTACTATTTGTTAAGCCTTTAGTTCACTAACTTCAACATATAAGCACAAATATAAAAAGAAAACATACCCTATAATTTCTGTTGTAATGTCATGCTATAAAGACTTTTAGCTAAGGCATCCCATGAAAAAGATTTGGTAACAGTATCTCTACAATATATAGATAGGTATATTATATTAAAATTGATATTTAATCAATTAAAATCAAAATAATTAAAAAAGTCTTACACATTTAAAAACAACTTATAGATATTAAGAAAAGGAAGAGAAGTTAACTGGTGTAAGAGTGTCTTCAATAAATAAGTTTATATGATTGCAATATCAACTTTAATTAAAATAAATAATATCTTATATTTATAAAAACAATCCAAGACATTATTTAAAATAATCGCTAAAGCTATATTGTGAAAAGACGATAACATCTGCTATAAATGGGCATTTATTCAACTGTATTCCTAATACGTTATACGTACATTTGTCTGTTATATCGTCTCCCGCAAGAGAGAGAAGATAAACATAAGATACTTAAAAATTCACTAAGATTCAAAACTCAAAGATTTGGTTCTTAAATTAAGAAATGAGAGTTAAAGGACTAAATACTAATAAACAAGTTCGGGACATGTTCCTCTAGCAGTCTCTGTTTCACACATGCCTTTTATACTTTCCTACATTAATTAAGGGTAATACTTTCACTCTTGAAAGTATTAATCACTCTACCAGATACATGGTTTGGTTTTCCTTTGCATCTTTTTTCTACACCTTAGAAAGGAAAAGCGCTTACGAAAATTTTTTCTATCGAACACTTTCAGTCCTATTTTATTATTTTACGTTAGCGCTAATACTTCACAGTTAGATTTAGTATCTTAGACGGCGTAAGTTTTGTCGGTCGAGAGAGAACTCTATAACTCTACTGAGTTTAGAGCAATTTGTTCAATATATAACGATCTGAGTATTTCTATAGGCAGAGAAGAAATGGCCATAATAAGAACATGCTTTGCTTCCACCCATATAGTTTTACGCCATCTATGATCCTGAAGGCGAATTGAATACAATAGTAAAAAATACCACTTCGGAACTAAGCTTTTATTTGGAGATTTAATGGAATGGAATAATTTGTTACAAGTATATAAAATTATCAATATCGTATTTACTAGGTAAATTGCAATGTAATATTACAAAAAAAATAATTTATGTTGAAAATCTTCTAAAAAGATAACTCCTATTAAGTTCTTGTAAATTTAATTCATACTAGTTGCGTGTCAACGGCATCGTGACACGTAACCAATCTGATCAATGTTTTAGCGGAAATAGTGCCAGCTAACAGCACTTAATATTTAAAAAAAGAATAAAGCATATAATACTTGTGTAGGCAAAGTTTTTACAAACATTTTTAATGCTAAAAAATGCTCGCTGACTGCATTTAAAACAAAGAATAAAAATAACAATTTTCTGTACGAGACCTCTATGTAAACATTTTCAATATTAAAAACTAATATTTCATATCATACATTGTATGTAATTATGAAGTATATTCTTCTACCCTTTATTCGTCTGGAACTTTTGACGAACCCTATTCTCAATGTTTTGGCATAACCTTCTATTTTTCTATGATTTATATTGCATTGAACGCGTCATAGATTTCATTATTTCAATTTTCAAGTGCGTGAATGTATGTCTTTGGTTCTTGAGTATTTGTGCGCTGATGTCGGTGAAGTAGAAAACGATTGGCAATCGGCCTTGAAGTGTGGGCTGTTAAGACTGAAGTGGTAGAAGAACCATAAAATTCTGATTTGATGCAATTTGTTTATATTTTTTATACTTATAATGTTGTTTTTGTAGTTTTGGAATCTATTTTGTTCTTTTTATGCCTTTGTCTTATGTGTGTAATTCATTTATTGTAGTAAAATTATTCAACGGTCTCCTGCTTTTGAGGAAATATTGATTGCAATCGCTGTGAGTAATTATATTTTGATTACTGCCTTGTAATGCCATAGGTTTTACAATCAATTGATAAGCATTAATGTTATGATTTATTTGCACAAATCGAGAATTGGGTTAATTGTGTTTTCAAAGTTGATAACGAAAAATTTTATTAAATAAACCAGAATTTAATAACAATAAAAATAGGAAGTAAATTCAGTAAATAACTTTCAAAAAAAATATGTGAAAAAACCGTAAAAACTGGTGGATTATTCATTTGTTAAATTATTATATATATTTATATGAATATATTAATATACAGGTTTCGAATTTCTTCATGCCGAATTTAGATTTATATTGTTTTCGATTTTGACATCCCGTAAGTGCAATGTTCATTATCTCTATTATTAATTCAAACCATCTCTTAATGAGATACTTTTAGCTACGATTGAAGAATCGTCGTCTGCCGTTCACTTAGAGAGTGAAGCCAAACAAATATGTACGATTGTGTAGTTGAGCAGTAGTCCTTCTAACCTTATCTATTTATTCTTTATAAATACTGTTATTACTTTATAGAAACCGAAGAGATTGTTCATTTCATTCACTTGTTCCTAAGTATATATAATTTCATCATGTAAACCCATTAAAAAATATCAACAAATTTATTTTAGGATGAATTGGAATGAAATTTTATTTTTAGGTGTGTTCGTCTCTTGCTATATTTATAATTAAAAGAATCTTATAGGGTACAAATATTTTCAGTTAGAGGCTATAAATAACTATAAATCTTCAATGCAACGAGTGAATGTTAAAAGTTTAAGATTCTTTTCGTATCATTGTTCCGTTTAAATTTGTTTTATTAAAAAGGTCAATTTTAATGAAGACAGATTATTGTATAATAAAGAAGCATTCAGAGGATTAATATATTAATATTGTAGTTGATGGGTACCGCGATCTTAGGAAATGTCTCGCACAACAAACAACATGATCTTAAAGCAAAATCTTTATTTGTATGTATATTATTAGGAATACACTTGGAATTTAAGTTAGTCGATAAGTGGGCCTATTTATGCAGAATCGCAAGATAAAGTTTGCAGAGAGTCTCAATCGCATAATAATATAATTCATTTGGTTGGTATTTTTAGATGAAATATAAGATATTGTTTTATCATCAAAACTTCGAAGTACTTTGTAATCTAAGAATAGTGGAATTATTCTTTAATTCTAAATATTCCATCTTTAATTTTTAGGAAGAAACTAAATTGTAAAATGTTCTAAATATTCTATCTTTAATTTTTAGGAAGGAACTAAAATGTTAAAATGCTAGTTATTTTGCGTTATTCACGAGTATTATTCACGAGACGAGTATCTTCTGCATGTAATTATGCCTACTTTAGTCGGCAGCCATTGAGTTTGGAGGTCTATTTGTACTTTTTACTCACGTTAGTGATCTTATAAAGGGGAACTTAGTCTACATAAATTAATTTAAGAAAGTGGATTGCAACTAATTTTTGATATTTTCCTAAAAACTCTCCTGGCTGATGTGATCATACTAGATACTATTTTCGGAATTTAAAGTTTAAAGCCGCATTAGTTGTTGCATTATTTAGTGCAAATAGATTTGTTATTAGTTTTGGATATTTGAGATATTCAATTTTTTTTTAGTCAAACTGCTAAATATTATTATATTTTCTATCTAGGATGAAAACATGGAAACTGAAATTAACAGAATACTTGCTAACAGCAGATTAAAGCACTGCAGTCAATATATATCTTGATCTTCCTAGTAAATGACTCTAACCGAAATCAATGAAGTCCAAAACGTATCCCATTGAAGGCTATTTAATATAAGTACAGGAGATAAGCTACCAGTTTAATAGTATTCATTGACCCAGAGCTGGGTTGCTGGGTTGTCATGGCGACTAGAAGTCTCACTTGCTTTAAAGCGGAATCGATCCATCATGAGATTGTTTCCCAACAGTCTTTACTTTCTATTTATGTTTGTTATATTTGTTATGTTACTATCTATTTATATTTGCTCAAGGTCGCAGTTATTATACAAGTTTGATTAACTACACTACTTGTTATTGTTGTTGTTGTTATTATTATTATTATTACTGTTGTTATTGTGATCCGTCTCGTTCAACCCTTGTTGAGAATTATAATTCTTCAATAAAAAGATGGTCGATATTTATTGCTCGTAGATTAGTAATACCAAAGTATAGAGCCGACTGTTTGTGGAGGCATTAAACTTCCTTTGTTGGGAATAGTTTTAAATCAGCTGTGGAAGAAGCAATTAATATGTTTGTTGTTTTCTTTCTAAATATCTATATAAGTTTTTTTTAATAATTTAGAATAACAATGCAAACACTTGCATTTATTTCCATTTAAACAAATTTATTTTAGCAATTATTATGTTCATGAGTAAAAAGTGACGTATCACATTTTAGTTTAAACAATTATTTTTTTTTAGAAATTTATTTGTGTTTGTAAGATAACTACCGGCTTCTTACTTTTTAATTAGTGGGATTTAAAAATCATTATTAAATTTCAATGTATTTCTTTAAAAAGTTAATTGATTATTAACATTCTCGTAATTATCTTTAAGATAACGATAGTGAAAATGTTTTAATACTTGACAGAGTAAATACATTTGTACTTATATTGTATTATATACTTCTACTATATCTTAATATGTACCTATATGTTATATCATATGTATGTTTTGATATTAGACTTTGTACATGCATATAGTTATATTTAATAATATGTGTATCTTTAATTTTAAACCTTTTATCTATAACATTCATTTAATAGTGCAGTGTAAAGGTATGAAATAAACTTTATCGGATTGTTGACATTTTAGTATTAATATATGAAATATTTTTTTCTCTTAATTTAAATAAAATACCTAAAGAAAGTTAATGACCGTTAGGTATTTGTCATACTTTTGTTTCGATTGGTTTGAAGATGATATCAGCATTTGATTTTTTGTCAGCTCTTGCGATGATAAATATCTATAAAAATGCTGATGGTTTTTTCTTTTTATAAATATATAAATATTTGAAAGTTGTTTTATTGTATGAGTTCATGAATGATTTAAATTTAAAGAGCCCAAAAATTCTTTAAAATTACTGAATTTTAAAATTATTAATCGTACACGCATGTTTTCTCTTTCATTTTAGTGTTAATAAGATAAGTTCACTACAGCCTTTCGAAGACTGCGTTAAGTTACAGGAACTCTATTTACGTAAGAATAATATAAAGGATTTGAATGAAATAGGTTATCTACAAAATCTTCCTAATCTAAAATATCTCTGGTTAGAAGAAAATCCTTGTTGCGAAAAAGCAGGACCTTCGTAAGTTTCATACTCCTAAAGTTTTTTTAAATATTGAGATTTTTTTTTGTAAATATATTTTACTGTTTTTCTTAGATATCGCGCCATTATTTTGCGTGCATTGCCAAATCTAAAAAAACTAGATAACGTTGAAGTAACAGAAGAGGAGGTGAATAATGCTTTGAGTGTTGGTGGCGGTAGCGCAGGCAGTGAGCCTGGTTCCAATCAAGGGGACGAGACATACGACGATGCTTATGAAAATCAACCACATTCTACACAACGTGAGCAATATGAACAACATCACCCGCAACAATACCCGCAAAATACTCAACGGCAGCAACAGTACCAGCAACAAAACTATCATCCACAGTCTCCACAATCTCCACAGCAACAGTATCAATCACAGCATGGTTTACAAAGGAGCAGCACAAGTCCAGTGAAGGATGTAAGTTTATAATTTATAAGTTATGAATATATTTTAGTAATTTAGTATATGATATTAGTTTAGAATTTTGTTTTTAATGGTAATAATGGTTTAGTATGTATATTCAAAAATTATGTCGCCTATTACCATATATATATGGACTATATATTATACTAACATTATATACTTAGTTGCAATAATAAATGATGGATAAATGATCAATAATAAATATTAATATAATGAAAGAATAAGTCGGCTTTTGTGGGTGAATTAAAATGAAAAAAATATATATAAATTGCTTTTTCTGTATAAATATAAATACCTTATATGTTGTAAAGACTGTGCCCTTATCAGTTAGTCACTTGCTTTGCCCGTTTGCAATATATTTATATGAGGTCATTGTTCCTTACCCACAAAATGTCGCTATTTTATGAAGACAGCAAATTGCTACTCTTATCTAGAAAATCACAATGAGACAGAGATTGGCTTCTCTTGTTTATACTCAAAGTTAGATGTGATTAACTTGGTATATAGTAAGCAATTATATATATCATGTGCTATCTGTTTAAGAAATTCAATTATTGAAGAAATGCTGCATTATATTGTTGCAAAGCAATTTTATAACAAATTTAAACTAAAAAATTTTGATTACACATTCCAATTCAAGAACTACTATAATTGCTATTCAAAAATGGTCTGTTTATTTAGAAAGGAAATGAAGATAATATTATTAGAAGTTTTATTTGTTCTATAGTATTTTATGTAACTATTTGAATCTAGTTTTATAAAAGACTATAGGTACATTGATTGTAAAAAACCTAAAAATTTTAATTTATTAATTAACTTTAATTTTTTTAAATTTAACTTAAATTTTGAATTTTTGTAAATTAAGTTGTCTATAGGTTTTTATAAAACTTAATATTATTTATTAGGAGTTGTTTGTAAATATAGAATGAAGACAACAATTCTGCATTTTAATAATAAAATTTTTAGAAATATTCATTGATTGTAAGACTTACAAAACAATAAATTACATAGTTAAGTTAAAATACGCAATAACTGCAACAAAGGCCCTCAGCTAGATGAAAGATATATTAGTTTATTATTAAAAACAAACACGTTTAAAGTATAATAACAAAAAATATCGTGTTTTTACACTAAAACGTGACTTTCGAAGTACTGAAGCACTGAAGAGTAGGTGCTCTATGAAGCATGTCTCATTGTGAAGCATTTAAGCGTTAAGAGCAACAATTTAAGTCTTCAGTTACTGCTTCTTTCTTATCTAATAAAATTCTTTACAAATAAATCTTTAAAATAAAACATATATTGCATTTATATTTCTTCTGTTTAAATGTATATAAATTATAAATAAATCAAATGGGGTGTAGTGTATAGATTTTATGTATAAACTGTATTTCTACTATTTTTTAGTTACTGCTTTTTTTACTGTTATTATTTGCTTGATTTAAAAAGGATGTATTACTAACTAACTAACTAAATTACTAGAACTCTTACTTAACGTCTAGAACTCTTATTCCCTTTTATGTAGTGAAAGGAGGGTGTAGAGAAGTGTTTGATTTATAACCACATTTCTTCTTAAAGTGTACAGATGCATTGATAATTCCCTTCTTGAATAAGACTCTGTTGTTCTCTTAAGCAATTTAGTTATGAATATAGGTCGGATATATACAATCTATCAATACAATCTATATGCTTGACTACAAACTTTTATCTGTGCCTATGATATTAAAGGGGCTAAGTATCCATATCCTATAAAGATTTAAGTGTTACGTTTATTAATGGTAAAAATGAATTTAAGTATCCTAAATGTAATTTCCTTGAGATTGTTTTATATGTAACGTTATAAGTAAAATTATAATATAATTTTATAGTATAAATTATAATTATAAGTAAAAATGATTTATATTACATATATTTTTAATGATAATATTATAAGGTAAAGTATTTAAAGTCATTATAATTATTAAGTGATAGCTAGCAATTCTAACAAATGTTATAAATAACTTATTAATACCAATTAAAATATTTTATTAAAAACATAGATTTATGGCGTTTTTTTTTAATTTTTTTTATACATTTTTTTTCATTTTTTGTTTTTCATATATGTATCATTTTGTTTCTCTAACAATGTTAACCTTATTAATACCTTCATTTTATTGGTTACCGGTCTAATCTCACTCAATACATAAATTCATATTCGAATAAATTAACATCGTCGCAGCAATCTCAAGCGAGCTCGGCTAGCACTGAGGAAAGTCTTAACGAGGCGTCTAAACCAGAATCACCTGCACAGGTATTGCCTTCATATGAATAAAATAATCATTATCACTTCAGTCACACATCTTAGATGTTATATATAGTAGTAGTTTTCTTATAATTTTTAAGCTTTTACTATTATTTACTTATTATTAAAATAGTTTAGTTACATTATAATTTTTTTCTATTGTTTTTTCATGTTGAAATACCCATTGCAACTTTCATGGAATTTACCAACTCATATATTTATGCTTGCTCTTCAAATTTGAACTTTAAAAGATATGTCCATTTTCTTTTTTTACCTTTAACAGGAACAAATGCATCCACCTTCGCCTACAAATTACAATCCGCTAGCGAAAGAGAATCGTATGTCCTATCATCAATTCGATGTAAGATGAGTAATATTTCAAATGTTGTTTAATTTGCAAGTGTCAAGTTTTGTTTTTTATTGAAGCATAAACTGAAATGTGCTTTACAGGCGATGTAGATTTATTTATATTTAAGTTCTTGAAGCATTATGTATTTCTGTTTTTTATTCTGAATCCATGACCTCATCCAGTGAGAAACAACACGACACCGATTTGCATAAAAGAGCCCATAAATTAGTTTAATAAATTGTTTATACGTTGTGCTTATATTAAAATCATAGACACAGTTGTTAAATTCTCCCTGCATAACCAAGCAGAGCACCACAGGAAGAATAATGACAAAAAATAAGACAATGCTTGTTATTTTGTACCAAGTCCCATTGCTCCATTGAAAGTTCTTTAGTATCTACCTTAAAACCGTTTGGTGCTTGACATTCGACAGAAGTCACGCAATATTTAGGCAAGTACGAAGAGGTTTCTTGGTTTTTAGGTTGAAATTGAACGCAATAATTGACATTGAAAAAAAATTATATGCAAAACAAGATAGTATTATAATAATAATAATAAAAGTTACGCATATAAAAAAATGTAGTTTTTGAGATTATTATTTTAGGGAAATGAGACCAAGCATCATTTGACAATTGTTTTAAGGATTTTGATTTCCTTATACCATATTGGGCACTACAACTAATTTATTTACATATACTCTTTAGCTACTTATTCACATAAATAATAAATACTTTTTTTAATTTTATTTATACATTATACCGACACTGACACTGATATTGCACTTATTTTTATTTTAAAATGTTAACTTTAACGTAACTAACTTGAGTACTAATAAATTTAATATATATAATGGATACTTACTAACACAGCAGTCACCTGGCTCCGATCAGAGTCCACCTCTCAATGTGTACAGAGAGCGTAGTGCTCCGATTCCACCTAGTATGTCAACACATTCAATGAAAGTAAGTATGATTTTTTGTTAAGATATGCAATTTTTATGTTGATGTAAATTTATCTATTTATTGTTTAAATGTATTTATATATTTTTATTATATGTTTTTTGTGTTTTAAAGGAATACTATCACTCTGATCGGCCGGCACATCCTGCACAATACCGCCACAGTCAAAACGATTTAACTGAATGGGATGATCAGCACTCTCCCCACAATCAGTTCGGTAGTACAGCTGCATTAAACAATAGACGCAGTGCTGGACCAGAAAGGGAGCCATTCGATCGTTATCCTTACAGGAACGGTAATGCTAGAGAAAATGGAGATTGGGATGATGTTGAGAGAAATAGACAAAGGTAAAGACAATTTCTTGTTTAAGAGCACACTTGAACGAATACTAAAAATTAAAACATTTCATGATACTTAAAAAAAATATATATTCAAATGTAAATAGTTTCAATTGCTCTCATTGAAAAAACAAATCAAGACATTTTTGTATTGAATTACACCATTCTAAAGTTTGAAGTGGTGGAATTTCAATGGTGAAAAAGTTTGCAGCTGTTTCACCATCTAGTGTACTAATAAATAGTTAACATACAAACCTTTGGCAAATAATATTTTACTTAACACTCACTAGAGGGCTGCGAATCTGTTTGAATGAATTTGTTTTTTCTCATTCTCATTTTTCTAAGTTTTGTGAAACTTTAACACTAAGTGTATATGCTTGAAAATGTCATAAATGTCAGTAAATATCCGCTAAATGCATTTAGTTTTAAATAAATTTAAAAATGATTAGTTAAATAAAAGCTGTCGTTTGGTAACATATTTGATTTTTATTATTTATTGCAATATCTGATGTAATCAATTTAGAATAAGACATAAGACATATTTTATATCTATTTATAGGCGATCCGATGGCAGGTTCAGCGAAACGGGCAGCAATGTTTCACCCGCCGTTCTAAGTCACTTAGCAAACTACAATTTTAGGCGCCCAATTCACAGAGTAAGTAGTGTAATTACTATGACAACATTTATTAACTATGACAACCAATAACCTATTTATACATATAGAATTCCAATCTCCTCTCGGCTACGTTATGCTTGGTAAGAGAACTTGACTATCCAAGTTTGGAAGTTGTGGAACATGCTGTCCGTTGTCGCATTGATGAGCTGACAACTCAATGATCGATATGAAATCAGTTGCCACGTTGTAATTCGAACAAACCGCAGAGATGACATCTTCATTAACAAAATTAACCGAAACTAATTATTTTAATCTCACACGAACAACTAAAAGAAAAATAATTTCTTTAATTTGAAATTCTCAAATTATATTTTACATACGAATAGTTTTATAATTCAAAGTTATTCCTAAAATCAGGACAATTAATGTGTATCAGATTATTTTGTTATAAAATAATGTTAAATAACAAAATCGTATGTAAAATACTTGCCAATTGCCAATCCAAAACAATGCAATATAAAAACCATTTATTATAGCATGAAACAATAAATATGAAATATTAACATTTGATAATTAATATTTAATTCAAATATAGTTAGTAATTAAAGAAGTTATGCATTTTTATACCAATAACATTGTGTGGTGTGTTAAAAATATTTGTTGCAATAATATTTTTAAGATACTTTTATAAGAAAGAAATTATATTAAATGAAAAAGGAAATAATCTGTTTTAGTTAATATTAGCATATTTTTTTACTTAAAGTAAAAATCAGTTGAATTTGTTTATTGTTGTTGAATTAAATTCATTATAGCATTAGTTTAATTTCCTGATAAAGAAATATGTACTTAATTATCAGTTTAACTACTTTGCAAAAGCACAAATCATATTTTATATATCAGTTTTACCTGAATTGTATATTAAGCATAACAATATTAAATTTATGTATGCTATATGCATACAAATGAAATTGTAAATATATATAACTACTTTCATACCAGAAGAGGCAGTTAAAATCTAAATTTAGGAACTATTTTTATTTTAATTTTTTTACTAATTTATTTTGAATTTATTATACTTAAACTAAATCGTCCATTATTTACTAAAAAACTGTTTAAAGTTATACTAAAAAAAGACACGGAAATTTTTTTGTGAACAACTCATATATATTGAGTTATTTATAATTTAACAATAAAATTATATATATTTCTAATAGTATTGTAAAAAATAACTATTTAAAAATACTAAAATAAAAACAAAATTTTTAATAAAAGAAATGTTTTCCCACAAATCTCCGATGTACCTGTTTCAGTTCTCTCTGATAGCGAAGCTGCCATTAGATCACTTATAGGCACTTCAGCAATATCAATTATAACTTAAAACTGCAGTGCTTCTCTCAATGACCTAGTTAGGCTTGTTAAGGTTAAACTCATTTGGGTACCTGCTCATAGGGATAATTATCGGGCAATTGCAGGGATGAGCTTGCCATGGCAAGGGGCCTTCTCCCTGACCTTCACTTCTCAGATATTGGCCTTCCACTTGCTACAGTTAAACTGGCAATTAAACAAAAATACCTGTGCATTGCCAAGTAATACTGGCTGATAAACCCCATTGTCAGATATCTTCGCACTAATCAACTACTTCAACTAAGGCGGAATGTGCTTAGCATCACGGTATATGTCCTGACGAACCACTGCGAAATAGGAAGGCATTCTATGAGAGTGGGTCTACCTTATAATGGCTTTTGTCGAGGCTGTGGCTCTGAAGATGAGTAGGATATCGTGCTCCATCTCATGTGTCGGTGACCTTCTTTAGCTAGAAGAAGATCAAAAATCTTCGAGGCCCCTTTTCTCACCGATCTGACCGAGCTGTCTTAGGGACCTAGTCAAATTTATAGAACTGTCAGGTTGGTTGGTTGGTTAGCTTTTTCGGCATTGGTTGTATACTAATTTCAATTTATGCACGTACCACTGCTATTCCTGTGATACCACAATGAGTTGATATATGAGCTCGAATAGGCTCTTTTGGAAACAAAGCTACCACTCCAACCTGCCTACCTAATATATTATTATATAAATAATTTGAACTTCATTGAATAAATTGTGAGTTTCTATAAATAAAACTTAATTATTTTCAACTTCTTGACTGCGTTGATGATATCAGCCGCAATTAAATGACTAGTAAAACTTGTAGTTTAAAATATTGCGGTCTTCATATTATTCGATGATGTGACACCACAATGTACTTTTTTAATTTCGTGTTTATGGATGTTGATCTTATTACGTGGATATCATCTATATTAGTGAGGAAGATAGTTACTAGGAGCACATCTAGTAAATAAGAGGAATGGCCAATTAATTGAAAACGTACTTAGCCACTTTAGCCATTGTAGTATGATTAAGTGGATTCTCTTGGTAAAATAAAAATTGTAAATGCAAATTCGGACATTGGTCATTAAACGTTAAGTCTATCAAGATATAAACATTCTAATGTGGTCAATCAGCAACACTCCTATACTATGTCAAAAAACAACATTCATGACCTTTCCGGCTGACAGAGTACTTTTCAGTTTTTTTTTTCAAACTTCATGCGTTTTTAAATTCACTATTTTGATTATTTTCTTCATTAACCAAACTGATAAAACCACATTTAAAGTTAGCAGAAAAATTTGGATTTAATTTACAACGGTATATTTTGTTTAATATGAAAATACAATTACAATGTTTTACAATGAAAACAGCGAATCAATTTCAGGATTGCTTCTACAAAAATTGTTAATAATATTGAAAATATATTTTCGTGTTTTCGCATCGTCCTATTTATTTGTGAGATTTACTTTAGTTGTTCCGTATCTACGCTTTGAGCCACTTGCCATCAACATTAGATAAAGTTTTTTCCATCCATTAGACATACAAATTATACAAGGAAGAGGAAATAAATATTATAAGCTTTACAAATTTTATTTGTTCCATTTGTCCATTTTAAACTTTCATTTGTTTATTATCCAGAAGAAAGTCACTAGTACTCATACATATAATATTTATTATCCTCTAAACAGAGGCATGGGTGCTATCACAGAATGATGAAGCAGTACTGGAGAATGATGATGATACTCTTCACAGTACTGGAAGAGTAAAGTTCTCCGCAATATTTTTGGTCTTCTTCGATTTTTTGAAGACGACCGCATCTGAATGATCCACAAGCTGTAATTGCTTTGTCACGATTTTGATATTACTTAGCCAATTAACATCCAACGGCTTTGTTCGCTTGGTTATGTAGTAAGAATGGATGGAGATGTTTCAGCGAAAATGGTAATTAAAACAGTAGTTGAATGAAGAAGGCGTAAAGGCAGATTGTGTGTCTGGTTGAGTGATCAAGTGAGGAGAGTTCTAACCGTACTTGAAGTACGAGAATGGAGAAGAAGCGCATGCAGAATAAGCGCCTGGAAAAACATACTGTAAGTACCTTAAACATTTCATTTTTTTAAGGACCCAACATAAATAGCTGTATTTGGAAGGATCTTAAAAGAAATTATTTCAAGTATAAAGTATCTAATTGTTTGTTTTTAGGTTATATTATGTATATTTATTTTATTATTTTTACTTTATTATAATAATTTTCGTACAGTACACATTCAATTGTATATGTAGTATGTACTCATACTATATAAATTACGGATACATTTATATGCAGAAAAATATGCTTTAATATGTAATTTCCTTAACTGTAAATCATTAGAATTTATTTTAAAATTATTTTTTAATTTCAAATTGAACAATTACATTCATAATTTCTTAAAATTTGAGTTTGGCGATTTCTTTTTCGATTGTGAATATTCATGAATGATGTCTGTTTCTGTTTAAATTAATATTTTTTAATATAAATTTAATTTATTCCAATTATAAACAAAATGTTTTTAAAAATTTTAGAAAAAATATTATTTCAATCAATTAAAAAAATAAAAATCAATTATTCAAGAATTTAACATAAATAAAATTTAAAAACTATATTAAAGATTGTTTTTTACAATTAAAAGCACAGCTATTTGAATATTTTTTTGCAATATTTTTTTAAATTTCCAGCTTCTTTTTATTAAAGCTCTTATAGTATATAATACTTTTACATTTACTAATTCAAAAATGGTTTAACAGTCCGTATAATGCTTCTATATAATTTTTAAATAAGTTCAATGTTTATTTTATATATACATTTGTATATATTATAAATTTGTTATGTACTATATATCTTTGCTACTTTTTCACTCTTTGCTACGTTAAATAATTTATTTATTTTTTAACAACTGAAATAAGCGTAAAATCAATAATTTTCAATAATGCAAATTAATGAAAACATGACACAGAGCGAGTTGAGAGTCATCTCGATCTGCTAGTAAATATTATCACTTTAATTGACATTTTCAGGGTAATTTATTTTTAAACAATTATTTTATAATCATTTCAACTATTATATATTGAAATTTATGATATAATTACAACCAGCGACGAATTTCGCTTAATTAGATAAAAGCCCTTGTATGCATGAGAGACATAAGCCCATAAGCCTTTACGCCTTGAAATCCGCTGCTGCGTACAACAATAAAATATAGTTATATAATAAATAATATAATGTTTACTATATAAAACTTATATCAGTAATTGTTTTGTACAATAAGCGTTGCATGTCGCCTAAGCAAAGGTACTTAATTGCAAATATATTTAGAAATTGGACTCGATTATATTGCTGGACACCTAAAATGTTGGCTTCTTTTGTTGAATATAAATAAATTTTTTTATAGGCTTTTATATAAGCTGAATCAAAAATTAAAAAGAAAATTTAATTATATATATAATTCAATATTTACTCATTTTAGAGACGAAACCTTTAGACTGTAGGATAATAAGATATAAAGACTGATATGAGATTCGTACATAGCTTAAGAATCGTTATCGAAACATTTTGTTAAATATATATATTATATTATTATATACATTATACATTATATATAATTTATTATATATTATATTATACATTATATATATATATATTAATTATATTTATTATTTCAACATAAAAATCAATTTTGTTTTTAATTTTTAAGTTATGTCGAAATTATTTTAAAGTTTAATCATTTAATATTTAAATAAGTTTTTAGGAATGCTCCTGATGAAGGCAAAAGCGAATTTGCCGAAATACGTATAGAAATATATAAAAATTAATAAATAAATAAAAAATTAGTTAAAGTTAATTCTCTTAAAAAAAACCGACTTTAAAATAAAAATAAATATTTAATCTACATTAAAGAGTCATGATATAGTGAAGAGTGTAACATATCACATACAACAACAGCAATAATGTTTTGAAAAATAATAATAATTAAATAATAATAATAATTCTGCTTCAATTTTAAATAAGAACACTTTTGATGAAAAATTACTTTTTAATTTAAAATTGAATAGACAATAATATAGTTATATACAGCATTAAAACTTATTTGCATGAAATCATAATAAACTTGTATCTGGTATTAGATTACAGGAGACATCTTTTAGGTAATATTTTAATTTTAGTGTTTTTTGTGGAGTATTATGCCAATTTTACTCTTATTTAAACCAAAAGTTCCTGAAGGTGATAATCAAAGATGATGAATATATAATCAGAAGTTTGATAATCAAAGATGGTGGAAATATTCAACTTCTTAATCAATTGAAATAAAATTTTTGATTAAAGAGAAGCGATATGTTTTGTTTCAAACCAAAATAAAATTAATCTAATCGTCAAAAAAAAATAATTTAAATTGAAATAAAATCCATAAATCCATGAAATGAGTATTAAGTATAATTAAAATTATTACTGATTTGGAAAATAAAAAAAAATAAAAAAAATGTTTTTGATTTCATCTTAAATATGAAGCTATTAAATTCTTTTAGAATTCATTATTTGAAATAAATAAAATTTAGACTTTAAAGCACCTCCATTAATCTCACAGAATCTCATATAATCTTATTTATTATATACCTATATATCAGTCGGTTCTAAGGTGTTACTAAATAATATTAATAATTTTCATATATTTAAACTCTGTTTACTATATTTGTATATTAATTTAACATACATATAAGCGATACTTTCCAAAAAAAAATATATATAACAATGTTTTCTATTCTTTGAGATTTCTGGTTCCGGAAAAAGTTTTTATTTGGTGGTGCTATGCAGGTGGATAGTGTACTATATGTGAATGCTATAGAACATGTGGAGTATGTTAATATCTCTTTAATATTATATGACATTTATTGATTGATTAATTTTACTTTAAAATTAGTTTTGTTATTTTAAGTTTCTTAATTTTTTAATATGTAGTTTGTTTTATATATATATATATCTTTTGTTTAATTCAGTAACAGTCAAAAATGCATTATAAATGCTCGCCTTTAAATTACAACTGCCCTTCAAGAGCATAGCCAACTGTAAATGTAATTCAGCTCAGCATTTATTCATATGCCATTATACATTAATAATATTTATTGATTTAATATTTTTTAAATATATAAATAAGATTTCTGTATTTAAATTAAAAAATGCCCTTTAAAATTGTTCATTTTCAATCATAAATGCAAATAATTTTTTACAACTTTTATACTTTATTAACGAATTCTTTTAAATATTTATATATATATATTAACATAAATTATTTTTTTAACAGTTTGCAAATATATTTACTTTTAAATATTAAACTAAATTTCAACAATTACAATATAAATATATTTATTTTCATATATATATGTATATATATATCTTTGAAACATCAATTAGAGAACATTTAAATTGATTTGGTTAAACTTAATTGACAACGATTTAATTTTTTTTGCATTATTTAGTTTGTTGCTTTATATTAAATAATAATTCAGATTTTGCTCGTAAATATACATCTAACAAAATTTTATATATATATTTTACTCGTATATATAAGTTGATATTTCATATATCATATATACTTTGGTAGATATGCAATAGGTACGTATGTACTCGCCGCACTTGTAGTTCTTTTTATATATTCTTCATTGCTCTTTTATGTTTTATATCTACAAGCATTGGTTTTAATTTTATATAGTATTTTATATATAACATATATATATATATATATGTATAAATAAATTTATGAATATAGTAACATAGTAAATGGATGATTTGCATTATAGCTGGTAGCTATAATGCAATTTTTATGATATGCTTTGCCTTAAAGATAGTTCTTGGTTGAATAATGTTTTGTATCTACTATATATACATACACATGTACATTTATATATATGTGCATATATATAGTTAAGGACATATATACATTTATATACTTCTCTGTATTAATTGAACTAATTAAAATTTACTAATTTCGATCATTCGAACATATTGCAATTGGCTACTCACAAAACCTTGTACCTTGTACCTTGTACCGTTTTAATACCATTATTTATATCATAAATTGTAAATAGCCAATGTTGATGCTATGGCCAAAAAGTACAACTATTAAAATTTAAATTTATAAAATGAAGTTAAGTTAGTTAAGTTTCGTAGTGCAGATTGCGTTGTGCGCTCTTCAGACTTCTTACAAATCATCACCCAAGCGATGAATTTCATCTAACATGAAATCAACATCCTGTTCGGTAACGGCTGCCGATGATATGATTGATCGGAAGAAATTGGGGCGACGATCATCAGGCTGATAGCCAACCATTAGACTACCTTTCTGCATCATGCGTCCTTTAATAATAGGGCAGATCTAAGAAAAAAATGGTATTTAATAACTCATTTTTTGAAATAGATTCTTAATATTTAATTGTATAAGCATTGCATATAAATTTGTGCAACTCACCTTTCCCAACTCCTTTTCTTTTCTGCTGTCATGTGGAATACCTCGCAATCTCTTTGGTATATACCAAAATGAGACATTAACACATTCTGGTTCCAAAATCAAATGGAAGCGATCAGATTGTTCTTTGATACGTCTAACTTGATAATGTGCCAAGTCCATTAAACGATCCTGTTGGCGTTCAAATCCTTCGGTTCCCTTAGAACGCCACTGTAGCCACAATTTAAAAATGTCATTATGACGTCCACATTGTATGACTTTATCGCCAGTATCATAGCTGATGTCGTATTGTTTGTCGGTCATGAAGAGATACTCAGCAGACATTTGATTGCAACTAATCAAAAGACCCTGCGGGTGACAAAACAAATACAAATCATTTAGACTCGAGAAAAAATAGGAAATACGTATTATTGGTGTAACTTTCAAGTGGTCTAAATGAGAAGATGCAACTTGTGACAATTCCCACGCACTGTAAATGTGCTTTTCGTGTTTACAAGATTTTGTATTTGTGATTGACATGTTGGGATTAAGGATACATTCAAGAGTGAGAAATTGTCAAAGTTTTATTTATATATGAAAGTATAAAAAGTATAAAAGTAAATAATTATATTCGTTTTGCTAAAAATGCTGTATATGAAAATAGTTTTAATTTATTGTACATTGAAGGAATTTTAAAGAATTGGTTTTATTTCGTTGTTATGTTTAGTCATAAAATCAATTTTAAAAGGTCCAAAATTGCAATATTAGAAAGATAGGCTAAAAAATTTTAATTAAAATTCCTAGAATGTTTTTTTCGCTTACAAATGCCATCAGTAGCAACTGTGACCAATGAGAACATATTGTATATATGCTGAAATATGTCAGTTGCCTTAACTTTTCTTAACTTTTAATGTATGTAATTTTTAAGGGTGACTACTGTATTTTTCATGCTGATGTACGATAGACCGTTAAGACAAGGGTTACCAGCTTGGAGTTTATTAAAATAAAAAAAAAAATGGTTCACAGAAATAAAAGATTGAATTTTTTTTTTGATAATAGAGATTTTGTATTGAAATTAATTATTTAAAACTTAATTTTCAATTATGAATGAATAAAAAAATTCGCAATATTATTCCCGGAGTTAAAAGCTTTACTTTTTCTATGTTCTTATTGGAAAGTTTTGATGATTTACAACATTTAGGCATCCGTGAAAGCAAATAATTTCAAAATAATTTGTGAAAAAAAAATTTTAAATACAATAAAATTTGTCTCTAGAATACTTTGGAAAAAAGACCAAAAAGATGTGAAGCAATTTCTTCATACATTATTTCTTAAATAAACGTTATTGAGTGGAATATTCAATCTCTTAGCCTGGTTTACTAACAGATGCTGTCCAGTTGGCAAACTTTCTAGAAAAGTAATATCTTGATAATTGATATGCTCTATTAAAACGATTATTTAATTTTATTTATGTCATGTTCAATAATTTAGACGTCAAAGTAATAGACAGATGCATTATCTTTAATTTCTTTAACTCTAAGCGAAGAACAAGTAACGGATTAAATATGTAAGAAGTCGAAGGTGGACAATTTCATCTGGTCCCTATCTTACGTACGAACTAAGTTGTGATTAAGCCAAATTATAAACAAATTATTTTCCTATTAGTATATAAACTATTAAAAAATTTATTATGTTACAAATAAATTTTCTTTTTAGATAATTTTACACATTAAAAGTAGTAAAAATTTATAATAAATCACCATAAATTTCTTCTTTATATTAAAAAACTATTTAAAAAAACATCCTTATTCCTATATGTTCCTTTTTCATGAACAGCTATCATGTATCATTTTGTGTTTACGATCATTTTAAAAGCAACCGTTTTTAGTCCGTTGAGACTTTCTTGAGAATTCCCTTAAGAAGATGATTACAAGTTTACTAAGTTCCTCTAAAAAGTAAGTTTACTAAGTTTCTCTAAAAATAAGTCCTTAAAATGTTTAAAAAAATATTACCATTATAGACCAATATTTTTATACATGATTAATATAATTTTCTACCACTAGTCCCTAAAATATATCTGGATGACATGGTAACCCTTAAAATTTCTAAATGCTTTGCAAGTTCAGAGAATTGAAATTTATTCGTAACAGCATCGATGAAAATTGCTACTTCAGAAAGGGACCAACAATATTTAATGTAGCAGACAAAAGGAACCCAAACCCAATAATACAGCATTATTGCTGTTACTCAACTCAAAACGTTACCAGACAAATGTTATTCTGGATTCCTGCTAGTGTCTTCAAAAATGGTAGGAAATGCATTCAATAAATTGTACTTGTCCTATTGTCATGAAAAACAAATACTAAGATTATTTAATTGAAAAACGTTAAAGAAAGTTTAAAATAAATTAAAAATATTCTATATTCTATAATGGTAATATATTTGCGATATGTTATATATACATATATATAATATATTTAAATGTAAAAAGATATAGTTTTATATTTCCCAATTAGAAAAATTACTTACATCTTCCTTGAAGTGTATTGTGGAGCATTGCAATAAGGCACCCATCAATTTATGTGGATTCCAAGTAACTGAATCAGCTCTGTAAATATAAAGAAAACCGAAAAACTATTAATTAATTGTTCATTTAATAAAAAAATTTAAATTAAATACAAAATCAAACAAATTACAAACAATTATCACTAATCCACGTCAGTGAAAGGTAACGTGCCATAAATGCCGGCAATTTATAGTCTGCAACCCGCAACATTTAATTCAATTCAGAAAAGCCAACAAACATAGAATGTGAAGCAAGTGGGTAAAAATAGAGGGGTGAAATTTCTATTCAATATACTGTTATTTTCTAAACATCCCTCAGGGAGCTATTTATGGTTTTCACACGAACACATCAAAATACACAAACACACGCGCCCATATTTATGCTTGCAATCACAGATGAGGTCCTTAAAATGATAAAGGAGCGATTGTCGATGAGTTGATGTTATCTTATTTGTTCAGATAGATATAAGCACTCAAGTGACATATTTCAGTTTTCAACTTCAGTAATCGTTTTTCTATAATGTTTCTTGCATGGTACTATTTTAATAAATTTATACCATCGAATATATAATGTTTTAAGGATCTCTAAACTGTATTCAATTTTGATTAATTTAAACAGATTATACAGATTATGTTAGTAGTGACAGATATTTGATTTTTTTTTGTAAGTGCTACTGATTTAATTATAGAATCTTTTCTAATAACATAAGATTAGAGAAGATCGTATATTAGCTACAGTTGTAATGAAATTTACAGCTCCTAAAATAGAATTCCAGTTAAATAAAGAGAAAAAATAGCTTAATCAACAGAAGTGCTACCATGAGCAATAATTGAAGATAAAGAAGGATAATCAGTTCATCCTTATCCAGCTCCGTTTGCAACGTTTTTTTTTATTATTACAGGAAGGCTTAATGAAGATGACAGTAATTAAAATCTTTTATTATATAAGATATGTTAACATATGAATTATTCAGAACTATGTTACAAATGACCTTATCGTTAAATAATTACAATTTATTTAAAAGCGATGATTCTTATTCTATGGGCTTTACTTTACCAATAATGGGCTAATTAAGAATAAGATAACGAAAAATAGGATAATTTTCAAAGTTAGAATAGCTACTTAATTATAGCTAAGTAAAAGGTCCACCAGTGCATGTAGCTTTTAATCTTATTGTTCTAATTCGAACATTTTATTACTGATTTATCTAAATGTTTGTAAATGCTTTCACATCTAATGTACGAGTACAATGATAGGCTTACTTACTCTTAGTATTTTCAACTTAGATGGTTTCTATGTTTGATGATATTGTGAGTCAAATAGTTAAAAGTTGATTAGTCAAATGGATTTCTTGGTACTATTGCACTTTATACTCATAACTTAAAAGGGATTAAGTTTTTGTCGCCGTTATGTAGTACAAGTAAAAATTATGTATGCTTAGTTTAGAATATAATAGAATAAAATAGAAAATATAAGTAGTACTGACAATCAGTGGAGCAGACCACAGTGACTATGGATGCTATTTTGTACTTCTAACCGATCCTAACAGAACAGAAGAGATCGCGTCCTTCGAATAAACGCCAGGTTATTATCTGTTAAGAACATTCCACCATCGGATAGGGATAGGATCTCCCGGTCCAATAAGTTCTTCCTGCTCCAGATTAACGCCCGTTAGCCACAGAGGATATGACTAGAGAACTTTTCAGCTGCCAAGCAGACTCGAGATACAATTTAATTATATAAATTCATTTTGTTAATGTAGATAAATTGGGATATTTTGAATGTTGCCCATTCAGATGTTGAGCTCAACGTATACTAAAACTTTGTGATCTGGCTGTCTCAATGAAATGAAGTCAAAAATTAATTACGAACACATTTGCTTGCATAAGAGGACAGTTAAATACATGGGCCACGTCTAGAGTGTAAAGCTCAATTTTGGCTAGATAACAGTTATATATGAGTTTGTGTGACTAACCACTATTAATGTGGTTATATTCTGATCCAAGTAAGAACAGTTGTTGTTACCTTAGGTACATGTCTCTCTCCTTGATAGATGATTATATTATCTGAGTATAAGAAGAATCTTAGATTTCATATAAGGGCAATAAATATGCGGCATGGGTTGATATGACACTCAAATGCTGTACTCAGTAATATTAATATGTCATTATAGTTAAATTATGAATAAAGTTAATTGCATTCTATTTTATGCTACAAATGCATTTGTTCTGCATTTAGTGAATTAGTGGTAACTAGAATATGTATTAACTTGTAAATGGACAAATTGATTAAAGTAACTTAAATAGTTAGTGTGTTGTTCTCCACAAAGCATTTACCAAAAAAATCTCGAATATAGCAAATAGATTTAATATACTATGGTATCTTGTATTCGAATTTGCCGTATGAGAAAATTACAGCTCGTCATTTACTGCTCATCAGGTGTTGCATGTTGCATTTGCGGCAGAAAGGCTTAAAGGATTAATGTTGTTCAAGTTAATGTTAAGTGCATTTCTGTACAAAGAGCAAGTAAAGTGGGCAAAGTGGATTTTCTTTTTCACTTTTTATCTGACTACACACATTAATTTCTTCCTATAAAACAATAAAAGCAAGACCTTTTCCGAGGGTGGTGGCATTAATATATCAACCTGAACGAAAATGAAAAAGTGAAGCAAACGCTGCTTTTTATAGCAATTATACGAACTGTGTACTGCCCTTATTTGTTCAAAGCGAAGAGAAGTAAGAGAAGTTGAAATTTATGAGGGTGTTTGAGTTTGAGGAATTTTTAATTTAAATTTTTAAGTCAAATATTTGTTTAACAGGATTTTTGCTGCGGTGAAAAAAAAATAAACTACTGATTCATTTACATTGGAATGCAATAAAAACAAATGCAAGAATATTTTAAGTTTTAAACTGCACATTGCATTCTGCTTTACAATTCGAAACCATTTCCTCAATTAACAGATTTAGTTTAATCCTTCACTTCACATAATGTATTGGCAGTTTGTGGTGGAAACTGTATTGCCGCACACCACAACACAAATCCTCAAATGGTTTAAGCACTACGAAATTGATTACCATATCCATCAAGTCCTGCGTTAGTTGACATATTGGTATTAGGCAAGACAACAACAACTGTACTGTGAGTGAGTGGGCCTAATCTTATGCTCCTTTTTGTACTGTGGAAGCTGTTTTGGTAATCAATTCAAAGTAACCAACCACTAATCCCCAAAGCATTTGTTTTTTACTCCCTCCATGACTGTGGAGTTTAATGGAAATTGAAATAAGAAGTACTTTTCTTTTGGTGTAAGAGCTTCGTTGGTATAAGGGCTTCACTACTTTGTTATGCAGTGTGAACTTTCTTATTAATTGTTTGCATGACATGAAGCAGCGAGTTCTAAAGAATTCACTTGATTAATGAGTAATTTAAAATCAAAATTATTTTAAAACGGTTTTAAATAAAATGAATTGAAAGTTTAAAATAGAACTTGAGCCAAGGACCTACTTTATAATAACATTTTTAAGTCCCACACAAATTTCTTTACATGTACTAATATATTTAATTTATAATATTGTACTTCATTAACTTTTATTTATTCTGAAAGGAGTTTCATTCTGAGAAATCTTTATATAAACTGCAATAAGTAAGTTTATTAAATTAAATACAACTAGCTAGCATGAGACATTATATTCTATAAAGAAACAAATCGTGGAAATGATGAGTTTCGACTGTCTGTCATAAAACAATCAGCTTCTAACCAAACCATTTATTCCTACGTTTTACATAGATGGTCATCTAAATGTTGCATTAACCATTAGAGTCCACTGCATCACATATGTAGATTGATTCTTTTATTTAATGAATACATATATTGACAACTGAATCCATGAGGAAACCATTTGTAACGTGAAGGACCAAAAAGGATTTTTAATAATTGAAGTATTCGGTGTTGCAGTATTCTCTACAATGACAACAATAAATGTGGAAGAGATAGAAATTCTTTGTCTGCTTTAAAACTTAAATATCTGAGTATTAATACTGCTGAAGGTAAATAAATAAACATATATATAATTTAGATATATAAAGAAATGGTTATTTTATGCGTTGCGCTAACAATATTAATGAAAAAGGAAATTGAAACTAATTCGAATCATATACTAATACATTTTGTCACATGAGTACAGTATTAGCAATCTTATTTATATATAAATTTGATTAAGAACTTTTGAAAAAAGTGGCGTTCAGAAGCAGTAATATGCTGTTTAATATGTGGGTTTCATTTAGTAGATAAATTTTCCAATATAGAAGTGTCTGCCTCTATATTAAATCCTGAGAATTTGGTGGCCAAGAAGAATAAGAAATGAAGATCTTTTGTAAATAACTAAACAAGTAAATATAAATAACGGATTAAAAAGACGAAAGTATAGCTGGCTTGGAAATATTTTGAGGAAACCTTATGATAAATGTATCTGTCGTATCTGTAGTCTGCGTAAAGAAATTAGTCAATGTAGTTTTTGACATTCCTACTAAGTGAATTAGTGATAGCGAGAGAGGGCTTAAGATATGATTCAATAAGAAAGATGATTCGGGAGTTGAAAATCGTTCTTTACCACAATTTTATTGCAGAATGTTGAATTTTTATTTATAGCAAACTACTTTGAAAATATAAAATAAACATTATCCATATTTTGAAAAGCATTTTAGAGAGTGTATTTTAAATTCTAATTTAGTTACACTTCAAACAGATACTCTTATAGATAGTTTGAAGCAGATTTGGTGGTGAATAACGTTCTCAACTAAAAAGGCAATTACTTGCAGGCATGCAGTGATTTATGAGACTAAAAATTGTTTCAGACAACAGCTTGCGGCCGCATATTAAAAACGGTTTCGATGAGGGTTGGTCAAGTATGCCGAAGATATAAAAAAGTTGCAGGGATTTTTATACAGAGAGAGCATATATTTTCTTAAAAATAATTCCATAATCATATTATGTACATATATACAAAATGATATTAAGTGCATGTATTTATACAAAAAAAAAAACAAGATTTCGTTTACCTTTCAACACCTGAAAGTCTAGGATGACGGTATTTCCGCGATAACAATAGTCCACCACCCCATGCAGCCTAAAATATTCATATTGAAGAAGTTATAGTATTTATGATATATAATAAAAATGAACATATCAAACTTACATCAACATGCATCCAGCAATTGTATTTTTGACAAATATCGGCAACTTCATTCAAATTATCGAATGCGCCAAGCACAGTTGTGCCAGCAGTTGCATTAACAAAGAATGGTATATGTCCTTTAGCTTTGCGTTCCAATATGAGCCTTTCCAGTTCTGAAGTTATCATCTTGCCATGCTCATCTGATGGCACCATCACGCAGTGATCTGTGCCGAGACCACAGACAGCTGCGCACGATTTAACCGAATAATGGCATTGATCAGAAGTGAACATTACCAATTGTCCTGGTAAGCCAGCAGCACCGTGTTCCTTGTAATTGGGAAACATTTTATGACGTGCCGCCAAAAATGCATACAAATTTGATATAGAACCACCAGGTGCCAATATAGAGTCACCACCGCGCCAGCCAATGATGTCGCGCATCTTACTTAGCACTACATTTTCCATTAAAATGAAAACTGGTGCAATCTCATATGTGAACATGTTGGTATTAGCAGTTGCAGTCAGCCACTCGCCAGCCATGGATATAACGTCCAGGCCACATGATAATTGATTAAAGAAATGAGGATGTCCTGAAAATAGAAAAGAAAATCTCTTAGTACAAACTTGAACATTATCACAGAGGAAATAATTTCGCGCCAAATTAAAGCTTTGACCAAAAACTATTTAATCAGTGGTGATGGGGGAAATCATTTCCGCAATGCCGCTTTTATTGAAAACTAATGTAGCTGAATAATATGTAGCATTGCAAGGATGTTGTGAGTCCTGGATGTTCCTTTTTATTAAATGTTATTATATAAAATTTTATACCAAAACTTTTGACATTGATAAGTTTTAGTGCTTTTTATATGGAGTACTGAAGTATATAAGGAGCAGAGCGATTATTTTCGCCTGCCTGTCAGTTGTCAGTTGTAACAGCTTTGCTTGCTGCAATTACCGTTCTAAGAAAAACCGTTTTTGTGGAGCATTGTTTCCTTCTAAAAACAGCAGATTAAGGCACAAAAAGTATTCACCGCCTTTGATACTCTGTCTGCGTAAGCTGACAACAGATGTGCGTTGCTTAATGTTGAAGCTTTAATTTTTCAGCTATTAGAGAAGTTCTGTACTCTCTCTTTCGTAAAAAATGATGGACGCAAATAGCAGAAGTAATTCGTTGTTTTGAAACAATGAACTCCAGACCTTCATTCAGAGGGGCGAAATGGAAATCAGCATGCCTGGCTGGAGTATAATACTCACTCATATTCAAGGACAGCCGGATGTTGGCTGTTGGCATTGCTCATATGTTACATCCTGCAAAAGTTGCCTAATATCAACATTGATTTTTTATTGTCTAAATTTTAGTGAAAGTAAAAATAGTGAATATTCTCTACACAATAGACCGGCGACCGTGTAGTTGGAGGTCGACATAGATTCTATACATTTAAGAATTACTTTTATAACAATTTTTATTTTATTTTATTCAATTTTAATAACTTTAAAGGATGGTTTTCTTAATATTTGCATCTTTAAATATGAGAATATGCTTTTTATGATAATAGAATTTTTGAATTTAAATAATCATTGCAAAATAAAGTTTACGTTTTTAAATGCCTCATTGTTTAATTCACTCAGAGATATTTCTGATATTAGTATTGGCCATAAAGTCTAAATTGCGATGGATGAGTAATAAATTAAAAGATTTGTCATCTCATTTTGGTGAAGTACTGATGTATGTATGGGTTCGGACTATTATTTATCAGGTTTTCGAAATGCAAAAATGTTAGTTGATGTCGTGATTGTCAATTTGTTATAAGTACAATATACTTTTGATTGGAACAAATGAAAATGAAAATTGGGAGAAATATCTTTTCATTTGGTCATCACTATTATTGCCAAATTTTATTTTTTTAATTTAAAACCAAAATTACTAAAATATATTTGCTGATATTTAACAAAAGTCGTTGTGGTGTATAAATTACTTAGAGTATTATCAGATGTCTACACATACTATAAATGATCATTAATATATATTTAGAGTTCTTATAAATAAATTTAATGAAATCATATCTTCTATTGGGCAAAGCAATAAAGGAACAAATATGAACAAAAATAGAGCAATTAATAATTTGTTTGACCCAAACATAGAAGTTATTTTCATCACTCTTCGTAATGAATTGCTCATTTATTGCGGCTAATTGGGAATTAATATTCTATTTAAGTTCAGGGAAGAAAAAAATCACGCGTCTATTAAATAATATTGGTGCAAATAAGAAATAAATTCACAAATAATAACAGCAGGAATTACAAAAGTATGCCGAACAAAAACAACTCACCAGGGTGCATTCTTCAACACTAAAAACCCAATGAATCAAAACATAACAAATACAACACAACAGGCTGAAAGGAACTGAGGAGTATAAAAGGTTGTATTCGTACTTAAAGGGGAAGAACCCTTCGAGCAGTAACAAGCGAACACATTTCCCTGTCAGTTCACATCTTGAGTGCCATAAGTTGTGTGATTAAAATCCCATCGCCGTAAGTCATGAGCCAACAACTGATACGTCAGTGCATCCTTTTTGCATTGAAGAATTTTCATGAAAATGAAATTCCTTATATAAGGAAGAAAGCTAAGGCATTTCAGTCCATTTGTCTTGTCGGGATTTACGTTTAGTTGAGAATACGAAAATGTTTGAATATTGAAAAACATTTCAATTTGCGCATGTGACTGCTGCCAATGGCAGTGACAGTGGGACAGATGTTTCTACTGCCGTGATGCTTGCTGCCTGCCACAGTCTCTTTGTTGCGCACATTAAATTCCATTCATTCGCTTCAAAGGATCAGGGAGCAGCGAGTCAGAAAATAACAACGGATTTTGATTAAAGCTCTCTTCCTTTTATGGAGTTACTAACGTTGTTGTTTCCTTGCTTTGTTTGGTGTGCGTGCAATGTGTGGGTTGAAGTAATGTGGCGTGGGCTGAAGTTAATGTCAAATTTATATATCTGATTACACTGTAGCATACTATACGGAATGAGATGTATTATGCTGCCAATATTGAGTACGTTGGATTATGTGGGATTATGGATCATAAATGCAATTTTTATCAATGTTTCGAAAAAAAATTTATATTTAAAGATAAATTTTGTACACTATAAAATTGAAATGTAAAAAATATTGCTGTTTCAATCAATATTTATTTTTTAAATAAACATATGAAATATATATTCACTGTTAAATGGTTCCATAAAGTCCAACAGGTTATAATATTATTTGGTTAGTACTTTAATAAAGTGCTGTGCCTAAAAATACAATATCTGTACGTTCAATATCATACAATATCATGCAGTGGCGTCGCTAGGCGTCAGCGATGTCGACGGCCTCGCGCCCACATGGGCCCCGCAAAAAGTTACCGACTGTGGATTCTAAGCACTTAATAAATATTTTGAACAATTTGGTTTGATAATGGCATTAACCATATTCGAAATATTTCTGAATGTTTATATAGTAACCAGATTCATGTTCACAGTTCCAGTCAGTATAGTTTCGACGGAAAGACGCTTCTCAAAGTTAAAATTGATTAAGACGTACTAGAAAAGTATGATGATACAAGAGAGACTATCTCCATTCGAAATTTTATAAACCGAAGCGAAAATAGCTGGATCAAATTATGATATAATTTAAAAAAAAAATTTAGTGAAGCTAAAAGTAGTAAAATTCATTTATTTTAATTTATGTTTATGTTTATTTTAATTTGATTAGCAATAAAACTTTCAATCATGCCTTGTCATATTAGTGAATGTAACTTATCTACTTTTACAACTGGGTTATAAAGAGGGCCTCGCAATTCTAATGTTGCCGACGACCAGGGTTGGTCTAACTGTTTAAATTTTGAAATGCGTCGTACCACAATATGAGTACCGCAAATTTCTCAAATTTCGTTTATCGTAAAATACCGAATCTGTGATGAAATGTTGTACTTTTCTAATGAATGTTGAATACCACAAGGTCTCTCTCTGCTGGGTAAAAACATCGATGTGATGTGTGAACTGTTTAGGAGCATAGAAGAATTCAAATTCGGGATAAATGTCTCATGAAAACTATAAAGTTGCTAGTGCCATCTGATCAAGATTAGACAGGAAAAAAATTAAAAGCATTTTGAACTTCACTACATCTGCACTTCATTGTCTTACTGAACACTACCGAGACACTGTCCAATTGCACCGATGCTTCAACGGTGACGTATTCCAACAAGTAGACCGTGCAACAAATGCCATGATAAAGATGAGATAGCTGCTACTAATCACTTTCTATGTCTTTGTCCCGGTCTACAGACCAAGCGACTCCAATATGTTGGAGACCGTTTCTTCACTCGCCTGACCAAAACAACTAAAGTAGTTTTTTTGGATTCAATTAGCTTTAGCTGGAGATAACAATAGTAAGTGTGAGTGACTCAGGCAGCCATAATGGCCAATAGATATTTCCGAATGGAAGTCGTTGTAGTTATAAAAGCACACACTCTCTCACTCTAGCATACCGACCTTATTGATTTTTGTTTTCGTACGCTTTTCATTTTCTTTATATTTTGAACCATTGCTTTTGAGCTGCAGGCATTATACATCGAAATCTGTTCGCCAGCTTGTTAATGTCTCATGTGCTAATCTATATAATGAGATTTTGTGTATTTATTTGTTCTTAATCTTATCGTAAATTGTAAAAATTGATTTTAATGAACATTTTTTAGGATGTTATTGGATGAAAGCAAAAGATTATCATATATGTCTTCTGTTCTGAGGTAAATCATGTTTGTGTATAACTCACATCCTTATATATGTTATAACTAGTTGAACATTTATTCCAAATGAACTAATATAAGATATTGAACTTTTTGACGCTAATGCTGAAAATCTATTGGTTGATGTGTTTATGAGGATTGCACTTAGTGATGAATGTTATTTTTTGGGATTGGTGAATTCAATGAAAATGTTGGATGTAACTTTTTTAGGTGAAATAAAGAGCTTTCAAGTTAGTATTTTTCTGCATTTAGTTGGAAGTTTTTTTTTGTTCAAGTTCCCATAATTCTGGTGATCATTTGAAACGAATCTTTATTTTAAAATACGCCTTTGAAATACCCAGTCTTATCAGTTTTGTACAACTACAGGCAATGTCAAAATCTTATATCAAATTTAAATTAGCATAAATTTGAATATATTAATTAGAGTGAAGAGCAAGAGGAAGCATATGCTGTGCATAATTTTGGACGTGCTCTAATATCTTGTGGTCGCATTAGGGTTGTCAACGCTGCAGGATTCGGATTAGAACTCTGATTTCTGCTGGCAGAACTAATAAATAAACAAAGTGTGCATCTAAGAAGATAACGACATTAAGCGAAATACCATTTTATGGCCCATTGAATTTCCGCCACAAAATCCATTGATGGAAAATAATACTCGTACTTCATGTTGATGTTATTTGTTATTGTTTTCACCTTTCAGAAACAGACTAGACTTAAAGAGAGTGGGTAAAAAAATGGTAAATATTAAAAAGATTTAAAAGGGGTGCAATTTTTTAACAACATAAATCTGTTTACAAGAAAAGAACTATTCGCAATAGAATTCCTAGATCAATCATAATTCTCGAAAAGGGTTTACTAAGTCAAGAGTCATTTGGTGTTTGGTGTTTGGTACGGAAATCGACCGTTTGCATAAAGTTTTTTTTGCCTGTATGTATCGCATACGTATGCTCAACAATGTTGGTATTTTGAATGCGCTACTGATTCTGTTGAAAATTAAGTTTACACACCCACACTCCGCCCACTCGTTCGTGCTGTCGCTTTTAATCGAATTATGCACGTGACCGCAATTGTGCTAAGAGTACTGATAATAAGCGATTTTTTTGTCAACAGATATTCCCTGATGTATATCTACACATCCAAAGGCGACATCAACTGAGCGGAAGTATATTTTGTTTCAGTAAAGGAAGCATCGTTTGTTTCCGTTTGGTTTTTGTGCTAGTCTTTCAATCTCAGGAAATTACGAATTTTGCGGTAAAAGTTTTAAGTGAATTCAATTATTATTGTTTTTTTCTTTTTTTTGAGTTTTGAGATGTCCAATGAAAGTTTTTCTAAGTTACTAAGTTAAGTTTTTAGTTTCCTCCTACACTTACCTGTTTTTACTTGATACTTAAGTGTTGTAGCACAATCCTCTATCAATTGTTGCAAGTTCACAGCTCGATCTGGTACTTCTAAGTCCAAAAGACGTTTCATATCTTCAGGATGATGAAAGTCCAAGACTTTCTCATTGCGATCATTGGTTGCTTTAACAAAATCCAAAAGCACATCAATAACTTTTAATAGGAATTCACGCGTCTCAGTGCCAGCAGAGACTGTAGTTGGCAAGAGATCTGCAAAAAAAAATAATATGTGGAAATTAAAAAATACATAAATATAAAGATATAAAAATGCATTTAGGAAACTAACAAAAAAAAAAAATTATAATAAAAAGATAACTTTTTTGTTTGATAAAACTTTGGGCTGTCAGAGGAAAATATGTTACCTTATCAGTGAGTTTGATAAATGAACATATTGAGGTATTCCTTAACAGCTTTTTCGTACTGAAATTGCTTGGCTGTTGCCATAAAAAGAGATTTAAAATTTTTGGTTTATTATTTTATAGCCAAAATTTGCCAGGCTGGAAAAAAGTATGTGGCTTTGCGTTGTTCACTCCTTGCGCAAGTTACCCTCTTTCATTTGTTTGGTTTAACCATTGCGCCGGATGTTGTTTGACTGCCACTTGAAGTGCTATAAGCATCATTTTATAGCGCCTTTTTCTATGGAGTGATGTGCTTTATGGAGATGCTACCCCAGAGGCAAGGTCGTTTTAAACCACCCCTAAGCAATGCAAGCAGTAAGATTTCTAGTTGAATTGAATCTGCTATATTTTTAAAATTAGTTTGCTCGAAATAATGTTCGAAATAATTGCTAATTGAGGATTTGTTTACAGCAGCACTAGGATTAAATTGTCGCACTTAATAAGTATCACTTAAGTGAGCCACATGGGGTAAAGTGTGAAAGAACTTTTTCAGTTGTGGTTCAAATGAATTTAAAGCACCTGTAACGGTCACTAACCAATTTTTAAATACTTTAATTTAAATGTTGAAAAAAGAAAATGGAACTCCGTATAAGAAAATATTACTGGTTTAATGACAGTAAAAAAACTATTTTATAAATAAAAGAATCATTAATAGAGTGTTTTTTTTTAAACTACTCAAAAAGGTTTGCATAAAAAATAATATATGGATAGATATATAAATATCTGAATGAATTTCTTTTCAATGTCTTTACCTCAATCAATGCTAAACATCTTAAAGTTGAAATAAATGTTAGTAATTATCTTAAGTCATACACCACCAACTAGTTACCCTGCAACATGAATTTCCTCAACTGTCCCATTTTTGTCCCATTTTTGTAGTATAAATGATTTAGCATGACTTTAATAGAAAAGTAAATGAAATTCCATTGACATGTAAGCGAACGTAATATCCTGTGACTAAACGGTTTATGTTTGTTATGTTCTTGATGCCAGGCACACGTTTGGTCTGGCACTCTTTGGCAGCGAAGGGTGACTTTCTGCCAATTTGAGCACCCCAACCATCCGAAAACCCAATCCATACAGTAGCTACTTTTATTTGACGTGTGCTGCAGAATGCGTTACAGCTTTCGAATGCTAAAGTACAACTGCGAATGGCACAATTTATCACTTTTTCTTGTGTTTCAGACATAATTCTTTTACATTTTTATGCCAGTTGATCCTCGACATTTCTAAACCCACACTTGTAACTTTTTGTTAAAATTTGCGAGTGTTTTGTTTAGTTTCTGTTTCTGTTTCTGTTTCTGAATTCAGTAAACATTTTTCAAATTTAGGTATTTCCTAATTTGTAAGTGTTTTGTAAGGACTTTTCCAAACAAGAACCCATTCGATCACAATAAGTGCATAGAGTGTTAAATATTTTATAAATACTATAAGGATTTCATAATTTTTATATATTTGATCTTATCGTAATTTTAATTAAATAAATAAGTAAAACACTAAATATGATTTATATAATAATGATAATAATAAGCTTTGCTCGACGTAAATGATTCGAGTAACGTCTTATACTGGGCACAAGCTATCTATAAGTCGCTTCCACCTTTCGCGCCGCAACGCTACCTCATTTATATCACTAAAGTTACTTATTCTTCTTTCTAGGGGCTGAAAAACGGTATTTATTTCATTTAACGTTGACCTTTTTCATGTTGTTTTTGGACGATCTCTTCCTCTGATACTTTGCGGGTTGTATACCAACGTCTGTTGACAAATTTCAGTAGGAGACTTTCGAAGTGTATTCCCGATCCATCCAAATTTTCTTTGGGAATTTCAAGGTTGACATCTCTTACATTTCTTCTGGTCCAAAGGTCTTGATTTGATATTCTGTTTGGCCAAAAAATATGCAAAATTCTGCGGAAACAACGGTTGACAAATACTTTCAGATTGCTTTGTATGTTTTCTGTAGCAAACTAGGTTTCGCAATCACTCAGGAAAATTGAAAGAACACATGCTTTAAAGATTTTTATCTCTGTGCGTAAACTAAAGGTATTGGAGTTCCACACTTTACGAAACCTTGTAAAAGCGTCCAGGGCTTTCTTTATTCTACTTATCACATCTTGGGCTGTAACTCCATTTTCGGACACAATACTGCTTTGTCGATTACTCGATGCTTGATCTAAGATTTGCATACCGCCCCGTACGGCTAGTGACTGCTCTGAGATTAGTTTAGGACATCTTAGTTAGTGTTATGTCCCTTATGTATTTCCTGACGGGGTTTATTCTGGAATCGATGTATGCTTTATGTTTAATCACCAGTTCTTCATTTGAACAAAAGTTAAGTTATATAATAATACTCTATTTAAAGTTATTAAAATAATTTGGTTTTATTATATTTATATAAAAAATTATCTGTTCTATATATGTATATATATATGTAACTGAAATTTTTAAGGAACATATATAGGGCATTGTATTATATGTACGAATTAAAAATATTTTGATATTTTATAATGATTATGCAATACTCATTACCTATATACTGTACCTATCGCATATAGGTAAATATATTGTTTTGAATATAGGACTTACCATATGCTGTAAGCTTTCCCGTTTTATCGGTTAGCTTATACCCGTTAGGATTTAGTGACATTTTCTCCTCTGTAAAAAATAAACAAAACATCAAATTAGAAAAGTAAATATTAGGAAATTTTGAAAGAAAAATTAAAAGCAATTATGTAATGAAGATGTACGAAAATCAGGAGTGCGCACTACCGATTTATTGATTGGATCAAGAGAGGAACTTCTTGTAAAAAAACACTGTCAAGGTATACATAAAATTTAAGACTCTCAAGAACACGAAGTGAAGTTTGTAGGGCAGCACTTAAGGCAAATAAATTTTTTTTCCATATTCTTGGAAGAAAACAAAAAAGAAGGACAATTGAAGGACATCTTATTTAATGGCAAATTGCAAATGCGCAATGGAGAATATTTTTTTTTATTAATTTAATATTATTATTTGTTATTTTTCGTAATAAAATAATTTACATATATGGTATAAAACGGTTAATTTAAAAATAATTGAGTCGTCAATAGTTTTGCTTTAAATAAATGAAACGTGGATGCTCCTAAAAGTATACACATTTTTTCAACCTTGAGTGTGGTGTACAAAACATTATGTAACAACAAAATGGAGTACTCTGTCAAATTTCATGACGCCATTTTGTTTAGTGGTTTTCTACTCTCTAATTAAGACTTAACTTCAATTATTTTCATAATAAAAAGGAATTGTTTTAGTTAGAATTTAAATTAAATACGTGCGTTGTTCTTACCAATGATTTTGCGGAGGTCTTCGATGTATTGCTTTAGGAAAATCACTTTGGCTGTTGGTTAATGACTGTTTTAAAGGAAAATGTGAGTTAGTGGGGCAACTACTTTGGCGTTGTTTTTGAAAGGTGATAACTCGAAAACTGAATTGTTGCAAAAAGTTTGTATTTTGTTTCTATTTTTGATGAGTGTGAACTAAGCGAATACTACTTTTTGTTATGATTTCTATATATATGTATATATATATTGCTTACTATATTTTAATTCAACACCGATTTATAATTTAACAATATTTATTTAGTTGAACACTGTTAACACTTTTAACTAATTTTTAATTTAGACTTTTAACAACAATTGCAACACACGCTCACTGGACCAGGACGGACAGGAGTGCGAAAGCAGCTTTACTGTCTGACGATCTACGGCACTATGTTCTTCAGTAAGCAACCGAGTTGCCTATAAAGCCAATATTCAACATCGCTGCAAAGGTATTTATTTGCAGATGGCGCTGCTTTTATTATATAACCTTCATAAAAGCACACAGACACAAACACAAATACAAACACAAATAGAAATACAAATACAACCATAAAAGCAAAATGTAAAATTTTTCCATTAAATTCCTTTACACTCCCACTGAGCGTTGCAAAGGAGAGATGCAAAGGATATTTTTTATGTTTGTCATTTGTGAAAAACGAAAATGTATATGACGTCATAGTTAGTAATTTGGCAACCATATTTTTGTGTAGGCGGAGCCAGCGTACATGGAGCTGCGTTAAAGGGTACTCCTTCATGTTAGTTTTGGGGTTGTGTTTTGCTTCTGCTGGAAATTTTTAGCGGATACGTTTGGAGCTACTTTCCGCAGGAATACATATCCTTTATGAGAAAAGTTTTGTATTTCTTTTTATTTTCTTTACATTTTATGAAATATTTTTAAACATAAAAGTTGTTTGCCGAAAAAAGGCGATTAAGTTTAGTTTCACAAGTTTTAACAACAACAAAAAATGGATGCCATTAGGAATAAAAAAACCTTACAAGTACAGAACTTTATGAAAAAAAGTGTAATTTATCTTAATTTGGATGTTGAAATACGCAAACAAATTATTTACAATTCACTACTCTGCTTTCGAATCGTCTTTACCATTTTTATTTGGTACCTTTAAATGTACAGATTAAAGATACAAAGTATCTGTATCTTTAAATCTGTATCTGTAATGCTTGTAGGGTATTCTGAATTAAGATAAATTAGTTGAGTGTAAAATTGAATTGTGCCCTGTAATGGAATAGTTTAGGCTTTGAGGTAAATTGAGAAACTGGGTCAAGAAAAACTTTCGTGGTAGTTTATGACAACTGATAACAAGAAACAATAAAAAACGTAGGGGTTTTTGTGTATATTGTTGGTGTATACAGAAATCCTTGAAATAAATGTGATATGATCGTACTGTTGTTAAGAAAATCTGCTATATTTTTAGTTTACATAATTATACCAAAAACACGTTATTTGTTTATATTTGTAACTTCAATAACAATAAAAATATTCTCAAAGTTTGATATTTATAATTTTTTATATAATTTATTAAAATCTTATCTAATCTAAAAAGATAGATTTAAATTTTAACAATAATTGCACTATTTTAATTTTTTTAAAAAATTTTACACTCTTTCAATATCTATTTTAAGTCCTAAATATATAGTAACTTCATATATATTGCACAATTATTTAACAGATAAAGAGATTTTAACATATGCCATACAATTCATATGTGTTTAGAAATTACTTTTAATTGAAGATCTCAACTTAAAATGGAATTCATGTCATAAACTGATTTCATAAATTGGTATTAATCATCTAGATTAGTGCCACTTGACATGGGACTAATTGCCACATGGTGCGGCAATTAGAAAATACATTTAAACCATTAACCGTTTACTGTGGACCAATGGTGGACCAAAGAGTCTCGCCGTTTATGAACTTGTCAAACTATTGCAGTAGCACACAAGTAAAAGAAAGAGACATATATAGAAGAGTTCGAGGATATACCTTGCCTTTATTGTTTAAAAAAAGGATAAATATGCGACTAATCTACTTACATTTCCGAACGCTTTTTGTTTTTGTTAAGTAGGGAAGACATTAGAATTTTTGAAAGCCTTAAGTAGGGTATACCATAAATAAGATTGAGAAACTCTGATCTACATGGAATTGCAAAAATTATCAATAAATATGGATAGTCATTCGAATATGGCCTCTAATAGATATTTTAAAATAAATGTCTGTACTAAAAACTCAGTTAATATACCTGGAATCATAAAAAAAGTCTTAAAAATAAGCTTTATTTATATCGTTATATAATTTAATTGAGTTAATTGAGTGGATGTAAGAAGGAAGATTAGGACGGTAACAACAATAGCTATAAATATAAACTTTTTTCACAGAGAGACACAGTGGTGGACGTGACTGGTTGGTTTTAGTGGCGGTTTACTCTCCTGTTCAAGTTTTACTATCACAAACTTGATAAAACTTAGTCAAGTTTTAAAACTAATATCTGAGGGCTATAAAGGATGTTTTTAAAAGAGCCATATTTGGAATGTCTTCCACGATCATTAGTTCGTATATATACGTAGTAAAATGTTCACAATCTTGCCAAACCTGAGCATTTACAAAGGTAGAATTCTTGTTCTCGTCTCTTTGTTGCTTTCTCTTCTTATTGAAGACCTTTTATATTGTGCGAGATACCCTAAATTAAATCTTGTTAAATAGTATAAAATTATATTTTTTTCTTATAATAAACTTGTTATATGTTATATAACGTGTTGACGTGTGATTTTAATTACATACACTGCCAGACCTTTTAGATAGAATATGTTTTATGACTTCTTTATTTATCAATGAACATACCATATACGTAAAATATGCTCTAATTTGAGCAATAAATAAATTAATAATCAACTTCGAATTCACGATTAGCTAAATTTATGATTGAAATCAAATTTGTATCTTCTATCTATCACAATAATATTGTGATAATATTTTTTTATCTACAAATTTCAATTTTTTTTATTAAAAATGCTTTACTTTAAAAATTTAATTAGATCCACTAAAATAAAATATTAATCAGATTCTATCAGATGTCAGTGAAGAAGTGCAATGGTAAGAAAAGTACTTTCATTACATAAATAATATATATCTTCGCATATTCCTTGTATAATTACATGCTGTTGGAGGACACATTTGAAATTCATCCATTCCTCATTCCTAATTAATCTCTAATCGGTGTCAGTTCTACTATTGTTGATTCTGATATCATATCCAACAATAATTTAAAGTTCTCCTATTCTAAAATCCTTGATAAATCATATAATTTGTTTGCGATCTAAGTTTCTAAGCATTCAGCCTTGTATTGTTTAAAGCATCTTATATAATAACTGAAGAAAAGGATAATAACTAAAGAACAAATCAATTTTAAAATCCATGGTAACTAATTCATCGGTCATTTACACTTCTACATATGTAATGTGTGTTTTCCATCTTTATATTATACATTAAGACTGAAAAGTTTTCGGAAATTCTCATTTAAAATTCGCGCGCTGTATATTTTTCGATATTTTAAGTTTATGTAGTTTGGCAGCACTGTCATTAATTACTATGCCAAAAATGAGAGCGATCTGTCAGAAAGTTCGTTTACGGCAGCTGTTGAAACCAGTTCACCTCAGTAGTGCGTTGCGAAATGTCTTCGACGGTCGTACGACCGTCCTGAAAGGCTTTGTACCACTCATAAACTTGAGTTTTCGATAAAACTGATTCCCCATAAGCCTTTTGTAGCATTCGCAACGATTCTGCACACGAAATTTCGTTCGAAACACAAAATTTGATGCAAACTCTTTGTTTAATATTTTTTTCCATTGTTTTTTTCGCAACGCACTACTGAGGTGAACTGGTTTCAACAGCTGCCGTAAACGAACTGTCTGACAGATCGCGCTCATTTTTGTCATAGTAATTGTCCTTAATTGCTGCCAAACTACATAAACTTAAAATATCGAAAAATATACAGCGCGCGAATTTTAAATGAGAATTTCCGAAAACTTTTCGGTCTTAATGTACAAAGATACAGATAAAGCCAACTATAAAAAATATAATTTTTAAATATTGATAAGTTTATCATAGCATAACCACTACGTCTTTCCAATTGTAATTCGGAGACAAACAATAGCATGGATGTGTGGTTTATAGCTTTAATTTGTACATGATAGCTTGAGAGACTTTTACTAAACTTTTTTTTTTTAAAAAATGGAAAATTTTATTTGAGGTTTTACAGATTAATGTAGAAAATGATTAATCTGATTTCAAATCTATTTATATATATACTTATTTATACTGAAAAGCCTGTCAGAATTTTATTGCTAGCTGTTTGGATTGTGCCTATTTTGTTACATTACCCTATGACTTCGTAAATACTCGTACTTAATAAACGATTTTCATAAGAACTGATGCTGTCTGAAAAGTAGATATCCCGTATAAAGGTTTCCCTTCTATAAGCTTATTGTAAATGCCAGGTCTCTCCAGATCAGATATTCAAACGAGTGTTACATTGTTTGTGGTAGACAACTCAGACAGTATTTTTTGCAATTTAGGACTTTCTTTGAAAGATTTTGTGGTATAGATTTGGAGAGATTTTTTAGCTGCTTGATTAACCGTAATAATGCTTAGTTCTTGTATTGCTCATTAAGACATTATATAGCATACGTAGCAGTTCTATCTAACAAACTGGAAAGCATCTAATTAAACAGCTAGATTGAATCTGAAATTACCACTTTGTAAGCTTCGAAGTTTTGAAGTTTTCATCGTTTAGTAAACCATACTTCTTCAGTTTATTTTTTTTTGAAGTTATTACATCAAAGTTACAGAAAGTGCTGCCTTCGTATAGGTTATTCAGAAACTGAAGGAAGCGATTGTCGAGTTTTGAAGATGTTAAGTTAATAAGTTTCAAAATAGAAAATAGAAATTGGATATAATAGAGATGTTCTTTTTAAAAGTGCCTTCATGGCAATTATTAACCCTATTATCATCGCATCTCCCCCACGATGAAGGGGTTAACATATTTCTGAGCTAAGGTATGCCTGTCGTAAGAGACGACTAAAATCTCAGCATCATTCCGACTCTGTTGGGAATGTTAATTGGAGTGAGTGAGAAAACTTGCGATATCAGACCAGAGGTGTAACACGGAGGTCAGGGCCCTCACCAATTCGGCCCAAGGATCTGTGACCCAAAGATCAGCAAAGGTATCGGTAGGCTTCGCTCCTTACGTAAGTTATGTCAAACATATAACTTAAATTGGTACCGGCGGAAATTCCTTGGAATTTTCAATGAGGAAATTCAAGTGCACCAAGTGCATTATCTTGATGAGTGTTCTTTGAGAACAGTGTGGTGTTGGGTCCTCCCGACTGGTAACCATGTTAAACAACTCTGAATTTTGTCATTGCATCTGTGATGTATGTGCACTTTACTCAGTGATTCAAGCGCTTTGTTTTTCATAATCATAAGATAGCTTCAAATGTAATAATAGGTTTAATTATGTTACAATTTGATATTATAGTTACGGATTAATTCTTTACGTTTTACTGTAAAAATATGTACTTTAGCATTAATGCTTAAAATGGGACTATATAATAAGTATTATGTCCGCTTTCAAGTTTTAAATTATTCGTATTTCTATTCTTAATAAATTGTCTTAATTTCTTTTTATTTAATTATTACATATTTGATTTTTAATCAAAATAATAACTTTATACTTCCAAAAAGAGGTGTTTTACTATATACCTATATATGGATAACTGAGAAAAATAACATGAATTCGTCTTATTCGTTTTCTCTTTCTTCCATAGTTTTAATAGATAATAGGTAGATTAAAACATGTTCAATTAAAATATTTAATTAATTTTTAATTTGTTATTTTGTTAAACACGAAATTATTTCTAAATAAGTTAATTATTTCAGATTATCTTGATTCGATATATGTCTAAACGATTATATTATAAATATCTTTATTTATATATATATGTAAATGTATGTATATATATATATCTATATGTCAAAATTAAATTGATTTGGAAAAAGTGACATATAAGTGAAAAGTCTAATATTGGAATTGTAAAACATTATCGGACGATCAATTGGAGTGAGGGAATTTTTGATGAATTATCGGGTAAATATGTGAATCACTTTGTTGTATGTTTAGGAACCTTTGGTATGATACTGTGATATTGTGTTGAAGGTGGTGTTGGTGTTAAAAAATTTCTAGATTGTAATGATTGACAGACAATAGCAATACTGGAACAAATAACAAGTGAGCCAAATTTCAATAGATAAACGAAATGATAAACAGGCGTTATTTCGATGGATAATTCAAGTGCCACTGATAAAAGTAGCAAAGTTTTATTTCAAAATTCATGAACAAAAACGTGCTACTTTTGAGAAAAATATAATTATTTTAGTTTATGCTAAAGTCTTGTGGTAATAAGTTGTTATATTCATAAAGTTAAAAATAATAGAAATTTGAAAAAATTTTGTGTTTATAGAGAAGTACATATGGTTAAAACACAAGAAGAAACTTAAAAGGTGATTAATTATATTGTAGTTACTGACCTTGCGGCTTCCAATAGCGGTTATAAGCCTTATATCCTAAATACGCAAAAATGTTTGCAGATATTTCGTAAGCAGCAAAATTTAAAATCACAACAACAACACTAAAACCGTTGAACCGTCTAATAGCACCACAGATAAGGCACAACTACTTCTCCACTCACACACAGATCGTTACTGTTTTTGTCACTTAAAGAACACTAATCTGCTTACTAATTAACCAAGCCGCACAGATGCAGCAACATCAGCGTGACGAATACGAAACTGACTACTTTCATCACACACAATCTGTGCTGCTAGGAGGAATCGGCGCACACACCAATTTTCTCGCAGCCTTGGTTCTGCACTTCCTTCTACCCAATTCAGCTCCAAATGTTCATTTAAGTATGAAAAAACTGTAATATTTTTTTGGAGGTTGCACTTAATTTGTGTCAAAAACATTTTAGCAAAAATTGCAAAATAACGAAAGTAAAATCTGTTTTTTACTATGGAAAAAATGGGAAGAGTGTGTCCTTGCTTCTTATTATATTCCTGAAATAATGCCATTCACAACATCCTTGCTCTGTTAGAATTGTTTAACTAAAATTAATTAATTTAATTAGAAAAGGAGTGGGAGTGGCAAGTGAGTTACTACATTTCTTAATGATGATTATTGATTTTATAATGATGGTTGATGTTTCATGAGGTCATTACTGGTATAACGTAAGAAAAAATGTTGGCAAATAAAGTATCTTAATGTAAATTTCAAGAAAGAATACCATATAATGTGTTAGTCCTTGCGAACAACCCACTTAACCTAGCTAAAACATTCTCATCTATTATGTAGATGAAGGGTGTGTTTTAGAGGTTTGATTTTTAGGTTGAAGACATTATATCATTATATCTTTTATTAGAAGATCGAGGTAAAAATATATTTAAAGATGAGTTCTGAAAATGATATAAGATAGAATTAAATCATTTTGATTTTTATAAATCAAATTTATTCATGTCAATTCATGTTGTAAATTTATTTTCTTTATTTTATCCATGTGAAACCAATCAAGCTATATAAATCTGCATATCGATTATCTTTCTTTTAATTTAATAGTTTGTATTATTTTGGGATAGAAACTGATTAATATGGAATACTGTGATATCAAAACTTGGGTTTATTGCTATTCGTATTGCAAATGTGTCAAATTTCCAAACTGCAACAAAAAAGTTTTTATTAGTAAACAGAATTTACTGCCCATTTTTTATATGATATATCTCTGAAGATGAGTTTTTTGAGTTCTTAGTTTGGACCATTTACAGAAGTTCGATTACTTCTACATACGGAAGTTCCTCTATGCAAAATCAGTAACTTTTTTAACAACAGAAACGATATCAGAGGCGAGTGAGAGGTGGCTGTTGCACCGAACGTTGTGGTGAAGGGGTACTATATTTACTCAGATACTATTGTACTCAGATAGAGTGACGGATATTACGGATATCTCTTTATATTTAGATTCTGGTCTTATCTTTCCTTAAAAAAAGTAGTGAAGATGTTTTTCATATTATGAAATGGGGAATATTTGATAAATATCGTTTTTTATATATTTAAAAAAGGGTACGCCAAACAATTTACTTCTACAGTGTTAAGCGGTGTCCGGTTTTTGGTAAATTATCAGGTTTAACAGAAACATGTATCATGTGTTAGTATTTAGTTTTTACTGTCTCTATTTAATCTTGCAATCGGGAAACACAGGATTATCCACTTAGTAATAATACCTATGTTTAGCTTACTAGTTAATGGTAAAGTGATTAAGGTTCAGTTCTTTATTGCAATAAAAACTTAGAACTTCATATCAGATTTTTAAATAGGATGTATGGAATAGCTTCGTGTAAGGTGTACTTGCATTGGGTAATCGTCTTAGAATTTCTTTATCTTGATTTCCATTAGTTCGTTTTGTATTGAAACCTTTTCAGTGTTGTGAGAAAGTAAAAAGAAATAGTAACTGTTATAGTAACTTTAGATTACAATCCGATTAAATGTATTAGAATAATATGAGTGTTAAAAATATGAGCGAAAAACGAGAAAAATAATTATAATAAAATGGCTTGAAGAAAAATTTGAAGTCGTACGCTGGAAATAATTAAATCTCTATTCATTTTTTAAATTAAGAAAGTTTATGATTCGAACAAAAACTACTCCCAATATTATTAATAACAATTATAAAATAATTCCTATACTTTGATTTCCACTGACACTCAGTTCTTAACTAACAGCCAAAGTGCCAATGAATAGTTTCAAAAATGAGTAAAGAAAAATAGTCTAAGTGCCAAGTTAGCAGCAATGAAAATATGAAAAATAGGGGAAATTACAAAATTCACCAACACAATTTAATTAAAAAAGTAAGTTCTATTAAATTTCTTAACTAAAAGTTAAAACTCAGAGTTTAGAATGGCATGTCATGCTAATCATACTTAAGATTATTGCAAAACTTAAAACAAATACATTATATATACTAAAATACTTAAGTGCAAAATGCCGCTAAAGCTCTAAAAAGATGAAAAAATAAAAATGTGGCAGCTAACAGCACCACATTTTATTTTATATTTGCTAACAGCAAATATAACATAATAAGAATGAAAATTGACTGTTATCACAGTGAAATACTGCAACATCTCATTTAGAGATTTCAAGTAATATAATTTGATACTATATTCATCACATATAATGTTAAATTTATAATGTTAGTTTATCAATATAAGATTTTAAAATGGGATATCACAACTATTAGTTGCATTTTTAAATATAAATATTCCTTCCTTTTAAGAAATGCTTATATGCAGTAGATTCTTCCAATCACTGGTTTAATAAGTAAATAGAATAAGAAAATACTCGTATTCTAAGTAACAGATTAAATTCGCTGAACTTATTAATTCTTCATTACCTGTATAATCTTTCAAAAGGTATTAAGTCAGAAATAAGTTAATTAGATTATTTTTAATATATGGACGTAAGGAAAAGTTTTATAAGATCTAGCACTAACTTTGTGCTTAGCAGTTGTATTTTATCTTCTTCAATCCAGACATAATAAAATGCTATGCTTTGTTTTATTTTAATCTGATGAAATTATTTATACATGAGCAGATTTTTCATTTTAGAAAATTTACTACAAAATATAAAACGCAGTTTGTGTGAAAAATTATATATCCAGAAAGTCAATTGACCGATTTATATGAAAACAGAAGCACAAGTTTATTTACATACAATTATATAAATAATACTAACAAATAGGTTCCGAGAACAATAGAATTAATTCTACAACAAATCCATTCCACTATTTCTCCATTCGGAAGCAGCATCGCTGAATAATTTTATTTTAACGCCAATTTCGCCTGTTGTTCGGCGTTACTGGCCAAACATATACGCTGGTAATATCGGCCATGTTGCTCATACAACACGTCGCACATCGCACATCGCACGCCTACATGTGTTGGCATTTATACATAGATAATTCCATATATACATATATATATATGTATATTTATAGCAATATATATATAAGATAATACCACACTTGGTTCCGATTTCATGTATGTAATTAAGTGTGAATCTCCTTTTGCTAATAATTTAGCACAAGGAATATCCGCTTCCGGCGACGGCCATGACAGCATTGAGCTTTAAGAAGACTATACAAGCATACATTATTTTCCATCTCTTTTCAATTAAATGAAATTAAATCTTCACTCTTTCTTTTGTGTTGCAGTGGTCTGCAATATGCTGCCGTACGTTTTGTTATACGCAATTTTATTGGGTGCTAAAGCTGCGCATGCTCGATATTTGGTAGTGACGTCATTGTTGTTATTTGCGGGGGTTGCTCAAGGCAGTCAAATACAAAAATTACATTCAAGGCAAAATATGCTGAGCCTTGATGATTCTGTCTTCGTTGAAACATCGTCGAGTGTAGTTCAAGATTGGAGTTTGGTGTGCAAACAGCTCTGCGGGTAAGTGCCAAAAAAGTGTCTTTGAAATTTTCTTTGCCTATAAACTCAAGGTGATACTGAGTATCAAGGAGTATGTAAACTATATTTATTTGTGAGTTATATAGGCGTTTAAGTGTGCGTGAAAATGTGTGCGTGTGTGTGTATGGTGGATTATAATAAATTTATATAATTGGTGTCAAAAATCGGTTTTTGTACTATTTCTATCTCAATAACTTTGTTCATTTAAACTATTTTCCATCGATAAGGAAACTTTTATTAAAGCGAAAACAAAAACTAATTAAAAATGTTTTATAATGAGTATTTAATTTTGCTTGATAACTATTATCAACTAACTATAGTTATTTTGGAAATAACTAATTTGATTATAAAGTGATATACTGTATGAATATTTACGAAAATAAAATATATATATATATTAGCTCATATATATACAATATAAAATTATAAAGAAATGTTAATTTGATTTATAGAGCTGGCCTAGGGGGCGTACCTTGCGCCTCCATTTGTACCACCAATTCGGCGGCGCTATCTAAGCAACAATTGGCCTTTAATCTGCTGCATCCAAACAAAATACTAATTTGTCAGGATTTATGTAAACTACAACTTGGTAAGTGCTCATATTTTATTATTAAACAAATAGTCTTAATTTTGATTATTATCTATATATCTAATTATTAACAATTAGATTGTATTTTCAAAAAATAAGTTTCTTTAGTGGAATTGCATGCATTATACCAAATCATTATGTGTTAGATAGCATTTCATAGTGGATATCTCCCAAGTAGGTATATGTGACTCTAGAGATTAGTTCCTATTTATCACAATGGAGTGTAATTTAATAGTTTTGTGTAATTTAAATATTACATTTTTTATTTAATCATTTTAATCTTATTGCAAATTTCAAGATGTCTTCAACATCGAGATTCGCATATAATTTCATCAATGAATAGTTTATAGAGTAATGCATCTCAATTAAAGTGGAATTCATAATTTTATATGAAGTACGATCAATCTGAGAAAACAGGTATCATCCGTAAAATAAGTTCGACAAAAATTGTGAATCTAGGAAAAACAATTATTTTTATTTCTTAAATAAAATCTAAGCACGAATTAATTAGTTCAGTTAATGTAAATTATCGTTTATAACCTTTTAATGTCCAATTTGAAAAAAGAAAATTATTATAACACGGAATCATTTTGATATCGAACTATAATATTGATGTATATTTATAAATATATAAGTACTAGATGGCGCCTATTACACTATCCTAATGCGAGTTTTCTTGAATTGAGGCAACGCTTCCGACATCATTATGCAGAGTCTTTCCAATAGGATATTATAGAAACGATTATCTTGTCAGACAGACCAAAATAATTAAATGAACAAATAATATCGAAAAAAACATTGGAATTATGTAGTTCTCATATTATTCATTTCAGCTAATTACTTGATTAGCTTAAATAATTTATAACACTTTCAATTCTTTCCACCTCTGCCGCGCCCATATCTTCTGGTCTAGATAAAGCTAGCTTCTAGATATTAACCCTATTGATCTTAGCTCTATCCCCTAATTACTGGAATGAATTTTTCGTTCTGTCATTTGTGGCAGAAGTAGAAATCTTCTCCATTCATTCCTATTATGTAGTGGGTTATAGTCTCACAAAATACGTTCATGGCTCGGTTCTTAAATTGAATAAGCTTGTAATAAATACTATTGAGAAATAAATACTATTTACACCTTTGTAAAACATTGAAGACAATAAAGATCATATATTATATTCTTTCACGTCGTGAATTTATATTTTTTTTATTTTAATTTGACCGCAAAGAACAAGAAGTAACAATGCAAATAACAAATTTGCAATGACAACGATGCTGTCTTGTGTACTACGAGTGCATGAGTTTCTATTTATATAAAAAATTCATTTAAGTGTATAGTGCGAATTAAGAAGCTAATAACGAAACCCACTTAAAAATTAAAAACATTTTCCAATTTTATTTTCTTCGGTAATATTGTTGTTAATGAAAATGTTTTTATTGTTGTAAAGGGCGAAAGTATGAATTATTGTCTTTTAGAAATTATGCATTCACCGGAGAAATAAATGCATTTTGTAGTAGCGTATTTACCTCTTAGAGAATTAATTTCTAATAATTCATTTCAGCGTTTGACGAATTTAATTTATTTCATTTGACATTAAAATCGTTTTTAATCTATGACTTAATCGTTTAAGTAATTGATTAATCGTAAGATTTAATTAATCTATCATATAATCGTTTAAAATGAACAAATAAAATTTCTTAGACGTTTGTCATAATTTAAATATCTTCCTCAGAAATAGTCACGTTAGATATCTACTTATTACTTACTATTTGTTTATAATATTAATTATCATGTATGGTATATTTGATGAAAAAATTAATGCAAGGTATATATTTGCAAATAAATTCTGATTTACGGCAGTTATTTTGTCACTGCATGTATCTATGACAATTATTTCGAATTATCGAATTGGTTCATTAAGTCACACAATATATAAAGCTGATAAAGTCTTATAAAACTGACTCATATACAAAGGGATTAGCTTGCATAGGGATAAAAAGATTAGTCTTACTGAAGCGAGCTACAATATAAAAGTACATATATAGTTTGTATGATATCCGACGCCATATCATAAATATTTTGTCAAATGTCAAATGATTTAAATTCAGAAAAGTATTAAAGGTGTAAATAATAAAAAATAAAAACATATATAAAAAAATATATAAAGAGGTTAATGGAGGATATCCTCCATTATATATAAAGTCGATACCCCCATTTTTTATAAGGGGTATCATTTGGGTAGGTTTCATCGATGTGGACGGGATATTGCCCTGAAATATGAATTTTCAGCGAAGACTCATATATAATAGCAAAATTTGACAAGCAGAGTGAGGGAATTTGAAAAATTTTGATTTTATTATTATCGTTTATTTGTCGATATTCATAAAAGTTCTTTGATTTTAAAAGCAAAAACAGCATGGCGAGGTGTTTGGTATATTGAAAATATTAACAAGATTATTAAAAGTTTATTAAAAATCATCATTGAAAAATAATGAAAAGCTAATTTTTAGATTAATAACAAAAATTATTAAAAAGTATTGTATATATTATTAATAGACAGATACAAAATATTTAATAGAATATTAATAGATATAGAGTTTTAAGTTTTTATTATTATACACTCTTCATTTGTATGAATTTTATATGAAAAATAGAATTTATTGATGCATAGGTAATTTCTAAGTATAATAGTATACTTTTAACTTTGTTCACTCTTCAAAGTGCCTTGGTACGTTCACATATATGACATGCTAAAAGACGTTAGAATAGACCCGGTCAAAGAATACATAAGGGAGAGAGCCTTGAATAATCTCTAGCTTCACGGGGCGGTACGTAGATCTTAGATAAGTCATCGAATAATCAGGAAGCATTTGAAGAATACATAAATTAGTCAGTGAGAAGGGTGGGACTCTGCAGAAAAGTGCCCAGATGCACTAAGTCGAAAAAGGCAACATGAACATTCATGAATGCTAAGTTTTTTTCAGTATTTTTCTAGTTCTTTTAAGTTTTAGGTATAATCAAATAAGCTATTCTTATATATTTTTAATCTATAAAGTATTGATTTTTTTTTTGTTACATTTTATAAGTATACATCTATCTATCATCTATATTTTTTAAAATGTACATTAAAATTAGGTGATGACGTGTGTGATTGTAAACGTAACACAGCAATAAAGCCTATAAGTGAAAAGGAACTTAATGGGGTTTGCGATACGTTCTGTACATATAATAAAGCAACGCTGACCGGTTGTAGTTTATGTCAACAAGTCACATTATCCGATATTCAGCAGAGAATTGGTGACGAGAAGCCATTGTTGAAAGTTCAGCGTGACACCGAAGAGGCTGAAGCTGCTGCTGACGACACCACACCCGATTGGAATGAATTATGTGTATCGCTTTGTAAAACGGGAGATGGCGGGTCTTTGTGCAATTGTGATTTGTCACCATTCTTTTTCAAGTAGTTCAAGTCAACGAAGAAAGTAAGATGTTAAGACCACAGAAAGAGAGGTGGTAAAGGAACGTGGTGTTGATTGGAATGATCATCGATAATGAGACATTAGAAAAGGTTTTAACATTTTATGTATCCGATGTTGTCATAGGACTTCTTGTGGTGTGACAATTTTACAAAATTTTTGATTTAATAGATAATTTATTGTTGCTAAAAGTATATTTATATTGAGTTTTGATCTTTTTTCTTGTGTTGTTATTAACACTATGTTATTTGTTTTATTAAAATCTTTTAAATTGTTATGAATGTTTAATAAAAATTTTAAATTTTAATATAATTGCTACTATTTGTTTTGTTTTTGTTTTTTGTATAGAATACTCTAAAAGTGAATATGGGTTTTAAATTCTAAAAATTAAAAACTAAGATCATATTGGCTTCGTTTCTAATAGAGCAATGTGTTATAAAACGCTTTCAAGAAATATTTCTAATTTAGTAAATAATTTGTTAACTGTTAAATAATTTAATTGTTATATTTCTTTATTTTTTTTATTGTGGAAAGGATAATGTCTCATATGAGACATGTCAGTTAGCGAAAGATGAGAAGAGAAATATTTACACTAACAATTGAAATTCCCTATGCGAATCAATTAATTTGTAATAATTTGAAACAAAGATATATATACATATATATAGAAAATATATATACAATATATACAAAGCAATTAGTTGAAAAAGCAACAAACGTAGGCATTATTTAAAGTAAATGTGTAAAACAATAGAGTTTATTATATAGCACAAAACTATATATAAAAAGTAATGCATTATTTCAGCAAAATAATAAAGGTGAACACAAACATAAAGCATATAAAAGAAGATACTTTATTATTTAAATAATTTTAAATAATTCAAATGGATTTTTATATAAAATAAAAAACATAAACGACAAAATCATCGCAGGTCTTCCAGTTGTGCTCGAATCTGAGATAATGTACCTTCTTGAGGTACAACTACGAACTCAGAATTCTGCACAGCATTTTGAACCTTAGAATAATAATAATAATATTAATAATAATATAAAGATATATATAATATAATATAACATATATGAACATATAACAAGAACAACCAAAAATATAAATATACCAAACATATCCTGTCTGAACATTTTTTCCTTTTGTTTTTTATTAATGGAATCAGCATATCAATTACAAAAATAATATATATAATTTTATTCCATTAAATGTTTTTGAATTATAATTATATAAAGATTATGTAAAAATATATTTACATATATACATAGCAACATTTATAAATTTTAGCCAAGAGTTTAGTGTTGGTTACACACAATTAATAAAAAAAATATCTTTAGAGTATATAGTACCGTAAAAGTACCGTAATTAAATAATACAAAGTACGTGAAATATTTAAATTATAAAAGCAAAAATGTCTATTATTAAAGTTAAAGCATATTTTAAAATATTTAAAACTATATAAATTTATTGAATTATATATATATATATTTAAAAACTAAATGTTAAGCGCTTTGGAAGACAAAAATTAAATAAGTGTATGAAAAGCAAATTTATATAACTAACAAACTTTATATGTATGTAAAAAGCAAATGAGAAATATTGTTTTTGGAAGACATTTTATTTAAAAACAACAAATTTAACAATATATCAATTTAAAAAAAATTAATAATTATTTCAAATAATATTAAACTTGGAAGACATATAAAACATATAAAACTATCAACTATCATTTTCATGTAGCAAACAAAAAACAAAAAACAAAAAGAAACTAAAACAAAAATAATAAATAGTATTTAAGCATAATTAAATTAAATTAAATATTTATTAAAATTATATAAACACAGTTATCTAGGCAGACCCATTGAGTTGAACCCAAACGCAGTTTCGAAATTCATGCGTAAGGTTTTGGATTTGTTTGTGGTGGCAACTCTACGACGCTGTGACTGACAATAAAGGCAAATGTATTAGCCAACAAATAATAATAAATAATTATAAACTAATAAATAAATTTAAAACAATTTAAATTCTTAAATATTTCATTTCATAATATTTATAAAAAACAAAACGCTATTTATTGTTATCAACTTAGTGAAAATGATTTAAATATATTTAATTTGATTTTTAGACGCACTTTTAGCTGTTGTCTCAGTTTTAACAACTCAGAGTTCAATTATTTTATATGCACCAAGAGCATATTATTCAAATTATAATATAATAAATATTATATAAATGTATTAGAATATGTAACTCCACATTTTAAATTAAAAGTGAAATGTTTATATAGTAAATTATGTATTACTCAGAGCACATTTTATTATGTAGTTTATCACATTATTGTTTGTTTCAGTGGTAAAATTATTTACTGCCAAAATTTTATGCACGTATTGAGTTCTTTCGAAATTTTATCAAAAATATCTAAATGTGTATCCTTAAATATATGACAAAAATTATATAAAAAAATTTGATGTAAAAATCTAACTGTCAAATTGTTTAATAATATGTAATTAAAGAAACACAACATCACTCTTACGAAGCTAAAGTAAATAAATTATTTATGTGTTAAAAGTAAACACCAACAGTAGTACTTTATTTCTCCCAACCTTAGATTCTTTTAAATGAACATAGTTTAGAAAAAATTTAAGTTAACAGGAATTTTCATAGACAAGCCCATTAGGTTGATTAATTAACAAATTTTTCAAATTTTTCAAAATCCAAATCGACAATAACTAATTTGACACACGTAGATAAGATTTGGGATTGAACGAATGATCACGTAGAAAGTATCTCAAATCATTGAATATATTTCCAAAGAAATTTGTACCAATATTTTTGCATGTAGTTCATGTTGCATGACAACAGTATAAAGAGGAATTTCGCCAAATAATTTAACATAATAAAAAACCCAATCATAATAATTAGAACATGTAACATAATCTTAGCTTTGATAATAATGTATGGCGTGTAAATCAGAACTATAAAAAATCCATGGGAAGAAACCTCATGTTTTAGAGAACAAATTGCTTTATTGTATTATATGCATTATATGAGTAAGAAGGACCACATTTCATTAACGATATACTTGTATAACATATATGTTACAACGAGATTGAAAGAAGCCATTAAATAATTAATCAAATAATATTTTGTAAGTTTTTGCCATTATAAGTGTTATTTCTGCAGAAAATCTGCTAGCTAATCTCAACAAATTAATGGTATTGATAAACCTAACAATATCTCTTGGTTCAAGATTTGAAGTCTTATTGGATTCGAAATAATAAGATGTGAGAACTAAAAACGTTTCCACAAAATCATACAACAGAGAGGCTAATGTGTGATTTTGTATTTTATAGAATTTGTTGTAAGCGTCTTCAAACTCATCTTTAAAATAGTGTGTTGAATTAAGAAACCAGTAGCTAATCTGAGTTCAGATCTATTCATATTGAGAAACAAAGAAGCATTTTTATCGATCCGAATGACCTGTATATCTTAAAGTGTTTGACATCACCTTTGACTTCACGAAAAATAATATTTGATATATCTAAATAATTATGCAGATGGGTGGATAGATATCCCACACATATGTTCGGGAGCAATGAAGTAAGTTAAATAACGGTACTTTGAAAACTTGTTACTTTTTTCATTACAGTCAAATCCCTAATCCTCAGGTATTTAGACGAGCGTTAATTTGATCGTACTACCCAATTCATATATATGTGCAGTATTGGATCAACTTTGATTTAGTTCTGCGAAATTGGTGAAATTATAAAATACTAGTTTCATGACAATCCGTATAATTGAATTAACTTTCAAAATGTTAAAAAATTTCATGTAATTTCTTTTTAATTTTAATAAATATAATGTCTCCGTTTAAAATTATACTATTTTATTTTCCGAAGCTACGTAACAATTTTATAATTGTTGAGATATTTAAATGAAAATAATTATTTTGAGAATATATTAATAATTGAAATGTATATGTTAATTAATCCATATTTATTATAGCACATTTTAATAATTTATCTAAAGCGCACTGAGGAGAGTGAAAGGATGGAGAGGTAGTTTATTCCGAACTGCGTATTATGCATTTATAAAAATGTCAAGAATATATGAGAAATTATAGCAATTTTCTTTTAGTTATATATTATTTTCAATTCGATTTCATCATAAATATATATACATGTTTCCTACAATTTGCTTATTAAAAAATTTATTTCTCACGTACAGAAGGGGGATTAAAATATATTTCAGCTTGGATCCGAAATATAGTATCAATTACTACAGACTACTGCCAAGAGCTATACTTTCGAAAAGTGTCTCTAATCTTTATAGCTATAGGGTTGCAAATGCATAGACCTTTTTCAAACATATATCTTAAAAACTTTCAAAGTATAAATTCCGATTTTAATAATTACTAAAGACATAAATATTGAACTTGATAAAAGAATAACTTGCAAGTTCGAGTTTTTCACACGAAGTCTATGCCCAAGTCCTTAAGTATAACAATCAAATTAATAGAATCAGAGACCAACACAATATAACGTGACGCAGGTCACTATAGAATGAAATGAGCACACAATACACACAACTTGGAAGATTCTATACCAATTTTGTCGATGGCATAGGGATGGCCAGTGTAGTGGCAACATGGAAAATTTTGAGGCCGTCTAAAGCTTAATAATAACAATGATTTTAATAATAATTTTTTTGTTGGTGCTTAAGGCTTATGATATGATTTAAAATATGATTACACTTTATTCTGATAGTTTTTTGAAGAATTAAGTTATTACTTACCAAAGAAAGAGTAAAAGTTAGATAATACCATTTCGTTATAACACAAAGTTACTTTCTACTATAATTGATTAAAGATTAATGTTCTAGACTTATAGTGAGCTAGACAAACTAGAGAGCAGTAATAGTGTCGAACTTTACAAAGTAACAGAAAAACCGTACTGGATCGCAAACTATGAACTCCGTGATTATATAGATTTTTTCTGTACTGAAATTGCAACGAGTCTGCAGTGAGTGCTAGTTTCGAATAGATTCGCAGAGAATTAAGAGAATGCATCTTTATCAACAGACGCAAGAGAGTCGTGCGTCTGAAAACAATTTATTGGAATTTATTTAATTTAAGATTGTAAAAACCTGAATGTAAAGTTCTCACCAAGTAAGTTGGTACTAATGTTAATAATATATTATTTATGTGAGAATGTTTATGTGATTAGCAAAGTAAAAGTTTTACTTAGAATTCTGTTGAAATTTTGATTTATTGTTGAAGAAAAGATGCTGTGTGTATGTTTTTTTTAGAATTTCCAATATTTTCTTTTAAACAAAGAAAAATCCAGATAAACCTAGTTTTACGTATATGTATCAAATTCCAAACAATTTTGTAAAGATATATACAACTTTGCGGGGAATTGTATTAGATTAGTATAAATATTTTTTACTATTGCAATTTCTTCTTTTATCAATGTTTTTACTAAATTATTATGAGATAAACTGATCTCTACTTTTTCTGCAGTTGCTGAATGTAAAGCAATAGATTTTATTGATTATCATACAGGCTTATTAGCTGTTGTGTTATAACATAGGTTGCAATTTTTAGTAATATTATGTATATTAAATAGCAACTAACTGCATAAAGATAGGTAGCGTGTTCCTTCTCAATAGAATGGAAATTGGGTTGTTGGTAAATTATATGACGGGTCGTTTTGCTCTGCCTTAACAAGATTGTTCGGTGTGAGGAGGCAGAATGCCGTCCCTGCTTTGAGACGGATGAAGGGTCCAGTTAGATTTTCTCGGACTGCACAGAGTTTGTTCTGGAAAAAAGAATAAGTACGTGAGTTTAACTTCCTTCCTCGTTTGCTACTGTTGAGTAGGATCATTTAGATTAAAATCACTTATGTACAGCTGCAGCTCATACTAGGTATAGTTGCATCTTCTTTTCCATATTTTTTAACACATACACTGACTATATTTGGAGATTTGTTTTAAAAGTTGGAATAGTATTTATTATATTAATAACTTACAATATGGTATTAAACTGGAATGAGAAAGTATAACACTGCTGATAGGAAAATTATCACACACCACAAACAAAAATCACGATAGTCGTTAGGCAAGTATTAACTAATCAAATGTAATGAAAATGGCTCATCCTTAAAGTTTAACGAGCATTGGTACATATTCAGGAAAAATAAAAGGAGAGGATTAAAGTCAGGATGAAATGGCGAGATCTATAACCGCACAACTTAAGGAAATATGTACAGATGGAACCATTACTCAATCTAGAAAGCTTTTGCTATTAATTGAATTGATGTTTCTAATAGCTATTAATGCTGCCAAAACGTAAACTGTAAGAATTTAAGTTATAAGCTTATTCTGAAGTATTATAAATTCCATGAACTATTTAGAGAAACAATAGCCATACTGAAATGTCTGAACAAAAAGTAGACTTATAAAATATAATATATATGGGACACTTATGAAAGTAGACTCCAATGCATTTCTTACATACTTCAATTATGTGGACAGCGATGTGTAGCTTTTGAAAAAAATGTTTAGAAAAGATAAGCTTCACAGTAGAAGGAGATAAATAAGATTGCCAATTTGTTTGATGAAGATTCGAATCTGTAGCCGTCACAACAGTATGTTTAAATTCCATTACGAACCAAATGTTTTTCCAAAAAGTTGCGACATAGATGCTTTCCTATATATAATTAATTATAATCAATGCATTAAACGTAGTGTTCACATCAGTTAGAAAATTATATTAGTTCTTATTCCAAATTCTTATTCTTGACTTTGCTGAATTTTTTCCATATTTTATTGAAAATATCTTCTCATGGTTTACGGAATTGATTAATTTTATGATAAATTTGGTAAATATTTGAGTTGTTGAACGAAATAAGTTTAAATTTAAATGGCTGTTGACTTTTAATAGACCTCTATAAGCAAACTTTCCAATAACTGAGAGCAGTTTTCATTCAAATTTCGAATGCTTGCAACTTCTCTTTGACTTGTTTTTTTTTTAAATTGTATTTCATTGAAACATAAAAATTTGTACATTTCAGTACATTTTCAATATTTCACTTTAGCTTAGATTTTAGCAAATTATATTGTAAAATTTTTCAGCACTAATCCTCACACGTAATTATTCTTCGATATCATATAATATATATCTTTAAGTGGTTTTTTAAACAATCAATTTATAATTAATTATTTGAAAAAACCTGGAGTCTTGTTATAAGTAAATATATTAATATAGAAGCAATAATATATTGATATATATAATATATTGATAATATATTGATTTTTTAAATTTAATATTTTTTTCAATTTTGCTTATAAAATTGGATAATTTACAACGATTTAATTACAACGAAGTAAATAATTAATAAATTTTATGAAGTTTTATTTAAATTTAACTAATTTAATTTACATTCGTTTCAGTTCAACTTAAAAAACAGCTGCTTTAGTCTTCTTAAAAAATTATTATTATTCATGTTTTTATTTGTTTTTTATTCGATTTGTTCTGTTATACAAAAAAATTATAATTATAATTGAATTAAAGATTTATGCAAGTTTTACACAGTTGTATAGATATATAATATAATTGTAAACATTACAAGCGCCACTAACGAATTTCCTCTTGGGATATTCGAAGTCTTTTTGTATTTTTTCGAACTTGCCATAGCACGAGCTTTCTAAATTAAGCTTATTTGGTAAAGACCGTAATTACATATATTACGGTCTTTCTTACGGTCTGAGAGTAAGTTATTAGTCGCGTCTTGCTGAACTTTTAGTCGATCAACAACTGGCGTTCTTACAGGTGGTGGTTGGTTTGTTCGTTGCAGTCGCGGCTTTATTCATTTTATATCAAATAGAATTTGAGAAATCAAAGCATTTGTGGAAAATAAGTCAGACGAATCATAAAACAGAAATGTCCAGCTTTGTAAATATTCCTGCAGGCAGTGACTTTCCGCTGGAAAACTTGCCATATGGAGTGTTTTCAACTAAAGCCAATGTAAGTTTTCTTTATGGAGCAAAATAAGTAAAACACATTTTTATCTTAACATTTTTTTATATAATTTTTTAATTTTTTGGAGATGTTCTGTTTAAATTTTGTTTTGTAAAAATTCAGCATAAAATTTGCATTTAATCACAGCAAACTAGTTCGGCTAGAAAAACAAATCCGAAGTATCTTAGGCAGAACAAGTACGCACCTGGAGATCAGCCCATACCAGATCAGTTTTATCAGTTTTTTTCTGCTTTTTTTGCCGCTGATAAAAAACTTAGCGCTACAGTTTTGCATTCATTTAAATAATTTTATTAATTAATTACATTTTTTTTGTTTGTTGTTTTTTAGGCACGTAAGCGTTTGTGTGTAGCGATCGGTGAACATGTGTTGGACCTCTCAGGTGTAGCTCAACTTTACCCACCGGAAGTACAAGTAAGTTATCTACTACGAAGATACAAATATTTCTCATTTCGTTTTTATTTATACGAATTTCTTAGGATGCCTTAACTTCAGATTCATTAAATCTACTTATGAGTTTGGGACATCAGGCCTGGCAGGTTGTACGAGAACGTACACGCGAGCTACTCCTTAAAAACTCCCAATTGGATCAGAATCCTGTATTGGCACGCAAGTAAATTAAGTGAATCATAAAAGGAAGTATCTTGGCTATATATAAAATTTTTTTTAGTGTCATCGTAGCACAAAGTGAATGTCAAATGCATCTTCCTGCACAAATTGGTGACTACACTGATTTCTACTCTTCCATACATCATGCCACCAACGTTGGTATTATGTTCCGTGGCAAAGATAATGCACTTATGCCAAATTGGCGTCATATACCTGTGGGGTATCATGGTCGCGCTAGTTCGGTTGTTGTGTCTGGTACGCCAATACGTCGCCCATTTGGCCAAACACAACCTGTAGATAATAGTCCACCCGTATTTGGACCTTGTAAGTTGTTAGATTTTGAGTTGGAAATGGCATTTTTCATTGGTGGACCTGGCAATAAACTTGGTGACCGTGTGGCTGTTGAAGATGCTTGGAAAAACATTTTTGGTTTTACCCTTATGAATGATTGGAGCGCACGCGATATACAAAAATGGGAATATGTGCCATTAGGCCCATTCACTGCCAAGAATTTGGGCACTACAATTTCACCATGGATTATTCCCATAGCTGCTTTAGAACCATTTTTAGTGGATAACTATGCACAGGAACCAGAAGTATTTCCGTATCTAAAGCATGAGAAACGATTTAATTACGATATTAAATTAGAAGTCTCATTGAAACGTAAGTTCGAACAAATTCCGATTTAATCTAAAATTTAGTAAATATGTTTTGCAGCTGAAAATGGTACCGAAACTGTAATAAGCAAATCAAACTATAAATATTTGTACTGGACCGCACTACAGCAAGTAGCACATCATACAGTTACCGGTTGTAATATCAAACCCGGCGATTTGATGGCATCAGGTGAGTATTTGTTTGTTTTTTTTTTCTAAAATAATGTGTATTATTTTATACATTCTTTTGCTATTTGTAGGTACCATTAGTGGTGAAACAGAAGATTCTTATGGCTCAATGTTAGAGTTGAGCTGGAGGGGCTCTAAGCCTATTAACCTAAATGATGGTACTGTAAGAAAATTTTTGCAAGATGGAGATGAAGTGATAATACGTGGCTTCTGCTCCCATCCTGTGAGTGGATTGCGCATTGGTTTCGGTGAATGCGTTGGCAAAGTACTTCCAGCAATACCATTTCAATAAATTTTTTAAATTAAAATAAAAAGTGAACAAATTTTTTAAAAGATTTCTGTTTGAAGATTTTTCTACTTTCATATACCGTAAAACAAATCACGTAGGAGAAAGTTCTATCATGCAATATTCTCTTTTTCATTTATACCGTCAGATGGCAATGTACATTTTATTTCGAGCTTACTTTTAATAATGTTTCTTTCTACCAAGATGTAGATACTTCAAAAATTCTGTAAAAGTATATATTGTGGTTTAAACAAATAATTTAATATTAAAAAAAATATTTGAATAAAATTGTTTCTGTGGAAAAAAATAAACGATTAAAAGAAACATTATTCTAATTAATATATAAATTATTTAAAAATATTTTATGTATTATTAAGAAAGTAGACTACAGCAATTTATAAAGACCATTGTGTTAATAATTATAATGTAGTTTCGTTTACACTTGATGTAAAAACGTTAATCTTATTGCAAACAAGAAATGTAAATTATTGCTTGTGAATTGATCACAAACACGTTTTATAATGATACAGATTTAAATTTTTAAATAATTTGTATTTTACAAACAACTTAATGTTATAAGTTTGATTACATGATAATTTTTCCTCTTTATATTACAGTAATGTTATTCTAAAGAATAGACATAGCCCATGTATCTCAAAACCGCTATCAGGAATACTATTGGATTATCGTCTCATAGCAAAATGCAAAAAGTTGTTCAGAATAGTGAACTTTACAAATTGTGGATGCACCTATTGTAATGGTCGAACAGAAGCGAAAATTTTTGCATATTTGTATTAAATTATTTTTAACTTGCATCAATATTCAGCAGTATAAAAAACAAGCATTGGCAACTCTAACTACTGCCGAATGCAAGAAATAGAAATTTATTTTCAATTTGTTTTTATTTTCGCATTGACAACACTGAGTACTGGTAGCACTGGCGCCGGTTAGTCGTAAGTGAATAAAAGTTCAATTGCAAGCAGTTTCATTTTGCAACAAAAAGAATATTATTTTGATATATTAAGTAATATAAATTTAAAACATTTTTGTTAAAATTAAAATTTGAAAGTAAGTGCAACAGTGAAAAAAGTTCAAATAATGAAAATTTTCATCTTTCAATAAAGCAAAAATACAATTCCAACAAATAGTAATCAGAAAATAATATAAAACAATTAATTTGCAATGATTTTATATTATCTTTTAATGAATATAAAAAATATACAATATTAAATAAAAATTCTCAGTGAAATAAAATTTGTGTATAAAAATGTTATGAAAAATCAATTGCGAAGAAATTTACTTCACTCAAGACAATCACCACCCACCAAAATGTTAGAAAAGAAATATTAAAGCAACAACAAATTGTGTACACTTCGTTTGAGGAGGGTAGAATTGCAAGCAAAACAAAAAAAAGTATTATGTATGCAAGCAAATTCTGTCTAGAGTGCAATATTATATGAAAAAACTTAGCTTTTAAAAGTGTATGCATACCATATGCAATAAGTTTGTGCGGTACACAAGTGAAACGTAACTTTAGCTTAAAGAAGTTTAGAGTTTGTTAAGAATATCATATGTGGAAGATTATGATGATGAAAAGTTGTAAGAATATATGAAATGTTTCGCTTGCAATGATTAATGAAAATTAAATTTATTACAAGGAAATTTACTGTAATATGTGCTTTACAAAAATTTAAAATATGTGATGTATTTTATTATTTTTAAATATTGTGCAAATAAACCCCTGATTTTAGTTATCAGTTTATAAAAAATATTTAGTAAAGTAATATATTATTATATATTAAATAAATATTTTTCTAACAAAGTAATTAAGAATTAGTATATTAAGATTGGTTTGGGGAAGTGAAGTGTATTGTAAAATCGTATGAATTGGTAGTGAAACGAGTACGCTTTTATTTGTTCATATATATGCTTGCACACACACAAATAATCTAGTTAATTAATGTGTTCTGCTTAACATCAATCACTAAACTGTAAAGCATTTGAACGTACGCTATGTGTACCGCATCGTCAAAGTCGTTGTTTGGCTTTATTTTTTATTGCGACTTTTTATGTGTGTAGAAAAGTTCATAAAGCAATTAAGTGGCGCCGCAATCGCAAGTGGAGAAGAACCAGAACTGATCAACAACCAGTTTTTAATCAGTTTGCAGTGCATATTTTGGTTTCATTTCATACAAAAAATTTTTATAACAATTTTTTTTTGTGCTTTTGTTTTGCTTTTTAATGGAAAAAAAATAAATAATATCCATAGAAGATTTCTGTAAAGGAAAATATTGATTTTTATTTTGCTGCAAAAGCACATAAATTGTTCCTGTAATGTTTGTTTATGAAGCAGAAATACGAGAAGTGATAAACGAAACTACGTTTGTTTACACAAAGCGTAGTCAATAGTAATCGGATCAGAAACATATAGTCATACTTTATATAGAGTTCAAGTTGACAGCCAAAACTTGTATAGCTAGTAAAATTCCCAATTTTTTTTTTAAATTGAGAGCATTTCAGAATTTTATTTTTGCTGTTAAATTTTTAAATGTAAAATAAATTGTGCTTTCTAAATAGATCAATTTTTTTTTATTAAATTCTTATTTTAAATGCTGTGAGATAATTCGATTGGTTGGCTAATTGAGCTGTCATGGTGTAAACACTTAATTAACAATAAAATATATTAAAAGAGACAGTTTCAAGAATGATCAAATATTTATTTAAATGAGTTACGAAGTTAAAGATTAAAGAGTTGCCCGACAGGTCAATCTAAAAGAGGTCAATTTCTGTAATTTCGAGTTCATCAATTATACAGGCTAAAATATTAATTTATGTATATTTTATTTGATATAAAATAAGTTACGAACTTAAACTTTTAGACACTTCGTTCTAGAAGAGGTCAATATCTGTAATTTCGAGTTCAACAATTATTCAGGATACAATATTTATTTATGTATATCAAGGCGATGGGCAGGATTTTTTTTAATTTTTGGATATATAATCAATGACATTTAAGCATTTACTTATTTTCATTAATTAAATAAATGAAAAATATTTGTTTCACTTGTTAAGCATTATTATAATAATTGTAGAGAGCAAAAGTTCTGTTTCCATTGTGAAACACATTGTCACAAGACTCCCTATAGAGAATTTCTTATTTGTGTGATTTGGTTTAATGGCGATAGAGCTTTTACTTTTGTCCAAATAGCGCATACATGTATGCACCTTTTTTGCCACAGACCTGAATTATGAGCTTCTAAATTTTAAAACCAACTTGCACTTTTGATAAAAGAGGTTATTTCTGTAAGATCAATATTTGAGATCATCTCCAGGCTGATTAGTTCGTTGTCTTTCATAATAGAATGTATTAATCTTAATATGCGTGTTTATTTGAGGTTTTAAAACTAACTTGCGCTGTTAATTAAGGGGATTATTTCTATAAGATCCATACTTGGGATGATCGACAGGCTAAAGAGCCCATTTACTTTCATAATAGAATGTCTTATTCTTGACAGACCTAGTAATTTGTTTTGATATCTAAGCAGAAGAGTATAGAAGCAGTGATTGCTTGTCATAAAATTTAATTATATAAAATTACTTAACGTGTTTTAATCTTTTAATAAATGTATCTTTCAATAATGAACATTTTTTATTTTCACCATGATGTCAGTTTATATTATATTTAATATCTATTACAATGTTTTATTATTGTTAAAATTGTAATGCTTAAACATAAATAAAATTGTATAAAAATATCTTATCATATTTTTTTCGCCCAAAACAATGTTAAAGTAAAATGTATTTTGATGATAAAGTATTTTGAACCTTATTACGAAGATTCCACTACTTATTACTATATTAAATAATAGTAAAAATAATTGCAAGCATTAAATCAAATACCCTATGAGTCGGAATTTCCTCGAACAATAATAATCAATGCAGACCAATGTCTTATCTTAAATCTTAAATGTAACAATCAACTCAGTCAAATGTCTATCTTAAACCTTTGTAAACAAAACCACTTCTAGGAAATACAGTCCACCAAAATCAGGAATGTGACATTGTAAACAATAATAAGCATAAACCATATTCAACTGAATCGTATTGTTTATTTCTTTATTTCTAATCAAAATAACTAAGACGAACTGATTGCTGAGATCCTCATTATAATAGTCAAATTAAATGTACTGTATAATATATAATTTTATATTGATGTTATTTTATCAAAAACTTATATTTGTATGTTAAAATCCTGGATATTTTTTTAACAATAAATGAGAACAGTAAATCGTTCACATTATCCATGCTGAACTGTATTTTAATCAAAATACTATGTTACGGTTTCTGTAATAAATTGCCAGACAGTCAAAGGTCGGAACGGCACACTACTTACCATTAATACGAAGCATTTATGGTTCTATATGCACATTCACTAAACGGAGAGCGATGCGAAGCACCTTGTTTCCCTTCAAGCAAAAAGCCCACTCATGCATTTGAAACGTTTAAGCGATAACAAGATACCCCGTTTATATGTACGTAGTAGACTGGAAGCATACAGACACTGTACACGTTAATGTACGCATGAAAGTCTTCTTGTTTGTATGTAAAGTAAACAATAACTTAATATGCCTAGAACTTGTCTTCACGTCTCGTATGTCGTATTGACTGACAATCCCGACAATCCCTCATGCAATGTTTTTCTACTTTAATAAGCTACAATTTATATTTAAAGAACGTCTGGACTAGACGGTGCTGAGTTATTTTATTGTTATTTTTTTTACTCATATTGTTGTTGTTTTTGTTTTTATTATTTCTGTTGACGCTGTTTTGTTTTAGCAAATGTCTTAGCAGCAAATTATTATTGGCGTAATAATTCAGAGGGTAAATTTATAATTTGAAGTATGAAATAGCAACGAAAAATTGATATGATTAATATTCGCATATTTATTATACATATGTAAATAAATAATAAATTTTTAATATTTATAAAAACTATTTGCTAATAGATTAACTTTTTTTTCTATAGTTAAAAATGGCCAAATCGGACGCAAGCTGTAGACACATTTTCTTCGTATCTCGCATTTCCTCAGTGTCCGTTGCTCTACAGTAATTAGAAAATTGAATTGAAAATTTTATGAATTTAATTGCATCAATTGACAATGTCCAAACTAATAACAGTTTGTTTACTGTTGGCTCTAGTAACACGGATTAGTGCAGGTACGTAAATAGTTGTTTTTTGTTTGTCAAACCTTTAAAAATTTATTTTGTTACTTTCTCTTTTAGCTCCTAAGCCGTTCAGTTGTATAAGTTTCCAGGAGAATGATGAAGATGATTACGTTGATTTCAGTATGAATGATACATCTGAGTTTGAGGATGTGCAGCATTCTGATCGCCACCTCAGAACATGCATGATTGACTACACATTTTGCTTTGCTCTTTGGCGTCAGACATCAAACGGGACGGTCATTGAAAAGCAAGGTAAGTTAGCGCTAAGAAACAGAAAGTTGTTAATGTACAGTTATTTGAACTTTACAATTCTGTCCAGTTCTCTAAATTATAGAGTGTATTTATTATATATATTTCTGAAAATTTTGTTAGCCGTACACTCATCTGCAGCCAATACTTGTTGGTTTAAAGCAGTTAACTTCCTAAGATTATATAATTAATTGTTGTTATGGCTCGCAGATGACATTAAAAGAATTACGGAGATGTATATGCATACGTCTTAGGATGTGGATAAGTAAAGAAGTGAGAGAGGAGAAGCCTTTTTAGATGTAATGATGGATTGGGGTATGGCTGCGATTTCGTGGTTATTAGAAGACCCTACTAAGACCGGTGGAATGTATATAGATCTCCACAGTTACCATAGCAACAACAACATTTGAACTGTGTTCACTGCACAGTTACTATTAATATGATAGTCTCAAATACGTAAAGATCAATATACATATGCCACCTCTAGTAAACTATCTGATGACAATGGCATAACTTAAAAAACGATGATTTTGTATGACGGACTTAAGCAGATGCACACGACGTTTTGTTGTATTTTGAAAAGTGCTCGTTTTTTGTAGCAGATGGGATGTAGAATATGGGCATTCTCATATATGATATTATTGTGCCGTCTGGAACTTAAATTAGATGAACATGGTTAACTGCACTTATCTTATTGGGAGTTGGGTGGCATAGCTATACTTTCCTTGACCGTTTTATAACAATTTTATATTTGTTTTAATTGTTAATTACCTGTTATTTGTGGATAAAATAAAAACAACTTTTAAAATCTCTTTTATGTTAAACAAAACACAAGTAATTTTTTTTGGTTTAAATATGAAAATATTGCTCGAGCTGTACGAAGCTGGGGCCATTTGATGTTCGATTATTTGGCAAGTGTAACAAATTTCTCAAAAATGTTGTTGTTCGTATTTGTATAGAACGAAAGAAAATGAATGAAATGATAATGTAGATTTGTTGTTTAAGTAGCTCGTCCTTTTTTAAAGACTGAATTAGTTGTGCTGAAAGATATCACCTAAATCGGTCTATCTTTTGGAAAACAATGCATTCTATTATTCATGCCGTACTAAAAATAGGGGGCTAAAAACTAAAATAATATTAAAAGAACTGAATAAAAAAGGTTTTTTTCTTAATAAACTTAAAAAAATGTAATATTCAATTGAATTTTGGGGTCTGACATAAACGTAAGAGAATTCTTACATATAATAAGCTAACACAATAACTTCAACTGCAATGCAATTACTTTGGGTGCGAACACTTTAGTGATCGGATTAAATTTGTGTTGTTTGTGTTTTTTGTTCTGTTGCATATTTTCTGTTTCTGTATTTCAATCACTTTTTTCCTTTCTGCGTTGCTACGACAATTAATTCCGCCTTTAAATAGTTAGAACTCCTTTGATCATATAAATATTCGATGCGTATGTTCATATTCGAGAGTACTGGAAGCATACGAAAGCATTATTCCTATATTCTTATTATTATACTTTTATATTCTAATTGAGTTTGTAATACGTCACGTCAATCACTGACAAATCTCTTTGTAAACAAAAACTGTTGATAAAAAAGAAATATATAGTTGCTATATAATCAATTTCTAAAAGTAATAAGTATTGCCAAAAAAAAAACGATGCGGAATTGTATTGTTCAGACACATACATACATAACACTTACGTTCTTAATTTTTTCGATAATCAAAATTATTTTTAATTTTGAACTAATATATTAAATTATGTGTTAATGTTGCTTTTGATAGTTAATAATAATCGTTGGTAATTCGTAAATATTCATAACAATGTTTTTTTGTTTTGCAATTACTCCAACCAATTTCAATTTTTCTGAACACTGTTGTTGTTGCTGTTGCTATATAAAATTTATTTATGCGTAGGTGTTTATTAACAGATATTTTTTAATTATTATTAAATATTTAAAAAGCATTTTAGACATTATCCATTATATAAAAGAACTGCATTGTTGTTGATTTTGCGAATCAAAGTTTGTTCTGCCACCGAACCGAACGTACATATATGCACTGCCAATGAGTTCAAAATTATTGTTTGAACTATTGAACATGCACTGCTTTGGCACATGCTTATTGCACAGAATCGATTGCTAAGAGTTTCCTCGCAAATGAACCGCTCAATCAACCTGTTGCATACACCGCTAAACAATTTGATTTCCTCTTCCTTTTCCTTTTCTTTGGTTTTGTTTTATATTTTGTTTCATTTATTTACTTATTGTTTTGTTTTCATTTTATTTTATTATTTTATTGTGGGGATGTGTGGGTGTGTATGCGCATGAGCTTGTTTTGATCAAGAATAAATATCAATCAATACGAGTGACGATTGTATAGTTTTTAATGCTTTCTACATAATTAAAAGCAAAACACACATTAGCAGTGAGTAACGTATGTGCCCGGGTAGCTCAGTCGGTAGAGCATTGGACTTTTAATCCAAGGGTCCAGGGTTCAAGTCCCTGCTCGGGCGTCGAGATTTTTTTAATATTTTTTTTTTTTTCAAACAATATTTCTTAAATAATTTTTTTTTTTATATAATTCAGGTTGCTGGAAAGATAGAACTGAAAGAAATGCTACGTGCTATCAAAGCGAATGTACAAGCTCTGCACCAACATTTCGTAATAATTCCCTATATTATTGCTGTTGTTCGGGTAATGCTTGCAATGAAAGAGTGGCTATTGTGGAACCAACACCTTTACAGGTTTATAAAATAAAATTAATTTTTATTCCATAATAAAATGAATGGCTTTTAACAATTTTTTTTAGCTTTCTAAAGAAATCCTGCCTGAGGCCTCAAATCTTTCCAGTGACACAACACAACATACAACAAGTTGGATTACTATTTTAATATATGTTATGTTGCTAGCTTTCTGTATTATAAGCATAGTTATAGCGTTGGCATATCTTCGTAATATAAAAGAAAAGCCGACACCAGAAGAAGCTCCATTAGCGCCCACTGGGCCTGGTTACAGTTCAAATTTACGAAATGTTGATAATATCAATTTAATATGTATGCTTGGCAGCGGAAAATATGGAACGGTTATGAAAGGTTTACTACATGATAAAGAAGTCGCTGTAAAGATATTTCCTGAGGCTCATCGACAGTACTACATAAATGAACGGAATATTTATTCACTACCTATGATGGACTCACCAGCCTTATTGCAATATTTCGGTAACTATTTAATAATATTCACATTAATTGGTGGTTTTATAATAATTCACTTATCGCACTTTAGGTTATGATGAACGACATACCATTGACGGACAAATAGAGTATCAACTTGTATTATCTTTAGCGCCCTTAGGTTGCTTGCATGATTGGTTAATTGCCAATTCGATGGATTTTCAAACGTTTTGCGGCATGGTTAAATCCATAACACGTGGACTTTCACATTTACATACGGAAATCATACGAGGAGAGGAATTGAAACCTTGTGTTGCTCATAGGGATTTGAATTCGCGGAATGTACTTATTAAAGCTGATAAAAGTTGTTGTATAGCTGATTTCGGTTTTGCCTTGAAAGTATTTGGTGCGAAATACGAATATAAAGGTGAAGTAGCTATGGCAGAGACAAAAAGTATAAACGAAGTGGGAACTCTTCGCTATATGGCACCTGAATTGTTAGAAGGTGCTGTAAATTTGCGTGATTGTGAAACTTCACTTAAACAAATGGATGTGTATGCTTTGGGCTTGGTATTATGGGAAGTTGCTACACGTTGTGCAGATTTTTATGCACTAGGTCAAAATACGCCACCATATAAAGCACCTTATGAAGCAGAAGTAGGCTCACATCCGACATTTGATCAAATGCAGACACTTGTTGTACGCCATAAGGCAAGACCATTATTCCCAGCTGGGTGGGGTGGTGGCACTGCAGCAAAACTTGTGAGAGATACGTGTGAAGACTGCTGGGATCATGATGCTGAAGCACGTTTAACATCACTCTGTGCTGAAGAACGTATGCAAGAGGTTGCAGGTTTATGTCCTAAATTGCAACCGCATGCACCAACTGCAAGCCCGCTCTTAAACACAAATAATTTAGTCGGTGAAAATAGTGAAGAAACACAAAGAAATGTAATAAATGATGAAATCAATCATACTGAAACTACGTCTATGTTGAATCCACCACCAAATCAACAAATTTTACCACGCATTCCAAGTGTTGGTAATGATGTAATTAACTTCAATAATTCGTCTACAAGCCATACGGAGAAAAATCATTTCATGTATACTCAACAACCGTTACAACCATATCAAGGACGTAATCCATGTCTTGAACGAAATCTGGCGCCAGTTGTATCACGTCCACAACAAATTTTTGTTGAAAAAAGTAAGAAACATAGTTTTCAAACTGGTGATGAAAATAGTTTTTCATGTCTCGAAGATGATGTATCTGTTGAAGAACTAATATCTAATAGTAGAGCTCCAAAATTTTGCACTCTGCCGCAAGATATGACTAATATGGGTCAAGGATTTCCCAAACAACAAAATACAGACAAAAAATTGCGTGGATGGCATAGCATAAGAGCGGTTATACAAAAGAAATTGTTTAGAAAAGAACAAAGTAGTGATATGTTCCGACAGTTGAACTATGGTGACGAAAAATCAAATTTAGTAGATAATCGTTTTGCTGCAGTAGTAAATGGTTTAGATAAAACCCCACAAGTAAAACAAGCAACTGTAAGTTTTATAGATGATAGACAAACTCCAAAAGGTGTGGCTGTAGCAAAAACTACAACACTAGACTCTTACTATCCACATCATAAACGACCGAATAATTTGGATCTAAGCCCTATAGGTGCAATGGGTGGTGCACAATTTATATCAGAATGCAATAAATCAAATCTTATACATACAATAGCCGAAGAAGATAATGGAAATCCTAGTTTAAGGCCCATTTTGCAGAGCTTAGAAACTCGTACTAGCACTCCGGCGCATATAGTACCACGTTCTCTCTCTACTAGTTTAATTAAGAATCAAAGTAACAATAACATTACAACAACTGAATTGAATTTAGTGGCTCCAGAGTGTTCAGTAAGTGGAGTTGTTCATTCAAGACCAATGGGAGAACGACAGTTCAAACGACAACGTAGTCTTGAAGTATTTAAAGAGGTGTTTAGCGGACGAGGTAGCACAGACAGGCTACGTGATCCAAGTCAACGTGTAAAAACACCAGGTGATGTGCCGCCATCAGTACGTAAAATACGTGCATCAAAGACATTGTCGTTGTATGATGATCGCATGATGGATTCATCTACATTAAATATACTATAACATGAAGAAGTTCTGCTCCTAGAATTATAAACAAAGCAACTTTATAATATAGAGCAGAACGTTTGATAAATTTTTACTTAAAAAATATAATTTAAATAATTTATGATTTACAACTCAGATGAGCATATCGTGGTCAGAGTTTATTTAAATTAATAATACAATAAAAATGAAATGCATCGAGCTGATTACAATTTATTTGTTTAAAACAAGTATGACATTAATTAAATATATATAGTATTACAACAAAAATAAAATATATAAAAAATCAGTATATGTTATACACAGTTTATAATAAAAATTTAATCTTTGAATTATTCATGTAATGCACTTATAAATACTTAAAAGTTTGTATAATATTTAAAATTAATCAAATAACCAAAGTCCCTTATAGGCTAAATTGTATAGTTTTAATGTACGTACGTAATAATTATTAAGGTTTAGTAGGAACTAGAAGTACTAATTCTAATTATTTCTATTGCAAAATATGTTCTGATGTTAAATATGCAAACTAAATTTTTTGTAAATTTACGAAACAAATTATTGTATTAAGTTTTTAATTATGAATAATTTAGAATTATGTAAATAAAATTAATCAATTTGTGGATTTTATTAAAGTTCACAATTTTAAATTATTTATTGATATTAATTAAGACTTATGTGAACAATTTAAATATATATTCAAATTAAATTAAAATATTATAACTTTAACATGCTTATTGTTAAAATGAAACGATTTAAGGAAGAAGTCAAAAAAGCTTAAAAAAGATATCGAGAATTTACTTTTTATATAAATTTAAAGTGTTAAAATAAGCTATAATTAATATAAATATATAATTTCATTTAATATACTCAGCACAATATATAATTGAATCACGTTGAGAGTATTCTTATATTCTCTTTAATAAGAAACAAATAACACTATATTATATGAAGTATTTTTATATAATTAAAAATAGAAGTTATTAAATTTGATATGAAAGTAATAAAGTAATAACATGACCTTACAATATATACGAAACTCTAGTCACTTAAAGAAATTGAACTAGGCCTGAACTAGATTTATAAATAGAAAAAAAGAAAAAACTATTTTCCTAAATTGTTCAAGTTGTGAAATAAAAATTGACCAATTTTATAAAATGTAAACGTATTGGAATCATTAAGTCTGCAACTGAAAGAATCAGGATGAAATTATAATACTGAAACGAATAATGCAAGAATAGATATTTACATATGTATTAACTGCTCTTTCCAATAAATACTACATAATAAATAGAGTTACATATAAAACTGTTACGAATAAATTATAATGAAATAAATATATCAAATATATATTTTTGCAAAATGAAATAAAATTTATATAAAATTCACTACAAACGCGAAACAATAAATATCGTTAAAAGTAAATTGTGGAATTAAAATAAATGCTATAGAGACTGTCATACTATTAGAATTCACTAAAATTTATAAAGAAACAATAGCAGCAATGTTTTTTTTAAATGCCTTCTATTAATACGTATAGTATTTAATGTTTGATTGATTTAAATTTTTTTTTTTTTGTTTTTTCAATTATTATTTCTAATTTTATATATTTATTTTTAGTATTATTTTCATTTTTTTTATATATTTTTTATATATTATATTTTTTTATATATTATTTTTTTATTTTTTATATATATTAATATTTAGAATGTTTGTATTAGGTCCACGACCTAAAGCCCAGCAAAATTTAAAACATATTTTTTTTTAAATATTACTTTTTTTATATATTATTTTTTTATGTATTGTTTTTTGTAATTATTTTATTTAATATTACATTTTTATAAAAAAAAATTTTTTTTTATATTGTCTTTTTTTATTTTTTTTTTTAAACTTTTTTATTTTATTTATAAATTATTTTTTATTTATATTATAATTAAATATTTTTTATATATATTTTATATATTTTTTTATACTTATATATTTTTATATATATTATTTTGTTATATTGTTTTCAAATCATTTTATTTTTTTTTTAATTTTATAACATTAATTTTTTTTTAATAATTTTTATATTAATTATTTGTTTTTTTTTTTGTATTTTTGATTTTTAATATTATGATTTTTAATAATATTTATTTTAATATTATGATTTTTAATAGTATTTATTTTATTATATTTTTGTAATATTATATTTTTTAATAGTATTTATTTTAATTGTATTTGTTTTAGTTTTATATTCGTTTTATTAATTTTGGTTACTTTATTTTTATCAATTGATGTTATAATACTTTCAAAATGTTTCTATCAATTTAATTTTGTTGACTTATAATTATATTACTCCTAAGTAAATGTGTACCATATTTTAATGCATTTGTTTCAAGGAATGTCAAAGTATTTCGTTTATATTTTATATTAATTTCGATTTAAATCGTTTATATTAATTTTTTATGTATATAAAAGCACAATAGTACGTTTTTTGTATATAAAAAATAATAATTTTTATTTGATTTATTTTTACATTTTTTAACTCAACAACTTAATTATTATTTAAGTTTCTTTATTAATATTTTAATAATATATTTATCATTTCTTTATTAAAACTTGAACTTCCTCATTCTCTCAGATTACATATATGCATATATGCTTCTACAAATAAATGCTGTAAAAACGGAATGGTTTCTTTACATATTTTTAATGTATAAAAATGAATTTCTAAATTGCCTTATCTATTTGTATTCGAATTTGATTTTATATTCATATATCAATGGGATATATTTAGATATTTTTTTAAAATTATAATCAACTGGGTGCTTCCATATTTTACTATCCAGTTAGAATATGGCGCTATTCGGTCTTAAGTAGATATCTGTAGTTTAAATTTAGGTTTTGCAATTATAATTGTAAATGTATTTGAATTCATCAAGATGAGAATCCGATATATATATATATATATAGAACATGTAAATTAGCATTGTAATCGAAATTATTATAATATTTAAATAAAGAGACTTCCATATCTGTTTAAATGTAACAAAATAATTTATTTAATTTACAAATAATTCGTTAAAAAAAATTAAATCGAATCTGTCGTTGTCACTGACTGACTTATGTTAAAAATTTATAATAAAATTTGTATTGCAAATATTTCAGTTTATTTCCTCTCTAACATTTTTATTATAATGGGTTTTGATGGCTTGTTGATTAAAAGTGTGTGCACATCTAAGTCATCAGTATCGCCAGACCATTTTATTTCGAAACTTCTGATCATCTGTACCAGAACAAGGAATGTTAAATTAAATGCAAATTATAAACAAAATTTAATTTAATTTTTTTTTGTCGAAACTTACACGCAAAAGTAGAACCAATATATTTTGTTCTGCCAAGCGTCGCGCAATACAGGAGCGCATTCCTGAAGAAGAAGAAGAAGTGAAATTTGAAAGCAATAAACTTATATTTCAAATTTAAAATAAAAGTCTTTGAACTCACCGTGTCCAAACGGCAATACTAAATATGGGTTGTGAACATTGCGTTTAAGCCACCGCTCTGGCAGAAATCGTAAAGGTTCTTCAAAGTTCTTTTCCAAACGGCAAGCTATCATATTTTGGGTCACTACTACTGACTATATGATTAAATTTTAGTATAGATATAGTACAGATTGTAAATGGTATACTGTAGAGACAAAACCCTCTTTATCTTACTTACATTTTTAGGAACAAAATAATTACTTAGTATTAAGTCCTTGTTAAGTATACGACCTATTTGAAGAAGTATTATACTATCACAATACTTTAAGAAACTGGCAAAATGTTTAGAACTCACCTACACCTATTGAAATAGGATTTAAACGGAAAACTTCTTTCAGTACTGCACGTGTATAAGGAATTTCGTTATGTAAAGCTTCCGGCGTCAATGAGCTGTTTTTATTCTGAAGTACTTTTACGGCTTCCTCGTAGAGTTTATTTTGTACTTCTGAATATTTGGATATGTGATATAAAGCAAATGCAGTTGTATATGATGTCGTGTCAATGCCTGCTAAAAGTAAATCGGCAGTAATGCCTACAATATCAGCCAAATCCAAATTCGGGTTCTTTAAATATTCTTCAACCAAAGAAGTACGTGCCAAAGAGTTCTTGGAATTCGTTTTGCGCACTCGTTTTGATATCAACTCTAAAGCAATGCTCTCGGTGTACTCTTGAGCTTTACGTAAACGTTTGTAGGTAGGTGTTTCAAAGAGGCGCCACATTTGCAGTCCTTGATCAGTGGGTAAAATACTACTGTTAGTTATTTCCGCTGCTTCCATTAGCCGAGAAGATCGTGATCGGGTTGCCATTTCTGTTGTCGAAAAAGAATCCAATCTTTCATCAAACGTCAGAAGACAAGTTACTAAAAAGAAAAATATTCAATAAAATTTTAAGCTTAAGCTGCATTAGTAACGAAATATGTAATAATAATAATATATAATAATATTGATCAAATATAACATACATTCCAAATTAAGACGTGATATCATAGGCAACATATCGTACACGTTCCCTGTAGTAAAATAGTCTATAAATTCTTTTGTAACTCTATCCACATCACTTAAGAAACTGCGTACATGTTTCGGTGCACTAATTTCTTTCTGAAATTCAGAACGTAGACGCCACCAATCGGGTCCGTTGCTGCAAAATTTATATGAAGATATTGTTCTAATACATATAAAGGCCGTCTTGAAGATATTTTTAAATACTTACGTTGACAAAAGACCAGCAGATTTGTAAACATGTGGTCTATCTTTTCTATACTTTTCCAAAGCTAAATGACTTCGCCTTTGAGGATAATCACGTTCGTTTAATAATTTTGCAATATCATTTGGTTCATAGAGCCAAATAATATCCTGTCCTGGTACAATTGTCTCTCTTACAATTGGTCCATATTTATTATATTTTTTGAGACCGGCTTTATGTAGTTCTAACCAAGAGTAATCACCGATTAGCGGTAAGTAGTTATATAAATTTCCTAAGCCAGCAGGTCCCCTTGGTCCAGGAATACTTTTGAATGGTTTAGCATGTGATTCCGCTGTACTTCCATCGGTTAACATTGAATACAATCTTCTAGTAACTAAATTAACATTTTTTGATTTTACTGACTTCATCATTTGCGATCCGCTTTTTCGCTGACAATTCAAAAGCCTAACTTCAACTGAACTAATGGCAACAAGAAAATCCGATTTGTTACTCAGCAGGTAAAAAGGAAATAGAATGAGATAAGAATGACGAATAAATTTGCTTACTCCAAAAGAAGTTCAGTAAACATTTGTGTTAAAAATAGTCATACACAGCGACTTGGATACACTCTACATTTTGGGATAAGTTATACAGATAATATGAGAAACAATTTAATAGGAATATAATTATTTGTTTGAATATATAAATCTATTTAATAAAGTATATATATATATATGTGTTTTGGGGTGCCAGAACTTAAAAACTGTTTAGATCATTACAAATTCTATATGTTTTCCATTGACATTGTTTAGAATAGTTTTTATAATAGTTTAGCGAGTTTATTTATAACACTAGATTTTACTAATATTATTCTCTAGAACCCGAATCTATTTATTTTAAAATCTATTTTTTGTAAGTCTTCAAGTAACGTAAAAATCCTTATTTTTAAAATAAATATATATATATTACTGGCACATATATATGTCAATGCAATACTGTGAAATGTTTGCGACGAACTTATTAGGTGTAGTGCTTGACTTGCTAGTGGAGTCGAGCGCTCTTGAGTATAAAAAACGAAAATGGACTCAGATAAAAGCAAAAATTATTTACTCTTTAGATACGATTCTGCTTGTATTTTATGATAATCTTTACTATGATTGTTTTACCTTTTTAAAGAAAGGTAAAAGCTGTAGTATAAAGAGTAATAATCTTTCACACTTTTACCAAACTAGAGCGTCCGAACCATTTGCCTGCAAATTTTCACTAGTGATAACAAATTGCCCTAATCTACTGTTAAGACTATAGAATTTATGGTTTCAAAAAGGCATTCTTATATGTTAAAAAATTGTGTCAAATATCGAATAAATTATGAAAAGTGAAGTGCAAGAGAGAGCCACCTCTGCTAACTTAGTGCATATGATGGAACACTTAAACAAATATTATTTTGGATGAGTTTCTGGTCGCGTACATATTAGGAATATATTGGGTACATATCTAAATTCTTAAAAAACGGCTTTTATAGAACAGTGTGAGTGTACTAGAGAAGAACGGCACACAATATTAGTCTATACTTTAAACAGACCGTCTTGATCGAACTGTACGTACTTGCTGAATTACAAAACAGCATTTGGGTTTAAGTCGTATTAAACACGCTGGTGTAAAAACATGCCTTTTCTTTACACTTTCTAATTCTTTCAAAATACTTAGTGGCTTTGTATTACAAAATTTACTAAAAGTTTAACTCCGTTTAGTATTGCTAGCGACCAATATAATTATGTAATGCTTGGGATGAGTCAAATGAACTCAATCGAACCTATATTCTAAACACAGTGTAGTCAGTACAAATATAATCATCATTTGAATGTCATCGGCTTCCTATGTTTCAATATACATATTACGATTTCTTTGTCATGTTGGATTGCAAACTTTAACAGCTATAAAATATGAAGACATACCACGATAAAGTACTATGCATTTTGAATAGTTTTTCATATATAAACTCACATTATTATTTTACATACATATTTAAAAAAATCCAGCAGTGCTTCTAAAACATTTCTATAGTAGGAAAGTTTAATCGGTTAATGCTTTACTAGGTAAGAGTGAGATATTGGGTGTAAAACTGCAATTTATATTTTAATAATCGCAATGAACAGAATCATATTGATTGACTCCTAGTCAAGCGTTGATCACTTGACTCTTAGTCAAGTGTGGATTAATTTTCTGGTTATAATCTGCCACATAGTTAGGTGAGAAGAGCTGGCTGTTAAAGACCACTCTTTAGATCTGATAAATCTATAGCGATATCTACTAAGGTAGTTATTGATTGTCTTTAAATTCATCACAGAATTGTAAAATATATGTTATTATAATATCAGGAATTCCAAAGAACCTTAGACGAGATTTTGGGTGAAACTGACAAAAATAAAGAAAATGATTCAGATGATTCATTTTCATTTTTCATTTTCATTCAAATGATCCTTCATCATTACTGGTAGGTCTAACAAATCTGCCATATATATATGGAAAATAATAAATTCTTGAAAATCAATATTTTATATAAAACTTATTAAAAAAAAAATTTATTATTAATTTGTGTAAAAAAAATCTAATTCTTTTTAATTTTTTTCTCCTTTTTTGTTTTTTTCTTTTCTGCATCCTTATCTGCTCTTTCATCTCTATTGTTTTTTTTATTTTTAGAATCTTTAAGAGCCTTAAAATTTTTACCAAAATTCCTCAAGATTACGTAACTGTTTATCAACAGTACAATTATGATGGTCAAAAATAGCAGAAGAATATCCCAGGAATGCGCAATGAAAAAGTTTCTCTCAACTTCCTTGCCTGTCACTAAGAGATCAAAGCTATGGGGCTCTGCTATAGTCTGTTCAATCCACCACAGTGCAGTTTCCAAGGGTGGTTGTGGCCTCGATTTAAAGGCTTGTTGTAAAGTTCTGATGTTTGTTAAGGTATTTTCTTTAATATCAAGCAGTTCCCTTAACGAATTTTCCAAAGTATCTACAGTGAATGTGAAATCTAAGACAATACCGCAATTTCGCTGCTTTATTCGCTGTGCATACTGTAAGAATAAATATAAATAATATTATTTAAATAAATAAACATGCTTTTGTAATAGTATTTACTTACATTATACTGAGCTTCGTTGAATGCTAGTGTTAGTAAAGGTTTTCCACTGTATATGGCCTCTTGTGCATTTAGTACATCGGCTTGAGTGAAGAATACTTTCACGTTGTTGAGAGCTAAGTATTAAAATATTAGAAAGCTACCTTATTTGATATTTATTTTAATACCCAATATATCACTGTTTGAGATTGTGTCACTAATTTGAAGATTCTTTGGAATCTTATTCAACCGTTTAATGTCGGCTTTCTCCACTTTCCATATAAATAATCTGTCTGGAAGTTTTTGTATAACATCCAAGATGATTTGTATACGTGTTTCTGTTAATTTGTTCAGTGCATACTTGTCACCTAAATCAATAAGAACTCCACCTTTTTTATGATTCTTTACAAGATTGAGTAGCTCCTCTTTAATAGTTTCCGGTTTAGGTTGTATATGCAAACCACCGACTTCAATCACATTTGGTGGTAACAATTGTGCATAATCTAGAGTGGGGTGTGAGTTGACCAGTATAATTTTTATCTGTTTTCTCAATTCTTCTATATGATCACTTGACTGTGCTGGTACATTTGCATTGCGGCTGTACATGCCTTTTAAAACAGGTTGCACCAGACAAAGCTTAAAACTTTGAATTAAAACTCCATTAAAGGACTACTTCTATTGGATTATTATATATTAAAGTAAAACTTACAATTGTTCAAAACCATAAAGAGCGCTATTATAAAGGCGTTGAAAGAAATTCATGTTTTCGCCTAATTCACTTGTGAAATGTGGTCTCGTTGAGGGCTGCAGAGCACCAGCTCCAGAGCGTGCCATATGAAGTAATTTGGGTGTTATTCCATATGCACTAATTCCTACGATTGGCACATCTTTGAAGTAATGCGTAAGCCATAAACATCCCGGCCCATAAGTTACATCATATATAATCAAATCAAAATTTCTTGCTTCAAGCTTACTTAGTTCATATGCTTTGCGGAAACCTTTAGATGCGTATATAGCTTTACATGTATGCAATTCTCGTTCATACCATTTCAAAGTATTTCTGAAGGGTCTAAATATCGCCATTGTATCTGAATGATCATTTTCAAAACTCTTTTGCACCGCATCATAAACATCATCCAAAAGCAAGTAATTTATTCCTCTATGTAACTCGCCTCCAACGACTGGCGTAATCACTGTTAATTCATGGTCTCTGTCTGCGAGCCCCTTGAATAGTACATCTGCCCTGTGTTGGCCAAAGATCATAAAATGAGTCATCGGAAATTTGATATTTAAATATATAGTTTACTAAACTCTATTAATTATACGTACCAGTTTTGTTGATTTTTGGAAGCCGCATTCATTAAACATAAAATATTTGCCGCATAAGTTGTAGTAAAGGCGCACAATACTAGAGTAACCAGTAAGACATGTATTTTTGCCCCAACCATGTTTTCCAAAATTTTTATTTTACCTGTAGCCAGCCAAGCGAAAACTAAACTGAATTATCTTTGTACTAACACATTTCTGCCTCATCGGGGAAGGTGCACTGCGATAATTTTTTTTCATATCAGAAAGCCGGTACTGATAACATTTCATTGTATTTGTGAACTAAAGAGGAAACCCAAAAAGAGTGACAGTTGCTGTTTATGTTTTGGTGTGGTAAGTACGTATTATTTTTTGTTATCTTGAATTTTAAATAATCACCAAGCATTTTAAGTTTTTATCTTTCCAGTTGAGATAAATGTTTCACAAAAGCACTGAGTAAAATTTTAAAGTTGAAAAACTCATTTCATATATATCACCTCAATATAATCATTATTCATTACCATTATTATTTCTTATGGTACATGACGTTATATTGATCATATAGTTTATGAACGTTTGATGTGATAGGGCTTAGATCTAACCCCTCATATAGATTTTAAGTAGTATACCTCTTATATAAGGTTTTGGCCTTCTTTGTTTTTTCTCTTCTTTCTGAATGTTTACTTATAGTTCTCTGGTTTAGCAGTACATTATTTGCGACTTAATACAATAACCGAACATTTAAAATTTAATTTCTAGTCACTTTTTAGGTAGTCAACATTTCTTATAAACAATTCGATATCGAGTTTCTGTTTACCACACCAAGGATCAGAAGTTTATCATCTCAAAATAAAAATCAGAAATTATTATTTTTACCGATAACGTATTTTTCTTTTGATTCACTTCTCAAAATTTGCATTCTAAAGTATCTTAATTGGAACAGCTTTATCTAATTATAAAATATAACCCAAAAAATCCTTTAGAATTACCCTTAACTGTAAAATATATATCTTATTCTTTTGGTACCTATGTTATTTGATATCCTTTAGTTAATTTGAACTGTAAACTTTGAATTTAATGTAGTGTAGTCTCAAAATGTACTTTCTGCTTTCAATCTGATATTATACTACCATATATCATACTGTATACTGCTTTGAATGCATGTAATCGCGTAGAAATTTTAAAACCTCTTATCTTTTAGGGCACTATAGATGGGCCACCCTAGCTGGAACCAAAGTTTTAATATAATCAAGTAATTAAAAAGAAAAAACACAGTTTCAATTAATTGAGTTACATTTTATTATATTTATTATTGTTTATATTATACACGTTTAAAAGTTTCTATTTTAATATATCCGTAATAGACAGACATATATAAATATCTTCTTGGTTATGGAAGTGAATAGATTTGATTAGTCAAGTTTTTCAAAAGGACGAATATCTTCATTGGCAGTTGTGTTTACAAATAAGAAGAAGAAAAATATTTTGATAGTATGAAGTAATAATAATTTAAGAACTTGAAGAATATCTTCAACGCAGAATCTTAATGTATCCAATAAATGTACTAAAAGTATTTAATGGTAATAATATTGTTTTAATAATAACAAAAAATCTTAATTAACTTTTGAATATATTTCCATTTAAAAGAAGTTAGAAAGAAATTGAAAGAATTAGATATCGTTCTCTTAAAATAAAAAAGGTAGTCAGACAGAAAAAGTGTAAAAATATTTTATGGATAATTAAGAAATACAAACAGGGATTAGGACTTGACAATGAAACAAAATAGTTTGGAACTTTTCGGTAATATTGTAAATACATTGACAAACTAAATTTTATATAATATATATTATATATCCTAATTTGGGAAATTGAATAATCAATTGATTCTAGTAGTGCTTCTAGTACAATTTTAATTACTGTAATATTTAATTACTGTATTTTAATAAATAATTTACAATATTTACAAATGCCTTAGGTACATAAAAAATTAATTTAATTCTCACAGTTAAAAATACATTTAAATAGTTAATTACAGTGATAAATAATAAATTACATAAAATACCGATACATAATTATAATAAATTAAGCTATTTGTGTTATGTTAATTAATGAATAAATGTTTTTAAATACTTTATTTATGTTAATAAATTTTTGTTAATATGGCAAGATTAATACATGAAAATGAAAGCTACAACTCGCATTGTCGCTTGCTCTTTTTTATTCGTTCTCTTTCTCTTTTTTTCGCTTTTCTTTTGAGAAATATAAAGTTTTTCCAGTGGTTTGAAATGATTGATAACTCTTCTTCTGTCTCCATTCTGTTACCACTTTCTCATCACATACAAATAAATTACATATAAATAAACTAAGCTAAATAAAATTTTTTATGAATAAGAAAATTATTCAGGACAGAAGTGTATGAAATGAAAATAAACCAAAAGTCCGCAATAATATAAGCTAGTGTGTTAACGAGAATTAGACGTCATAGATAGAGATTCCATAGATTAATGAGATGCTTTCGGTTACCAAGCTTCCCAAGATTAATCGCAACTTCCTTTCTATTTTTACTCCATCCTTGGTGCGTGTGCAGTGAGTTGAAGTGAGTAGTGTTAGATTCATTAAAGTGGTCAATGATGATCTCAAAGACTCATCACAGTTGTGCCATTTCGCGTTTGTGGTCTTGGAATGAGATTAACTAATTAAAAATGGGCTTGCGGCAGTGTGTGAATGACTATGAAGTAAGTGTGCGTTTGTGCAGTTAAAGCTTCAAATCGTTTCGTATTTTATTCGTAATTTATTGTACCAAGTGGAGGATCATACGGTGTGCCCCCTAAACCCACATATTGATTATTATTACGATGTACAAATCCGCGTTCCGGTGAGGCGTTATAGTACACCACACGTCGAATACCGAATGGATCGACGTATCCAAAGCTACCCGCTTGTTTTCTTCCACTATCAAATCGTTCTTCTTCGTGATACTGATGTGGCAAGATATATCGAAAACCATTTTGAGTCGTGCTGACACCGTCATATTCTAAAGTTTGTGGCGCTGCATAGCTCATACTTTGTGGACGTAACCGGCGACGCTGATGAGCTGGATCAATTGGTGGTAATAATCCGCCATCCAAGTTATTCGCATCGATGGGTATGGCATATGAGCTAAACGGACGTGCTGTTGATGTTGGATAATTATTGTAGTTAATATATTTTGGACTAGAATTAGGTGAATATTGATAACCATCATTCGTTGGTTTGGCAGTGGTGGAGATACGCATAAATGGCCTGGGTGTTGAGTAACTGTACGCATTATTTCCATAATCAGAATCATGTGCTGCTATAGGTGCAGGCGTTGTTGAAGCAATTGCTATTGGTCTAATGCGTTGATGTTGAGTATTGATTGGAAGTGGTGGTTCTATAAGCACCGAAGGCAGTGCTGGTATGGGTAAGGCAGCAGCGGTTGGGCGTTCAGTCGTCGTACTTACACTACCTAAATGCGGATATTCAACTGAGTTGAGACTATTAAGAGTGTCTTCTATGGGTTGAGAATTTGGATGTATGTGTACTGTTGGTTGTTTTTCTGTCTCATATTTCACTGAAGGCGAGAGTTCATGTGGATAGTGATCGAAACCTAAGTAATTGGTAGGTTCGAGTTTTGCAGCTTCTGCTGGTGAAAGGTAATTAAGTTTTCCAGGAACAGCTGTTGATGCGGGAGTACTATAGCTATTAGCATCATTTGTTGTAGTCTGATAGAAATATTTTTTTTCCGCTTTTACTTCACCTGGAGGCAACACATTGTTACTTATTGTATTAATTCCGTTATTACCATTAACCAATATTCCGGACTGGGCAGGCAATTTTTTTGTTGCTTTAATGGCATCCTTTAAATAAAATAAAAATAAATAAAAAATAAATTATATAAACCGAATTATCTATTAACAAACCTCAATTTGCCTGCCATGACCCACAAATATTGTTTTTGATTTTAAAATTCGATAGCCTTTACTATCAGCTATATAATCTTTTTGCCTAAGAAAACCGGCTGCATCGATCCAAGCTTCTGTGCCTAATATTTGCGCATAAATAAATTATTGAAATACGTTTTTAATATTAAATAATGTTCGGAAAATATTACCTATGACAGTGCCATCTTGTAGTCGTTTTTCTTTACGAAACTGTCCATTATCTGTTTGAAAACGAAAATATCGTTCAGGACCCTCATCCGTTTGAATGTGATACTGTCCTTGGCCCGGCTCCCCGTAAGAGCATTTGACGGAATTTAACAAGGGTGTCTAAAATGGAGAAACATTTGTAAAATCTTCTTTCTTATATGAATAGTAGATGTAAGCACTATATATACAAGGGTGTCTAAAATGGAGAAAGATTTTTAAAATCTTATTTCTTATATGAGTAGTAGATGTAAGCACTATATATATAAGTTGCTTCTTATATAAAAGATGCTGTATTAATAATTAATAATATAAATGCAAATTAATTTTAGAATGCCCTCAGGTGAGGAGTGATAGCTGCCAGTTTTTGCTGTATTCATAAATTAGCAACAAATTAATAATTTTCTATTAAGTATATTGTATAAGAAATTTCATAAAAATAATTTATTACACATATTTTAGTAAGTATATTGTCCAAAACGACGCTGAAATAATGACTCAATGTTTATATATATATTAAGAACGAAAGCTTTTATCGGCTAATCACTGTAAAAATATATTTTTGCATTACTAAGAGTATTTTATAAACTTACTTAAGGGCTGTGTTTTAATTTAGGTAATGAAAGTCATAAGCTGCACATATTTTAATAATATTTATATTCTCTTCTCCATTATGTCTCTTAAGGTTTATTTACTTAGAAGTTTCTAACCAAAAATGTATAACTAATTCCATGGCAACAGCTATTAAATATTTAACTTAAATAAATAATTTTTTTTTGGTCTCTTAGTAACATATACAATACATTGAGTCCGTGCAGATATTGTATAGTTACAAAACTAAATTAATTTAAAACAATGGAGCATAGAACAAAGACCACATCACATAGCGCTCGCCGTTCTGCTCGATTCTCAAGTCGCCAAAAAACGGTTGATAAAAAAGTAAGGACTCAGCCAAAACATGAAGAGTTTCAAATACGAAAAAGTCTATATGATCATATAACGGAGGATATGAAAAAGTTCAACCGAAGTGTGTATCATCAAAGAATCATTATTTTTGGTAGTAATAGACTAGATTATCCAAATCATAAGGCTAACAATGAAGATGACGCAGTTAAAAACTTTAAAACTGAATTTTCCGAACAATTGGATCAAATATTGAAAAAATGCAGAAAGAGGGCATTTCTTAAAGACAAAACTTCAGGAATACTTTTATGTGCCGATGATTTCACAATTATGGCACTGGAAGGACCAGAAGAATTCTTTGAGATATTCTTAAAGCAATTAGCAGTTATAGCAAACGAATGGTGGGCAACTAATCGAGTTTTTCTTTTACAAGATGCCATTGGAGAAGTAAGATTACAATACGAATATATTTTTCTTGTAATTGAATTTTTAACTTTTTATAGAACCTTTTAAAATACTATGCTTCGTTTCGTATAGTAACTAAGGACACCGCCGATATATATTCTTCAGATGAAGAAAATAATAGGATAGCTACGGCTGCTCAGCATTTTAAAACAAGACATAAGCTAATAAAATTATTTAAAAAAATTAACAATTCTATTGTGATGACAGAAAGCGATAGGATTCCCTATAACAGGAAGTTTGAGAATACATTTTCAACTACTTATCAGATTTTATGCGACGATGATGAGAATGTCGTAAATAACATTATAAAAGCCGAGGAATTCGTTCAACTATTACCAGAGAAGAGTGTATTAGATAGAGTTTTGAACTCAACTCAGTATTATCGTACCTTGGAGGATTACGTAAACTTGCTTGAATCTGCATTTACTGAAACAGATGAAGACGATTTGGTTTGGCCAGTACAGAGAAATTATTTGCCAGAAGGCATTTTTGAGAAATCCAAATATGATGTTAATGTCATATTCAGCGAATACAAGGACAATTTATGTGAAGAAATGGAAGGGGAACAAAAAATGGAAGAATTAGAAGAGGTGGAGAAATCTGAAGAGATTAAAAAAAAAGAAAAACATCTTAAAGAAAAGAGCGCTGAGAAAATAAGTACTCGTAAAAACAAACGTGGAACTTAAATTAGTGGAGAGAAGTCAAAACTGAATATTGAGTAAGGAAATTTTATGACATATTAAAATATATGGATATGTGTATAGTAAGCTACAAATTGTATTTTCTTTTAAATACAAATAAAACACAACCGATTCGTTTGATTCGTCTTTATTGAATGTATATCGTGAAAACAATAACTCATGTCTAAACCTTAGGATCTAAGCATCACTTCCAGCTTCGCATTTTAACATTACCATAAAAAGCAATGTTTCACAAAAGATACATTAACGCTGGGCTTGCAATTTGCGGGAGTCATTTCCGGTCTACTGAACTTATGTTTACAATAAATAGAATCATTGGTTCCAATTGAGATTATGCTTACATTAAATTAAAAGTCTGGAGGTGTGTGCACTACATTATATATTTAAGGTATATTAGTTGGGGGTATGACTATGTCACCGCCTTGTATATTGAAGTATATAAATTAAGTCTGTTATAATTGTATGAAATAAATATTGAGATAATTTAAATTTAACGATAAAAATACGGACTAATTAGTAAAACTAAGATATAACAAAATTTTGGTTTTAGGTTTTAGAAAAGAGTAAAAATAAATATAACTGAGGGTTTTCACTTTGATATATCCCTCAATAGAAACAGACTATATATATAAACAATGTTATAAAAATATATCTTTCACAATAAAACTTCAACAAATCTACCGAGTGAGCAGAGTTATTATTATACCACCGATAATAACGGCCTAGAAGTAACTCCTAAAGAAAACTTCACAAAATTATCAAGCAAAATTACGTTCTGTAAGTGGAGTACATACACTTTGGCATACTGATTCACCCTAAAACTAACCTCACGTAAGCATAAAATAATATAAGTTCAAAACCAATAATAGGTGAGATGCATATTACAAGTTCAGAGTTAGGTTAGTGGTGACAGCCCTGTACTAACTTTTCCACAGCGTTTTTGTGAGATGGCGTAGGTGTTATTTCAGTGAATATAATCTATATAAAAAATATATACATTATATAGAACAAATACAATAATCGTTCTATAAAATATTTAAGGATTTAACAAATGCTGCAGTAACAGAAAAGGATATAAAAAATAATTATATATAATCCATATAAAAATACATTATTCGTTATGCGTAGAATATAATAGAATAGAATAGAAATAAACAGGGTACCAGCTCCCACCGGAGAAGAGCACTACGGCTATAGTTGATATTTTGTGTTACTAAAGACCCTAACCGAACAGAAGAAATTTTGCCTTCCGAATGTAGAGTAGTTCTTGACGAACTCCTGACCCAGATGAGCAAGGCTGGGCAGTCACAGAGAATGTGAATAGTCAATGACAGAATTTAGTCGTGCATTATATTGGATATTTCTTGTATGGAATTATGTTGGAAGTCTAGTACCTATACCTAATGTAAAATTAACAAACAGCAAATAATTAAAGTGCAATACCTACTAATAATTTAAAAATAATTTTTAACAAAATCTGTGGACTTATCATGGTGGAAATTAAATAAATCAAGAGCATATTTAACTTTTCGTTGTTATTAAAAATTTTTTAAAAAACGAGTAGTTAAAATTTTTAAGCTGCGTGGTATATTAAATATTATTATTTTAATATAAACTAAACATTTTATGCAATCTTGTTTAATTTGGCGCGAAAAATGTACTCGTTTCTAGCAGTTGCAGCGACTTCCGCCGGGGCTTGAAATATTAAGTAATTATTTTTTTTTTGCTCAGTTTGAATGCACAAGAGTACAACTCGTTATGCAATTGCCACTGAAAATGAAAATCTGCAATTCAAAAAACAAAAAATATCACAACAAAAATTAAAAAAAATTAAAAACAAGAAGCGATGTTTTCATTGGACCAAATGCACTCGTTAATCTTCGAATGACGCAGATGCTTTTCTCAATGGCCATATATGCACATTTTCTCATCAGAAACGAGTTGGACTCCGACGAGCGCTTCATGATTATTCACGTGCGCAAAGTGTTCACCTTGACTTGGTAATTTTATGAGTTGACGTTGTTTTTTCTAAATTTGTTTGATTTTATATGAAGTTCATTGGACATCGCAAATATTGGACCTGTTATATATTCCAATATATAATTAATTCAAAACGATTATTGCGAACTAGTCTAATTCAATAAACAGACGAGTGTCCGGATTTTCCACCGAGTGAGCAACTTCAACCGCTTCAGTGATCTCATTGGTCTCATTATTAATCGGAAAAAGATAAAAGTTTGATAAAAAATTATTACAAATTTATGAGATATGTATAGTAAGGATAACAGAGAAACTAGTTTATTTTTATTGTCGTTTGTTAACATAAATATGTGATGCATTTGAAATTTTATTTATTCATTAATTTTTTTCTTCCAATAATTTTGTAGCCTCAATAGCGACTTTGTAAGAGGATATTGATTGAAATAGTAATGTCATTGTGAGATTTTGTAAAGATTGACAAATGCATTGCAATTCGTAAGGTTAATGAACGTATAAAATTATTTGTACCCTCAAGTGTTTCCTAGAAATTTTTCTATTTCTGTAACAAGTTTTGTCATTTCCTATTCATGCCTCGTATCTATGCAGACTGAAAGTGAGGTCTAAAGAAAGGAAGTGCATATCAAAATTGATATATTGCGAGGCATTAAAACTTATACATATTTTCTTGTTAATAGTTTCTTCACAATTTTGCAATCATTAACAGAAAGTATTATCGTTAACAGTTTTATTTGCTGAAGCTCTTAGTTTGGTTATTTTACACTTTTGTAAAAAATTTGTTGAAAAGGCTTAAGAATAATATAATCTATGAGAAACGATAGTATACCAACCAAATTTTGTAAGAAATGAATGATACATCTTTAAGATATATACAATAATGAAGACAAGGACGAAGTAAAAAACGTCGATACATTAAGAATTAGTCAACATAACTAGACCCAGTAACTATAGTAACTAAAGACCCATTACCTTGTTAAAAACATTATACTGAATGTTATAAAGTTTGAATTATAATAAACTAAAATTTTATATATATTCGTGCTAGTTTTTAATTCATCTACTTATATTCATCTACTTGTATCCATTTGCCGTCCAACATAGGACTGTACTACTCATCACTCTGTCAGATGTGGAAAACTTTACTTGATTCAAAAAAATTCGTTCATAAAGTCGTAGCTGTGCTTCAATTTGTGTTGTCTGAACGCTCAGGTCTTACGAGTTTATTGCTTTAGAATATATGTATGTAGATTAGTTTAAAATTGTTGGTGATCTAACCACTCTTCTTTACTGTAGAAAGGATTATTGAAAAAACAATAGATCTAATAGATTAAAACCATATTTCATTTCAAGTCTTTATACGGTAGTATCCGTATAACGCCAGGATATAT